TAGCAGTGGTTGCCATAACAGGGTAGTCTGAACGTTGGGTTGGCTCCCTCAGCCGTCAGAATCGGTCCCACGGTCATCAGCATCCGATGGTCTTTCAAGTTCCAACCCCGGAGACCTAGCCGCCTCGGTTTGCCGCCTACAAATCCCATATGAATGACAAATGCAACTGTGGAAAAAGAAAGTTGGGGGATGTCGACTTCTCCCCGCGAGCCGCCGACGCATCAACGCTGCCGCACAGCTGAGGTCGCATAGAGAGGCGCATTACCAGTTGCCAGGCTCCCTCTTCGACCTGATTCAGCCGGCGCCCCGTGTCCGCTGGCTGTATCGCCTGCCAAGCGTCGCTGCCACAGGGAGACCTGTTGGCGCGAGAACATTGTTGCAGGTTCTAAACATCGTAGCGAAACGCTGGTAGCCTCACTTGGGGCAACGAAGCGCCTCCATCGAGGCTGACGTGCTTGTTAAATGACTCTGCTTCTAGGCGAATTTCTGGATCTTGTCCAGTCAAGCGCTTGGCGCTCATCTCGTTGTAGTGTACGCACGCATGCTGCCGGGGCGGGGTAGGACTAGGCCCGAGGGACGGACGCCCTCTCCCTGTTTTCCGCCGCTAGGTGGGGTGCAGTGCTGCCCCAAAGTCCTGGAGCGCCTCGATGAGTGTGCCATTTAGCCTGGGCAACAAACATGGGCAAGCCATGCCCACGGAGCGAATTCAGGCATTCGTTGACTTGCAGTCTGTCGATCCCTTCCTGTTCCTGGATTGAGGACGTCAAAGGCAAGACTTTACGTCCTGCATTGAGGCTCCCGAATGCTCTAACGAGCAGTCTGCGAAAAGGCGTGCCGGCTTCGAGGGTTTCGGCATGTTGACGAGGCTTAAACTGAATCAGCTTGCTGGCATTACGGTCACATCGTGTCTTCACCATGGCCAAACTCAGCCAGCATCAAGAGTCAGTTTGCATCCACCACGTTCCGCCCGCACATCCCTTCAACTGAAGCATCTTCTCCTTGAATATCGACATCATGGTTCTCTCTTTGACAGCTGTATCCGTATGTCGCTCCGAAATCGCACTGCCCTCATCAGTGGTTCATGTGTTGTCTTGAGAAGAGATGCCATAAAACACTTACACCACGCAAGAAGCAAAGATCACGACGCGGACCCCCCCTCAACTCACAGGTCTAAGCTCCAATACCACGTGTGTCGAGCATTCTCCGCCAACATCTTGACAGGGGTCCTCCACTTTGGCCAACTTCTAAATTTTGAATTTTCAACGACGACTCGAATGCAACCTCGCTTTTCAGTCGCCCCATCGTTGCTTCTCCTCGGATGATGCCACCACATGCAGCTTTCAGCATCGTCATATACGTTGGAAGCAAACCCTGCTCCACGTTTTGCAAAGATCTCGAGGGCTAGGGGCAGTCTCACTATCAGGTGGTTCCACGGATAACAACGCTGGTCGGCTCGCCCTTCCTATCCCGCTTCCCGTCCTGTTACTCCAGTCTCGAGGGCAGATGCCACAGTATCGGCACGACGTCAAAGCCGTATGACACAAGTGCGGGCCACTGCCAACTCTAGGCAAGAGCATCTCAATGATTCAAAGGTTTGTCCCCCTCATTGTACGGACAGAGACGCCCTAATAATCCCATCACGCTGGCCGGCCATTAAGTCATCGCCAGGACATTGGCTTATCACCGAGAGAGCTTGCCAGGAGGGGCCTTTCTCTTCTTGTTCTGTACATACTAAACGCCCCCATTCTGTGCAACATCCCGCTTCAGTTTTCTTGCGCAAAAATCCGTCTCTACAACGATGTCTTTCTACGTAGCCACGTCCTCATACTTATTATCCGCCAACATCTAGCTGCTGCCCGAGCGTGTTTCCCGTCATCAACTGGGAGCATGGTTGCTCGTGCCAATTTCGACCTGTCTTTACGCCCCTCCCCCTCCTGGGATGGTAGAAAGTTTTTACGACTGTGCCGTAGTACATCGGATGCTTTCGTCTCTCAAATCACTTCATCTAGGCCTGGCGGTGGAATCTCGGGGTGGGGCGACAGATCCTGCCTTGCTGCAGCGGAACAGGCTTGCTTGCTTACATGCCCGACACTCTTGACTGGCATTGCTGGCTTCACCTTACGCCGCTGAGCTTTAGTCCACTAGGTTCACTCAGCAAACGGCGTGGTTCACGAATAGGGACGCCGGTCAGCCCCGGTGGAATCCAGGATAGGAACGCGGGACGCCCAACAATTGCCTCCACAGATCTGACGACATCTCGTTGGCTATTAATCGATCTAATGAGATGTGATTATATCATAATCACGATGAATGGAGTTCCCTTTTTGCGGGCCGAGATGCACACTCTTCTATTCTCTTTGGTTCTCTTGTCTTTTCGCCCGTCATCACGCAGAATGTGCAGCGAAGGCGTGAGCCTTTACTGCGACGGTCGAATGTCTACCTGTTCGCCCCTCTCGAAGCCGGCCAGCGGCGCAAACCCCGTAGGTGCTTAACCTAATGGTTCTCAAGGCTGCGCCGTCGACCGGAGACGGGCCAGCCTCGACAGGATTGGAGCCGGTCAGGACCAAGGCCGACCGAGGCCCCTGGGGTTCGACACCCCCATGAGAGCACAGGCATTGATTTTGCCCAATGCTTGCATTTGACTGGTACGGCCATGTCCACAGAAGAGGGTGTGCAGCGTCACAATCTCTGCAGTCTGCACTTGTTGAGTCGATATTCCCAAGCCCGCCGGTGCGGTACCTGGATTGGAGATGAGGTTTTTTTCCCTCGGTCTTGCGTCCCTTGCATTAGTCGTGCCCTGATGGAGGGTTGGATTGACAGTCCATTCGCCGATGCTGGCTTGCCAGATGCAGAGGGCACGGAAGCGAGAGGGGAAGACACGGGTGGCCGGTGACGGGCATGACGGGTATCATCCGGTGCCTGGGCTCTCGCCTTAGGGCTCCGGTAGAAGCGCGCGTGGAAGCCTCAGCTTGCAGCGGTGCCGCCTGATTTTGTCCTCGTCAGTACGGTTGCATCGAGGAAGCCCACCCCGTCGGCGACAGGAAGAGGGATTCCAACAGCCTCTTCGATGTGCCCACTTCACATGTGAACTGAAAAAAGTTGCACACATCCATGTCAGAGAACGATGCCGGCTGACCGGGTAAGGGCCCGATGATTCTGCATTTCTGACGGGGGGTTGTGGCCGAACAGGAGGCCGATGCGGAGGCTCGAGTGGGTTTACTTTGGCCTATGAGTTGAGTCTACGTGGAAGGCCTGGGACCGGGCTGGACTCGGGCCAAAAAAGAAGAAGAAATGAAAAAAGGTGCATCCATTCTGACAGTTGATCATCGGCGGGTTGGAAAAATCTGCATGCGGCAAGACCTTTCTCGAAGTTCAAAGTCATCGGTCGGCGGCAAGCCACAGACCCATCACAGTAGGCAAGCCATCAAGCCAAGTTCGGCACTCGAAACTCAACAGAAACAAATTGATCAGAATTTTCATTCTACGTTCCCGACGGCAACCGAATTTGGATGATACAGTGGCGGTAAGTTACTTCTATGTTTGGGATCAATGAGGGTAGTTGGTGAGGGGCGTGGCGCCTCTACCTGTAAGCCATCCGTTGAAGCGGCTTACGATTCCCTCGGAACCAGGTTATCGACACCTGGATAAAGTTGATGTCGCGTGCGGCCCCTCCTCTATTTGGTAATGATGATGGTTCATGGGTCTACTAAGACTTCTCAACAGTTGACGCCGGCAGATACGAGTGTAGCAACGGCGAATAGTTCTACAAGGTACAAGATTTTGTTCGCTCAACGAGACGTCCCCTGCATCGAGAAATGGCCGTCTTCGGGCGGTTCAGATCAAACAAGGTGTCTAGACATCAGGCAACGAAGTATCCAGTCTTCCTACCGCAGAGCTCGGTGCGCTTCCCCGTGGTTTCGCCTTTCCTTTCTACAGGTCATTGTTATGGTGCGGCGTGTGGCAAAGGATGGGGTGTTCTTTCTGGGGACCCTCGTCGCACGATGCCACGAGGCGTTGCGGGAGACATCGGCGCCAACAGCTGGTGTCACGATTGCGTGTGTGCACGGGCGAGTTTTCAAGCGGAAACATGGGTGGATTTCGATGTGACCGCAAATAGCTGTCAAAATCTTCAGAGGAACATTCCTGCGACAACGATTCAGAATTCCAAGGGTTCTTGATATTCAGGGCGGCGGCGGGTGCCCGGGAAACCCTTCATGGCGCCCTTCGAGGGCTGATAAGTCATTTGAGAAAGAGAAGTCAAATAGGAGAGGCACGGAGAGCCAATTCCCGCTTTGGAAGCATGGAAAAGCCTCTCACCTTTGCGTTTCTCTATTCAAAAGTATGGCGCTGCAGCGTCAAAGTCAATCAACAATACGCTGCTCAATAGGGACAGCAAGCCCAGAATCCGACATTGAAGCCCGGAATGGCCAATAGAGAAGCAAAGCGACGGCAGTTTGCGCGCGAAGGCGCGAATCGCCCGAGTTTTGCGTTTTGGGCCTCTCTTCTTCGTTTGACTTACACCGAGGCGCATGCAAAGCAAAGGATTCGATGCTGATTCTGAACACCCGTCCGTACCTTGCAGACCACCTACACCCTCGTGGCAGCTTGGACTGGCGCGCACGCTCACTCGGACAATTTTTTTCTCTCTCAATTCTTTTCGGGACCGAGGAATGCTGCGGGTTGATGCAAAGGCTCGGCGCCACCAATGTCTGAGACCCGTGATCGCCCGTCAAACCAGCGATAAGCAGAAAGCCGCAGACTATTTTCAACCTTGCTACGTCTTACCTTGGAGATGATGTGCTTTTTGCTGCGAGACATTCGAAACCCCGGAATCGATCGATGTGATCTCGGGGTAAGGGGACGACGCACTGATGGGGAATATCGAGCGATTGACTCAGGTTACGGAAACCTCGAGCTGGGTTCACATTTCGGTCCGGCCTAGGAGGCAGATCGAGGAATTCGTCGATTGGTAAGGCTGGACATGGTTTCTTTTGCAACTTGATCTCAAGCCCAACTGGTGGAGGGATGTCGTTGGCGATGACACCCGATGCTTTCTCACTGGCACCTTCGAGATGCAGCATCGTGGCCGTTGACGGTAGTCCGCGGGCCCGGCAAAGGATTTGGCCAATGTCTTGTCAGGCGCAACGCAATGCACAGCTCTGCCACTCAACAATTGTCGGGAATGAAGGTGATCCTTCGATGCGATGCCACGGCTGATGCTGCCGCTGCTGTTGCTGCCGCGGCCATCACATCACATCACATCCCGTCACTGGCCAGGTACCCTCGCTCCCCCATTGGACCACGTGTGGCCAGCAGTGATACCACGTCCGACTATGCCTCGGATGCAGCATCGCAGACCAGGGCCCCGTCCATTTTGGGTTCAGGCACGAGCAGGACCCTGCGACGTGCAAACTGAACTTTGGGCCCCCGTCGTGGTAAGAAGAGACGAAATAATCTTATGTTCTGTAGACTGCATCCGTTCGTTGAGGGACGTTCATCCCTCTTCCGTGGGGGATGGCCCCAAGGGGTGTCGTGGGTGTGGACGTTGGTGGTGTCGATGCGGGTGGGATGCGCTCGGTCAGAGTGGTTGGTGCCGCGGTTCGCGGAGGTGGGATTCCGGGGAAGATGGGCTGGTTTCAGAACCGGGAAACTTTTGCGCCTTGCACTCAAGAGTCGAGAACTCCAACCGCGACGCGGGCGACGCGTATGGTGTGGTGAGGTGAGCTTACACACTTTTGTGTGTACTTTACTATTTCCATGGTTCTTTGGGTTGTCACTAACATTTTACACGAGATTTTGCGACGGTCTAGCTTTTTTTTACCCCCTTTAACGCGACGACGCGTACGAAGGTCTGCCGAGGTATGGTTGGCTACGGCGACTGCACTCAATGTGGGAGAAACTTCTCTTCCGCGCGAATAATCAGGGAATGGATTGGGGCGATCGCTCCGAGGCATACATCCAGACCAGTTGCTATTTGGATCCTGGATGTCGAAGTATGTGTGGCGTCGCATCATTCGCCCGGCCAACGGGAGGCGAACCAAGGGATGGGACGGGGCGCGCGCAATCGGTGACGAGATGTGATGGGTTGGTGTGCCCCGGGAAGAGCGGGAGGGCGAAGATGGCGGGCGTTTGATGGGGCATGCTTGACCTGACTGGTGAGTGATGGCGAGCCTGAGGGCGGGCTCTTTGTCTTTTGAGAGTGGCATTGACATGATCATTGCTCTTGGGGATAATTATCCCACGAAAGGAGAGATTTACTCCTGGAGGACGATGATGGAGCGATGCCAGATTCTGCAAGAGGCGCGACGGGGAGATAGGGTCGGTATGCCACGTTACGACGGACGGCGGATGCGGATGCGGTTGTGGATGCGGGACGGACGGTAGACCCGCCGTGGTGGGTTTGCGCGGTCCATGTGGTTGCAGGAGGAAGGATTTGCGGTCCCGGCGGTGCGGGCGCGGGTTTGTTTGTGTTGTGGTGCGTCTATTCGTACTGCATGATTTTACCCAAAGAAGAGGGGGGCCAAGAGGTCTATGCTGGTTTGTTTGTTCAAGCGCAAGCGCGACATTGGAGGCGACATATCGAACAGCGGCCATGCATGAAGTGCTGCCAGACACTGGGCAGTGGGCAGTGGGCACAAGCCTCGAGGCAGCACCACTCACTGCACCAGAGAGAGAAGACAGCACGCAGGAAGAGTCTAGACCTAGCCGAGCGGCGTGTCGTCTTCTTTTCTCGCTAGTGGACGTTTTGACTACCCTATCTTTTGCCCTTTTTATTCCCGCTTGGTGCCTTGCCTTTACCTTAGTTGGGCTACAGGTTGAAAGGCTAATAAGGGATTTCGCGGTTTGAGAGAGGATCTATGCGCCCTGTCTGTCCTGTCTGTCCTGTCTGAGCATGGGCGTGAGGCAGTATTTTACCCTTCCATTTGTCTGAGGGATTTGGCAGGAGGTTTAGGGGCAGAGAGTCCGCGGATGCCGGGTCCGAAGGCCAGTACTTGAGCTGTGGTATCTCTTAAAGGCGAGGGATGCGTGAGGGTTTGAAAGTTTTTTGGGACCGAGGGAGGCGTGCCCTGCTCGGATGGGATGTGATGTAGGAGGCTTTTTTATCTTTCTTCGGACGTCCCCTTTACGTAGGACTTGTATGGCCTTGTTCGGTGTTGAGTTTGTTGTGTAGTATGCGACGGGAGGGTTAGCTTGGCAACTGGCGGAGTTGAGAGGGGAGATATTGGAGGGGGGTCAGTTTGATATCCGCAGACGACTGAGGTTAATTAGAGACGAGCGTCTTGCATGAGGGTGGTGATGCTTGACAGGGTAAGGTTGGCTGCGCTGGGTTGCGCAACGGAAGGCGAGGCTGCGTGGTGCGCCATTCGGGTTCGCGAGGCGGATCGTGTCTACCTTAGGTAGACGTTTGATGGATTCGAGGGAGCTAGCTAGTTCAGGAAATTGAGGCAAACCCAGGTGAGTTGAGGTAAGGTGAGATGAAGTGAAGGAAATAACTCGAGTTTGGTGGCTTTTTTTGGATCGTAGGCAGCAGCGCGGAAAGCGGGGTCGTTTGGTCCCCCGCCAGGTATCCGTCTCGACCTCTTTGTGAATCCCTTTACAGACAGTGATGAAGTTAGTACCTCGTTTCGTGTTGTCAAAGATTGAGGTTTCGTGTGTGAGTCATCGGGCGGCACAGTAAAGTCGGTGACGGAAACGTTGAGATTATCTATCTATAAGCTACCTTACTCACCTCACCTCTCAACCGCGTCACTGGTGTCGTTGAGTCGTGATCGCTACCACTTCACACGAAAATGGCACCTCGAAAGCAACCAAAAACATGTCAACACACATCCATCATCGTCGACGCATCGGAGTACGGCCGCACAAGAGCCGGATTCACCCGCATACCCGTTGAGAAACGCGTTGCGGCGATGACGCGGTCTGGGAGGGTTGTGCCGATTGCGGGTGCGGGTGGTGCAGACGCCGGTATCTCCAACTCCACCTCTTCCGGCTCCAACTCCAGATCCGGCCCCGGGTCCGGATCTGACGTCCCCCCAACCGATCCTTCCACTTTTCCTGGCCCGCTTGTTCTCCCCGACGACGACCTCGCGCTGGAACCTCGGTATCCGCCGCAGAGTTTGAGGTCTTGGGCGACGGGGGAGTGGAGGAATCGGATTACAGAGGGGAGGAAGACGCTTTATGTTGCTGATTTTCCGGGTGTGGAGGAAGGTCTCGCCTCGATGGTAAGGGAGTGGGAGGTTCCTGTGTTGGAGGGAGCTGCGACGGATGGATTTGGGGGAGGGCTGAAGCAGCCGAGGGTTGAGGATGTCGTCTCGTATTTTGAGGCGTTTTATCATCCTCTTCCTGTGGAGATTCTGCCTACCGCGTTTAGGTTTGTGAAGTGGGACGAGAGTGTTCCTCTTCGTGGGAAGGAAAAGAAGGAGACGCCGTTCAGGATCGGCCTCGCGACTGGATCATCTGCCAACGCAGCAGTCATCGGGATCCGATGCCGCCCTTCCCCCGACGGGATTGCAAAATATCAACTTAACCTCAACGACCTCCTGGACGCGCTTTCAGGGGTGCTGCCGGTGGATGCATACGCTGCGTGTATGCTCATCGCGCAGGATCTGTATGAAGACGAGGATGATGACTTCTGTTGTGGGAGGGCGTTTGGGGGCAGTCGGATATGTACTGTGAGTTCGTTTCGGTATCGGCCTGCGATGGATGGGGTTATGGGGGTTGAGAGGGGGCATGGGTGGCCTGCTAGTCATTGTGGGCGGTTTGTGAGAGAGGCGTGTGAGTGGTGGGTGGAGCAGGAGGAGATGGAGATGGAGGGGGCAGGTGGTGAGATGGAGGCGGATGGGAAGGGGAAAGGAAGATTGAAGAAAGGGGAAAAGAAGGAGAAGGTTGGTGGTGGTGAGGTTCTGGTTGATTTGAGGAAGGTCAAAGGCACGGCCATGGGCTTCGCCATCTCCGCCTCGAGAAATGTCCTCGTACCACGGGAAGCATCACGGAATAAGAAGCAAGCGGAGGAGGACTTGTACGGCATGTGGTTCTCACGTGTCGCGAGGACGGCGGTTCACGAGGTTGGTCACTGTCTTGGGATGGATCATTGCGTTTATTATGCCTGCGTTATGCAGGGCACGGGAGGGTTGGGCGAGGACTCGAGACAGCCGCCGTACTTTTGTCCTGTTTGTGAGGCCAAGTTTATCTGGGGCTTGGGGGAGACGGGGGTTGTTGAGGGGGGAAGGGGAGGGAGGTGGATGGAGGGCAGGATGAGGGAGGTTGAGAAGGAGAGGATGGAGGTTATGGGGGCTTTTTGTGAGAGGTGGAAGGGGGTTGGGATGTTTGCTGGGCTTGGGGGATGGTTGGAGGCTCGGTTGAAAATGGAGTTTGAAGGGGTGAAGGACTCCAAGAGAGAGTTGAAGGAGGTGCGGGAGGTTGAGGTCATTGTGATTGATTCAGATTAAGTTGGTGCGAGGAGGGTCGAAGCGGGGTGAAAGTCGTCTATGAGCCTCATTGGAAAGGAAGGTCCAAGGACTGTACAGTCAAAGACAGCATGTGTATGGAAAGCAGTCCGGAAGACTTGGACACGGTCTCGCAGATTTCTTAAGTGGTATAAAAGTTCTACTCGCAATTGTTACGTACCTATATACAGAAACCATGATTATAGGCATCTCGGGAGCCTCACGGAACCTTCCATTCGGATTTGCGGCTACATTATCACGGATCCTACACAAATCTACCCCAAGTGTGCCTTCCCTGTTGGCTATTCAGATAATCATATGATGTAAAAGATGAATGCAGTAGAATGAGAAGAGATGGTCAAGGACTCCCGGAAGAAGAATGAAAAGGAAACACTCCAGAAAGAGTTGGATGATTGCAGATCCAGGATTCATCTTCAGCTCACTCAACTTACGAGGTAACTTCACCTGGGCCAAGCAACGAGAACATAACGCGCAAGACGGCTAACCTTTTTCTCATCCGTAGATCGGAACTGAGCCGTCGTCTCAATGAGATTTCGGCCCAAGGACACATCAACGCAACTGAAATGCAACATTTAGGCGAGAATATCAAGGAACTGCAGTCCAACGTAGAGTTGTGGAAACACATTCCGGGTTTGGTGGAAAGTGCCCACGACATCCTATCCCGCTCGAAGGAGGCTGTAGAGAGCACTGCCCAGCGCCTAATTTTGGAGAACCTTTATGTTGGCGACATGACGAGGAGGTTTGATGAGGTTGAACGCGCCCATGAAAAGACGTATTCCTGGCTGTTAGGCTCGGAGACACCGCATACGACCACAAGCGGGTCTGATTCCATCGATGAGCCCTATTTCAGTCACAGCGATGAATCATACTATATGCCTCCGGGGGACGATAGGTCGCAGAACGACGACAGCCATGAATCCGATCAGTATCGGGTACCAGGTTCTGATGCAAGCTCAGACGGCCTCTTCGATTACGATCCCAATCCCGAATCACATATATCCTTGAAGCGAACCACCACAGAGCTTCAGGCACAGCAAGGTCTCATAAACTGGCTGGCTTATGGTGGAGGCATTTTCCATATTTCCGGCAAACCTGGCGCAGGAAAATCAACACTTATGAAGTACCTTTGCCAAAGCCCAGCGACAAAATCATATCTCAAAGACTGGGCTGGAGAAAAGACACTGATTTCAGCAAACTTCTTCTTCTGGAAGCTTGGGTCCACAACTCAAAAGTCCTTAAACGGACTCCTTCGAGCGCTTTCATACTCTATCCTGGAGCAAGTCCCCGCCCTGCTCGCGACCGTATTCCCGAGGCAGTGGAGAAATGCTACGCAAGGAAAAGCGTTCAGGATTCACAGTTCTGATATTGAGTCGGCCTTTAACAATTTTCTGCGACAGACAGATTTGTTTTCCTCGCACAAGATTGCAATCTTCATCGACGGCCTGGACGAGTTTGACGGGGACCACGACAAGATGATAAAACTGCTTCGCAGTTGGACTGAGATAGTCCCGGAAGATGTAAAGTTGTGCGTTTCAAGTCGAGAATGGGAGATATTTCGACAGAGGCTGATCAACTGCCCTGGAATTCGCCTCCAGGACATAACGTGCCGAGACATCGAAGCGTACATCAACAGCGAGTTATCTGACAATGAAGAATTCATGTCCCACTTTTCGGAAGAATCAAGTGCGAAACATATCATCGATCAAATCAAGCACAAAGCCGAAGGCGTGTTCCTCTGGGTAAAAATCACATTGATAGGTCTGAAATCAGCTCTGCTTTGCGGGGAGCGACTGGGAGATCTCGAAGCAAGACTCGAGAGTTTACCTGGGGGCCTTGAAGAACTCTTCATGTCAATTTTTACCTCAATCAGGAGCGGAACCCTGACCAATAAACTGGACAGAATGAGGGCGATGCGAATGATTCTTCTTACACTGAAAGACTCTGAGATTGGGTGGTTTACAGATGTACGGGACCTACTGCTCACGGATTTTTGGTTCCTAGACTGTTATGACAAAGACCCCAACTTCGCTATCAACCTTCCCATCACGACCGGTACCACTGAATCTTGGGTCTCTAGACAAGATAGAGCCAGACGGTCGGTTTACCAACGATGTATGGGCCTTCTTGAGATACGCTTTTCTCATTATGATTCTCGACCGCGATTGATGAGGGGTGTGTGTGATTTCAGCGATGGCATGACCACACAAATCAAACCATGTGAAGAGAACGAGCACAAGATAAGCGAAAACCTCAACCACGAAATGGAAAGCAGCCTGCAGAAGGGCACTGCGCGGATCCATTCAGAAGGCATGTTTGAGATCATAGATGAGGGTGACGATATTTTTCTACATACTCAGGCGTGGTACGAAGACGAGCAGAGGATCAATTATGAACATCCGTCCAGCGAGCGGGTACAATTCGTACATCGATCTGTGATCGAGTTTCTGTTGCAGCCTCATATCAAAAGCCTCATCGACACCGAAGCCCAGCCCTTCGACTCGACTGATTTCCTACTCCAGTCTTTCTTGGCATCTTTAAAACTATTCCGTCCTTGCATGGGGTTCGTCGGGATAAGTTTGGGGCGTCATATCAAGCATTTTGTTTGGAACTGCTGGAACTGCTTTCGTGTTCCCGGGCTGGACCAGGATCGACTATTGACTTCCCTCGACGAACTGACCCGCGTTCTGGAAGTTCAAATCCCGAATTCAAGCATCATATCGGACATAGCAACGTGTCCACTGTAATTATTCAATTTATCTGAACTAGCTTCCGCAACAGAGACTGATGGATGCCTTGACATTGGTGTTTGTATCAATCTTTTTACAGAATCGAGGCCGATCAGCTTGGACGGTAGATTCTACCAATTGGGACGTCGAAGAAAACGGGAAACGTATCATAACTTGCTTCTCGACTTTTGTCTGTATGAGACCTACACATTTTCCCATTTTGCCAAGCTGTGGTGGCCGACGTATAAGCCCCTGATAAGGTCTCACGGATATCTGTCGAAATGTTTCGAAGCAGGGGCAGATCCCAACGGATTGTCTTCATTGAAACATAATTTCGGAGATAGATTTACTTGCTGGCAAACATGGATAATTACATCCATTCAAGACAGGTATTGGGGGTCTTGGGGGTCTTGGGGTTCTTGTATTAAGCTTTTCCTGCTTCACGGCGCGGATCCCAACATTTGGGTTCACTGCAACAATAAGACGGTGTCCCTTTGGTGGGCTGGAGCGACTGGGTGGTATGGAGTCTTTGAAGACCTTGATCTTCCTGACCTGAGCGGACTCCAGTCCGAAATCAGTCATCTAAAGACAAGAGGTGGACAAGAAGGCGTGGATCTGCTCCTGGTGGAGTTCCTACCGATCTGGTTCGCAGATGACGCCGAGCTGCGTGAATTGTGTCACACAAGTCAAGGCTCAAAACTCACTGCGGCGCCACCTACCTTTAGCAAGTTTGATTCAGTGTGGGAATAATTGCATTGTATTCGGCGTTTGAGTGATCAATGATTCGTACACAAAATAATCAGAAGAAAGTTTTAATTCTACGTATAATCGACTTGGTGTACTCACCAGTTAAATGAATTAATGTCGGAAGCCGAGAATTGGGGAAATCCTAGGTGTCTCGATATATGATCGCGAAGAAACTGTAGTCCGCATTTCCTGATTTCCAGAAAGCGGGAAAGAATCAAGTCATGGAATTCTCATCGACGTCGCGTGATGAAGTACAACTTCACTTCTCCTCAAGCCGATCTCCCCAAGTCGGTAAAATAACAGTGGGTGCTGCAATCTTACGACAGGATACTCCAACCCCCGGAATCCTCCTTCTCAAACGCAATTCCGGCGAGAAATAGTACCCAAATGTTTTCGAGGTACCTGGAGGAAACGTCGACGCAACGGATTATACGATTCGTGACACCATCATACGCGAAGTTGCCGAGGAGACTCAACTAAAGGTGTTGGATACTGCAACTCTGTTGCCGCGCTTCGAACACACCACAGAGGAGTTCAAGAGAACAGCTTATGGATAAGAAAAGATCGTCAAGCGCCATGCTCTTCAGTTGAGCTATATTGTTACAGTCGAGGGAACAGGATTTCAAGTTGAGAGGAAGGGGCTCTTGATGGGGGTTTGGACCAGCCGTGATTACGTCGATCGAATCCCTATTACCGCGGATATGAGATGGTTGGTGCTAGAAGCATTGAAAATGGCGGGGAGTCGATCAGGATTTGCTTAAGAATGCGAATATCTGGTGAGGAGGCAAGTCAATGAGTTCGGGAACGCTCGAAGCCAGACAGGATAGCTGGAAACCATCGTCAGTCTACCAAGGTCGACGGAAAGCTAGATTACAGTTTCTAAGTACTGCTGTGGACAAGCAGAAAGGGTACTTCATCAGGGTTCCGAAGAATTCAGGGTTGCTCAAACACCCTTTTAAGGGTGGGCCCTTTTACTTTTGCTCGAGGCCTGTCTCCAAAGATTTGCGGCAAGAGTGATCTGCGGCAAGGACAGTCTTCTAAATGAACGGATTCCTGTACTCTGAGATTGTTCAAACGCCGACTGTGAGCTTTCTACAGACGTTAGTCTACTTCCTAGTCATTAAATGAGGCCACCTTGCGGACGAAACTGCGTCCTAATAAACCATCGACAAAGATTCTTCAACACGCTTCCACTCCTTCACATCCGGTTGCCATCGAAACATCCTGCCAGACACATCTCCTTCACGGCTGAAGCGTACCTCACGTCTCGACATGCGTGACCATTGCTCAACATCATCTCCGTCTTTCGCATTCTCCGTCTCAATCGCCACGTTCTTCAGTGCGACGCTGTGGAAAGCCCTGCTGTCCCAAAGCCCATCTCGGCGGTGGTATTTTCCCAGCAGCTCTGTAGCTTCTCGTCTCACGCTGTCCTCCCGGCATCGACACGCGACGATCAGTAACGGTAGCGTGGGACCGTTGTCCATGCTGAAAGTCTCAGTGCATCCCCCGCAGTTCTGTTGCGCCGAAAGAACGATACGGCTAAGCTGCACCATCTCGCGGAATGATGGCGTCAGCATGATCATCATTTTGATGTCCTTGTAGCTTAGACTCGAGACATCGGTCCAGAGGGTGAGATACTGTACGCGCAAATTGCAGGCGTCTACGTAAGCGTGGAAATCGTTTGCCTCATTTGCCTTCAGGGTGTCGTGGACACCTTGAAAAGCATTTTGCCAACGTCGTAGATGGCCAAGGAACTCGGGGAGTACAGCGGCCAGCTCATCCAGGTGACTCGGAGATAAAGCTGGCCGTACATAACTGCCCACGAGCATCTCCTTCGAGAGTCCATCAACGAACATCTCCGTATAGATGGGACATCTATGACACGTGTAGTGCTGCACAACCCTCCACCAACGCCGTGCCATGTGAACATCTGTGAAAATGGCTGGCATCTCCTCAACAGCATAAGTACGCTTGCTGCCCCGGCAACACCAACTAATTTGCGAAGCATCCTTGGAGTGCAGCACATTGTGCGACCAGGCCTGCATCGTCAGACCCTGAAACACCCACGCAGCATCGTCACACACTGCGCGGATTGAGTCCGTCACGGGACCGTCCTCAACCATCGAACGCTGGTTGAAGTAGGTCTCCATCATCTTGTAAGCATGATTCACATGCGATAAAGCAGCGTTGCGATCGCCATGGAGACACTCGAACGTAACGAAGAGCACACAGCAGACAATTGCCCAGAGCATGTTCTCGCTCGACGGCTGAGAGCTGCGCACAAGCTTGATCGCGCGGCCGTATTGCTGTAGAGCGAACTCGTAGTGTGGCCCGTTGTCGTGGAGTTCCTTCCGGGACCGCCTGATGAGCGACGGAACGAGCGCGCGAGCCATTCCGGCCATGGCGAGAGCGGCGTGCTTGATCGCTGGCTCACGGCGCGCGAGCTGCGGAACGACGCGGACCATGATGTCGTTTGGGAAGAGGTAGATGTTAGCCACGAGATGCTGCCAAAAGTCAAAGTAGACCTTCTCCTGCGGGTTGCTGAAGAATGCGGACTCGTAGCCGGGTTCCCTGAGGACGGCGGCAGGCCAGACCCGCCAAGTTCCCTTTGAGATGATCAGGCGTGGCTGAGTTTGACGATGATCTGATTGCTTCTGCTGGAATTCGTAGCCTTCGCATACGCCTGGCCCTCGAGGCGACTTGGTGCATTTCAGACAAAAGGGGCGAGTTTCATCGCATTTGATGTGTCGCCGCCTGAAAGTCGAGGGTTAGGATTGATTGCGAGCCGGGGACCGTGGCGTTTTCTCGAGGACGCAGCGACTTACTTGCACGTAATGCACCCCGATCGGACTTTGCCTGCGCAAGTTCGCTTAGCTCGTGGTCGCTTTCCCAGAGAAAATGTGGCCATCTGGGGAGACATTCCCGGGATTCTGCAGTTCGGTATTAGACTTGGACGATGGCTTGTTGGCACACGCAGCGTACCTCTTCTTCCCGCGACTCACGGTCGGCAGCGGGGCAAGCCCGCAGTCGGCCGGGTCCGGACTTGATGACATCGAGCTGGAGCTCGACGCAGCGGATTTTGATTGAGACTGAGAAGGATCCATTTCGAGAACGCATGCAAGACTGGAACTTGCGTAAGCTTCGACGGGGGAGAAGCCGCTTAAATCCAACCCCAAGTTGCCGCTGCCTGCTGGATATCACTCCGAAGTTCCGGCTATGGTCTGGGATTTGATCAACTAGCGCTGTAGGGCAGAATCCTTCGAAGGATGGCCAGTCAACCCGCAAGCTCCCGTCTCAAAATCTCACCTAGGACAGGGGCTCTAGTATATCCCACTTAGCCGATACTGGGAGACCAACGAACCTAAAGAGGAGAGCTGTCTAAAGGATGACTTACATGTGCTTGCAACACATCGAATTTGCCGTCACCATGCCGGATGGTCTAGACTCGATGCGACCAAGGGATGCCCAAAACAGCACACAGCATTGTTGGTAGCCAATCATACGATTCAGCACCGTCTTTGAGACTTCCTCAGCCACAAAGGATCTCCCACTTTATGGAGTGAATCTTCCCATTCAAAGAGAGAATGTGGTGGCTGCTGCAGAAGCTAGGAATTTCCAATTGTGTCAGGAAGATTGCAACCAATCAATGTCCTCTACTACTCGGCTTCAGCCGCCTTTGATTAACGACATCGGATGTCTCGTCGCTATTACTCATGGACACATTTCTGAAAGAACACAAGGATAGGTCAAGACTCAAGACTCAGTCGAGAAACTCGGGGACTGGATATTTTTGATTAGTCCGCAGCTACCACATTGCACCCCGATTCATATCCATAGATATCAAGGAGGTTGTCATAACGGCAGTTTGATTGACCTTGCTCACAAGACAAGGAGCCGCCGACATCTTCCAAAGATGCTAGAGAGTATCGAATATGAGTATTTGTTCGCCGGTTTGTCTCGACATCTGATAGGAAAAGAGACATTTGGCACCTCTGCGCCGATGCATAGGCGGATTCGTGGAGCTCTGCAACTCGCCTGTTTGAGACGAGCAAACTAAGAATGATGTCAAGAGAACTCAAAACGCTCGAGGACATCTCTTGCCCCGCACACAAGCATGAAACCGCGGCACAAATGCGAAAGAGTTTCGGTCAAGCTGAACATTTCCTTTTCGTTGAACCTTGGTTTGGACACGTCGATGCCGTTCCCGTTTTCATTCATTTTGATGAGATTGGAACAGTGATATACCTGGAAGAGACTATGCACGGCCGAAAGATGCACGTAGAGGTTCAGCGATGCACCGAGAAAGACATCCCTCGCGTCTTTGAAATCGTCTCTCTAGCCTTCGCAAACGACCACGAATTCGTCGATGCCGTCTTCCCCGCCCACAGCAGTCCCGAAGGCCGCAAGTTGGGTAGCGAGCGCATGCTCGCCACGTTCCATGGAGATCCTTATAGCATCTTCCTCAAGTGTATTAACACAGACACTGGCAGGATAGTTGCGGCTGCAAAGTGGAATATTTACAAAGGCGGGCCTGTCCCCCCGCCACCTCAGCTAGATGGTGACTACTGGGAAAATGAGGAGGAAAAGAGATTTGCACAAGCTCTGTTCCATGGGTTCCTTACGCCAAGACAGCAAGCTATTGAGGAAAGTGGCGCGAAGTTGGTTGGTACGTTGAAGTAACTCATCTCTCGTTGACTTGGATCATCTGAAGCCAAAGTCTGATTCACTAACGCGAGCCATAGCACTGGATATGTTGATGTGTGATCCTGAATACCAAGGTCAGGGAGCAGGGAGGCTGCTGTTAAAAGCCGGTCTCTCTATTGCTGATGAGATGGGAGTTGACGTAAGTTGGAACTTTGCCTATTTGTATCTTCACGTCAAGGAAAATTGGAAGGCTGATTGGAAGAGATAGGCGGTGGTAGAAGGATCAGACCGAGGCAGGAGACTCTACGTGTCAGAGGGCTTTGATGGCCCACATTATGTGTGTCCCGTGCCTGATGAGTTTGCTGCGCGGCGGAAGCAAACATACTGGTGGATGCGACGACCCAACACCAACGTCTTAAGGAGACTCACGTGAACGTCAAGCTTCGTGTATACTCATCAATTTTGTCGGGGACAATGCCTACGATAAACAAAGCTCGGGATGATCGGGGAAGTGGAATCTATGGACAGAGGTTCTGCGGACTGAATTCTTCAATTTTGTGTCCTAGCAGCAACTTGTAAAGCTATCGATGCTACTTCAGTAACCTAATCGTTTGCAGTCAAGACTCCCGGTCACATTTCTCCGCGCCGGTCACATTGAACCACGGTCTACATGGGAACAGTGCCGACTCAACTTCACGTCACAAGTTACTTACCGTCACCCAAGCATTGCGGGTATTGTTGCTACATTGGACCAACTACACTCACTCACACTGTATGCCTGACGCGGTTCTCTTATCAAGCTTGTAACTGGGCTCCCCCGTGCATTCTGTTTTTAGTCCAACGAACGCCGATCATATGTGAAGTATGTAAGTGCTATTGGATAGGTGCGATTCGTCACTCGCCATAAGCTGCATTAATGCGAGGGTAGCATGCACAGAGGCGGGGTTGGCAGAGCCTGCTTCTAGGAACGACATCCGGTAATATGTGTTGAGTTCGTCCCCGTGCCCTTTGGCTCCATGAATCTGTTGGCGTCTTTTTTGTTTAAGTGTTGAAAAGTCCCAATCTTACCTGATAAACATTTCCCACTGCACGCTTACCTATCATTCTGCCTTTAAGATATTGTGAGGTCCTTAGTCTCAGTCACTTGGCATTAACTCTTTAGGGAGCACACCTCCGCCGTAGACGGAATTACGCTTCGAACCACCTTTTCTTAAGATGGCTTTCGACCTTGAAGAAGCCAAAAATCACCTCAGAGAACACGGATGGGTTCGTGTCCCGTCGGTTCTCACAGCAGAAGAGGCTGCCGGCGTACTTGACCGGCTATGGAAGGCAAAGGCAGCGGCTGAAGCTCGTGGTGAGGACACATACCTGTCGTTTCTGGACCCCAACCCCAGCAACGTACGCGTATTCTACTTGCTAGAGCTGGACAAGATCTTTCGGGAGCTCATCTCGCACTCAACTGCCATCTCCATGGTCAGAGCGGTGCTGGGCGAGAATTTCCTCATCAGTAACTTCACGGCGAATATTGCCCGGCCCGGATCGCAGAGTATGGCCCTGCATTCGGACCAGAGTATCGTTTTTCCCGACCCGTGGCAGAACGTCTGGGCGCTCAACGTCATATGGTGTCTGACGGATGTCAACAAGGAGAACGGTGCAACGCAGTACATCCCCGGATCGAATAAGTGGGTGTATCGCAAGGAGGTTCCCGAGAACGCGCCAGAGATGCTGGTTCCCTTTGAAGGCAAAGCTGGCGATATCATTGTCATGGACGGTCGAGTGTGGCACACCTCTGGGAGTAATATCACCAAGGATCAAGACCGCGCACTTCTGTTTGGCTATTACACTGCCCCATTTATGCGCCAACAGGTCAACTGGACTGCCAAGCTCCCCAAGGAAGTCCAGGACACCTGCAGCGAGGAGCTGAGGGAGTGGCTGGGCCTCAATCCCGTAGGAAACATTGGCATGACGGGCGATCTGAGATATATGGCGGTGCAGTACCCTGATGACAAGAATAAGGCTGGCGAGACAGTTGTAGCTGGTTGGACCTAAGAGTTCTAGCGAAGTTGCCTCTATGGAATGGTTATATTGGTTTAATCTTGACCGACCCCTCACTCAAGTTTCCTCCACTGCATCTAACTTGGGCAGCATCAACTTGCCACCTTCAACAATGACAGTAGACATGGATTTCTCAACGCCAACATCGCATCATATTTGCCATGCATGCCTGTCGCTTGATTTCGGCCAAGCGTTGGTGTTGTCGAATTCCAAAGCGGTAATACCGGCAGAGCCGATACTCCTGGATGAAGATGCCACAAGATTCCCAAGCGTATCGCGGAGCGGATGCGCACTTTGCAACTTGCTCTTTACCTCTTGGTCTCGGAAATTCGAGTCTTCTGCGCCCAGTGTGATGAATGCCGGCTTCGTTCTCCGAGGATTTTCGTACTTACGATATGCTCGCGGTGTGTTTCGTAATACACCAGGGGCTCAAGATAGCTTGATCCTGGCGATCACACCCAGGAGCCAGATAGTATTCAAAGAAGACTACTTCGATAAATACGCCACTCAGTACCAAGAGCATGTGGTATGTGTACCGAGCATCGCCCAGAGTGGGGTCCTCAGACCTCAGGTTATTCCGAAGTCATTCGACTACGAACGGGGCCGACTTTGGATCGATAACTGTAAAGAAGACCACGATTCGGTGTGTAATCGCATTGAAAACCGGGAAGTTTTAGCCGTGCCAGGTATGAAACTGATCGACTGCGAAACACTTCATATCAAGCCTGCCCACGAATCCATGCCGTGGGTTGCGCTGAGCTATGTATGGGATCAAACTATAACACTATCACACCAACGTGGCGGCCCTTTGATCTGGGGAAATACGTCAGCGTCTGTGAAAGACGCTATAACTGTCACTCGAGGCCTGGGATACCGATATCTGTGGATCGACAAATACTGCATCGACCAGGAAGATGAGCGTGAAATTGAGGATCAAATTCGCAGAATGGACCTAATATACAGCAACGCGGAGATCACCATTGTAGCTGCAGCTGGTCTTAATGAAACCTATGGGCTTCCTGGAGTCGGCCTGGCCGACCGTCTCAAGCAGGATGTCCTTCGTCTCGGTGACATCACAGTCATAAATACCGGGCCTCATCCGGCTTGCTACGTGGAGTTGACATCCAGATGGTCTACAAGAGGATGGACGTTCCAAGAAGGCTTGCTCTCCCAGCGACGGATCATCTTTACAGAATATCAGACGTTCTTCGAGTGTCAGAGAGCAAGTTGGATAGAGGGGATGGGGGGAGTGGAGCACATAGACAATCGACATGAGGTCCAGTGGTCCCAATGGAAAAACGGAATCTTTCTTCTGAGTCGCTTCATGGGCCAACCGGGACACAGATACACGAGTGGAGAATCTTGGGAAGTTGATGGGAAACAGGTGACAGATCAAGCAATAGCACGCCGAATGCACGATTTCTTCCGCCCTCTTCAACACTTCACGACTAGGAGTCTCACATTCGATACCGACTCATTGAAGGCTGCGATTGGTCTTCTAAAGATATTGGCTAAGAGAACTCCACCGATTCTCAACCTTGTCGGGCTACCTTATACTCCATTGAGGAAACACAAAGAGCTCATCGAGCCATGTTTCTTAGCTGCACTATCTTGGTGCCACAGAAGCAATGTTAACCCCAGGAGGAGGGAGTCCTTCCCTTCATGGACCTGGGCTGGCTGGGCTGGCGCAGTTCGTTGGATATGTCATCCCTTTCTCGGCTCTTCAAAGAACTTAATTCCATTTATGTGTGGACTTCAATTCGAGTCAGAAAACGGCACACTCTTAGCGGCTTGCAAATACTTACAACTGAATGAGACCATGGAACCTTGCTCAGACTCTCGCTCAGCTGTAGCAATTCATTTAAAGGCTCCCTTGGTGCCGGCCTCTCTCTTTTGCGGTAATACGAACGATAGTGACTCGTCAGAATGGGCCACATTCACTATTAATGGCCATCGGCTTCTGATGACGGACCGAAGGACACCTACAACGAGCCCATCTGTACTTCTCCAGCGTCTCAGGGCGAGACAGTGGGGGTGCCTCGTGCTCGGAATCTATGAGTCGGAAAGACACGTCGCCCACGAGATGTTCATGCTTATAATAGAATGGCAAGGCGATACCACGGCGACTCGTGTTGGTGCTCTAGTAGTCGATGTGGCTGATGTAGATACCTCTTCGGATGTAGATTTGATGGACCAGCCCTGGAAATTCCCGCGAGGCCAGGTCCGTCTAATTTAAAGAGGAGGATTGAAGCTGCTTAAGTTCATGTATAGAAGTGATCAAGAGCATTGATATAATCTTCGACCCAAATTCATTACCTGAAACCAGGTGCCACTCCGGCCTTCTGCTTTTTGATGCGTGTGTTATCTAGTATTATCCTTAAACAGCCAGCTAATTGGCTGTCACTTCACAAACCGCACTTCGCTATTTCTGTTACGCATTGTACTTCCCTAAAGAGTCCATTATTGGACAAATCACAGCCGTCAATATTCGTCTCCCTGGCAATGCGCTGTGTTTGGGATCTGGAGCAACTGGAGTGCCACAAGATCTGTAGCTTTGGGGGCTACACAAGCACGAATGGAACATGCTTGATACTATCTTGCATTAACGTTGGTGGTAGGAATATAACAATTACTTCGTAATTCACACTGAATCACGTATATGCCATCTGGTATAGATCTCTCATTGAATCTCTCGTGCCCACCCTCAAATGTATATTCACTCAAGAATTCTTGAAGACTGGAACTTCTATAAAAGGAAGGAGCCGCCAACCTCATTCTCGTTCGTCTAGATGCAACACATTCTACCCCAACCACACCCAGCAAGGCAATTCCGAGACTACAGCAAAACCGCATGACCACCTTCATTCATCACCAGCCGACACACTCTCCAAGATGCACTTCAGCAACATCCTCGCACACACTGCCCTGTTCGCAGTCAGCGTAGGATATCCCCTTCCTCCGTTCCAAAGCTTCGTGTACTGACTTAAACCAGGCTTCTGCTCTTCCCAGTCATAACGAGGTCTCGGAGCTTCAGGCCCCTATCGATGCCTTTGATATTGTCATCCCGCAGTGGGAGGTTCAGGCCGCCCCTGGAGGCGAGAAGTTGATTCTTGCTGGAACGGTCGAGCAGGTTCTCTCGGAGCTTCAGGCCATCAACCCCAACTACGCGCAAGACTTTGGCCTCGACTTTGAGCTCCCTTCACCCGCTGTTCATAAGCGCAGCGACTTTGACGGCGCCGCTTTCGCGTGCAACGTCACCAAGGCCATGGCTGATCAGAGGGTCATCGTCAAGGGTGCCAAGTACCTCAGAGGCGTCAAGGGAAAGCCCCATCACCCTCCTGGACCTAACACCTGCGCTCGTGTGAGCTGCAGCTGGAAGTCTGCAATCTGGTGGTGCAACCATGTAAGTACATAAGAGATACCGTCTTCACAAGACTATTGTGAGGCTGACTTTCTACAGGCACAAACCCCCCGCGATCTCGACTCTTTCGGTCTGATTGCTGACGGTGCCGACCACATCATTCAAGGCTGCCAGACCAATGGCGAGTGGACCAACGGTCAAACGTGGCACAAGGATGACTGGAGTGTCATTGTTGGCCGCGCCAACTGCTAACTCAAATTAGCCAAGGCGTCTTCCGAGGACGATACAAGACTCGGCAATCTATTTGGGGAAGGAAAAGGCCCGGCATTTTGCGGGACTTTAACGTTACAAGTTCATGATAGCCGTTAGCATTTCTCTCTCAAGTTAGAAACGTGATCTCAGCGACTGAGGTCCTGGTTTCAGTCATAAATCCTTCGTCCTTTTGGTGAATCTCTGTAAATTTGTAATGCACTGTGATCTGGAAGTCCATTAACTTCTATAGCAGTCATCATTGTCCAACCTTCCCACGTAAAAGACTGTGAAGCAGCCTCGTCGGCCCAGAACCTCTGGGTTGCGGTCCGTCAGGTACTTAGTTTCAACCAATTTTGTATCTCTGACTGTACTTCTAGGAAACAAAGGCAGCACTATGCCCTGATACAGACTACATTGAGATAGACCCTTGCCCAAAGAGCAGATTTTCATCGCTCTTCGAACCTTATTAGTTTCGTTCACATCCTGGTAGTATCTCCGCGAAGGTCAGCACTAGATCAAGTGGAGTTTTAAACAGAAAGGTTTTCTCGGCAAGATGTCGGTGTCGTCGCACCAGTCCAGTGGAGCATCTGTTTGTCTCCAAAGAGGCTCTTGGACTCAATGCGTTTGGCGTCGCCTGAATCGGCATTCCAACTTGGATCAGCGGCATTGAAGTTATAGGCCTATGAAGACTTGTAACACTGATTTTGAGCATCCGGGCCGAGTCGATGAAAAAAGACTGTCGTCATGAGGCTTCTCGCATGTAGTGCATGTCTCTTAATCCGGTAATCGATTCGCCCAAGGAAGCCAAGGGGGAGCCAGGCTACCTTAGCTCATGCGAAGCGCCACCGGTTGTCACACCCGGGACTTTATCTCCTAACTTAGTGCGATCACTTCGGCGCCTACCGAGAATTTAGCGGCAACTTCATAGACGTCATTCATCTAGGTATGCATACTCTCAGGGAAATAAACAATTGGAATTGTGCGCCCGAGGTCCAGCTGCGGTTCGGCTATGTTGGCTGCAGCAATGTGAGCTCTGATGCGGGGAAGATTGAGGCAATTCGAGCGTCATCAGTTGTCTTTCTGAGTACCTATATAAGCAAGTAGAGTGTAATGATCGATCATAGCGACTCTGGTTTTCGATCGAAGCAATAAAGGTCGGGACAACAAATATTATCACACTAGTCGAAAATATCCCTTGAAATGAGTTATCCGGACAAGTTTACCGGCTTCTGCACGGCAGGGCCTAGCTCATGGAACAAGTTTACAAAAGAAACTCTCACCCCGAAACCCTTCGAAGATCACGACATTGATGTGCAGATCGAATGCTGCGGTGTCTGCGGGTCTGACGTCCACACTATCACTGGCGGCTGGGGCGAGTACGAGGGTCCCCTGTGCGTCGGTCACGAGGTATGTCTTTCCCCGGATATTAGTTTCGCAATATGAGGCTGATAGCCATCAAGGTTGTTGGCAAGGCTGTTGCTGTGGGGAAGAACGTGAAGGAGATCAAGGTGGGCGATAGAGTTGGTGTGGGTGCCCAGGTCTGGGCGTGCCTTAAGTGCGAGCAGTGCAAGAACCAGAACGAGAACTACTGCCCTCACTTGGTTGGTGAGTCTTGCTCTTTTCCTGTAGCAGAGATTCGGAACAAAACTGACATCGGCTGCTAGACACATACAACGCCAAGTACGAGGATGGAAGCCAAGCACATGGCGGCTTTGCTAGTCACATTCGCGCTCACGAGTACTTTACTTTCAAGATTCCCGATGAGATAAAATCGGAGAATGCCGGCCCGCTAATGTGCGCTGGTCTCACCACATACTCACCTTTGGTTCGAGGGGGTGTTGGCCCCGGATCCGTTGTCGCAATCGTCGGTATCGGCGGCCTCGGCCATCTTGGTCTTCAGTGGGCCAAGGCTCTCGGAGCGGAAGTCTACGCCGTTACTCACTCGCCGGACAAGGTCGAAGACTGCAAAAAACTCGGTGCGAAGGAAGTCATTGACACCAACAAGAAGGATTGGGCTAAGCCTTATGCCTTCAAGTTCGACTTCATGCTCAACTGCTCCGACATGACCAACGAATTTGATCTGCAAACTTATTTATCCACTCTCAAGGTCGGTGGACATTTCCACATGGTCGGCCTGCCAGACAAGCCCCTGCCCCAGTTCCCTGCAGGCCTTTTCGCCAGCAACTCCGCCAAGATGTCTGGTAGCCATATCGGTAACAACCAGGAGATGAACGCTTTGCTCAAGTTGGCGGCCGAGAAGGGCATTGCGCCTTGGGTTGAGACGATTGATATTTCCGAAGCAGGATGCAAGGAGGCTGTAGAGAGAGTGAAGGCGAACAAGGTTCACTACCGTTTCACTCTTGTCGGGCACCAGAAGGCGTTTGGTACTGCTTGAGTCTTCAAGAAGTGAGTAAAGAAAGTATAATTAGTAAATCACTTTATCCGGACCTTCACCGAAATTGAACTCGATTGAAGTGACAATCAGCAAAGGTGGACGAAAGTCCCACTCGCTGGTACCTGGGTGTTGTTGAGCGACATAGCGCTGACTTACCCCGCTCCCCAACTTCTCTATGCGGCTTGCTGATGACTCAATTGACAACCTACTGCAGGGCGACTCTGATGATCAGTGTCGGAATCTTCGGTCATGGGGACTAAATTGCCAATACTCAGGATCATCGTGTAAAGGATTCGTCTGACGCTGACGTCCCGCTCATTTGGGTGAATCTGGACCCAAGGTAATGGGTCGGTGGGGTGACGATTCCCACAAACCATGGAACTTTTGGATCTCCCAGTTAAGCTGACTGCTGGCTGATGTGAGACAACGTCGGGATAGAGTTTGACCGCATTTACGATATATCTACGTCGATTCCTTTGGCCATTGGTTGTACTCAAGTCTTCTGCTTCAACGACACCGAGCAAGTTAGCCCGCAGCCTCAACAAGACACATCGCACACGCCCCAGGTCAGCAAATATCAGCCAAAATGGTATCCGAAATTCACGTCATTTCCAAGCGAGACCTCTCGAAACACGAGACCGTTGCAGTTGATCTGGCACTGCCACAGCTAGGTGTTTCTTCTGTTCGCGTCCGCACATCGCTCATCGGAATTACGAGCAACAATCTTTCGTATGCGAAGCTGGGCGACATGCTGCAATGGTGGAACACATGGCCCGTTCCTCTGGATGCGCCGACTCCGTACAACGACCGGACCGAGTGGGGCATCGTTCCGGCGTGGGGCTTTGCACGGGTGCTCGAGTCCAATATCGAGGGCATCCCGGCCAAAAGTCTGCTGTACGGGTACTGGCCCACCTCTTCTCATCCAGTCGACCTTTCTCTCGTCCCGAGCGAACCCAAGGGCCATTTCCGCGAGGTCAGCGAACACAGGCAGGGACTCGGGAGCATTTACAATCGCTACAACCTCGTTGACGAGTCTGCTCAGTCGGAAGAGTACCGGGCGTGGTTTGCCAACGTCTCTCCCATCTGGAATTGTGGTTATGTCATGAACCGCTTTACTTTCGCCACGGATTTCGAGCCTGTTCATCCTCTAGGCGCAGGAGCTGGGGAGTGGACCGAAAAGGATGCGGACCTAAGCTCAGCCGTGGTGGTCAATCTTTCGGCGTCCAGCCGTACGGGGAGGTCATTCTCTTGGAACCTGGCTAGGGACAGAAAGTCAGGTGGTGGGCCTTTGGCTCTCCTTCAAGCTACGTCTGCGCCAGAGTCTTTGAAAGCCGGACCTAAGGCATCGTTCGAGATCAAGACAGTCAATTACAACGAGCTTGCCACAAAAGACATCATGGACTGGATCGCCAAATTGCAACCCAAACGCGTGGTCGTGGCTGACTTTGGTGGTCGTCCGAAAGCGACTGAAGAATTCCGCGAAGCTATTAAGTCAACACTCCCGGAGTCAACGGTGTTTACTAATGTCCAAGTCGGAGGAGAGCCAAAGATCATGGAACCAGAGGAAGCCCTCAAGGCAATGGAGATATTCAAGAAGTGGGGACTTGTTCAGCTCAACACGACAGGTATTGTAGATGCTGGAATTGTTACAGAGGGTGCAGATAAATACTTTCACGGCGCCGAATCAACGTTCCGAAGGTTCCTTGAGGATGGGAGTGTGGCAGACCTCGAGCTGGTTTGGGGAAGTGGCGTCGGAGGAACAACTGGAATTGAGAAAGCATGGGAGAATATCATACAGGGGACTTTGTCGCCTCAGAAGGCATGGGTTTACAGGTTGGAGTAGAGTATTGTCTGCTGTCAACAATAGCACAAACATCGGTTTCACTGGTAGCTAGTAATACAATCCCGTCATCACATTTGGACAAAGAAAAGCAGACCTTGATTTCTATTCACCCCGACCGCGATGGACGCAAAACTCCGAGATACTCCGCTAAAATAAAATGCCACAGCGAACTGAATGCCTCTCAGTAGTGATGTGACAATAGGAAAACACTTCCGCCGCCCCCCTATAGCGTCGACCTTAAATACTAATCCGAGCTGGTGGTTAAAGTTCGCGGTCTCAGACGTCTGTTTCAGACGAACCGTCAACACAATTGAACCGAAAGCGACGTAGAGGCTTACTCCGGCAGCGCCGTTTGTGAGGGCTGATACAAGGCTAGTCGTGTCACGACCAGATTCTCATGCTTGGCATGATCATTTTCCCAACTGGACACTTCAGTTGGCGTGCCCTTTCCATTCTCGCCCCTGGATGCCCTCGTTGATATTAGAATTTACCGGTGGCGTGGTATGAAAATACTATTCTTGATAACTAAACCCAGGCATGTTTGATACCGTCTTTGACACTGAATCCACGATTTTTCCGAGTCCTTGAGCCAGGAGGTAAGGCCTATTTAGCGGACGTCTGCGGATTTCAGCTCTAGGAACTAAACATATAAATCAAGCGATCAACTGCCATCCAGACAAGCAGGAACTTTTCAATCATCAATCATAAGCTCATTCATTTATTTCAAAGTCTCTTAACTAACTTTCCTCGGTCTTCTCTCGCCTACTGTATTACGCAATTCCGAAGGTACTCATAAGCTCTAGAGACTAGAAGTCAAAGTCATGAAGTCCATCAGTATCACCATTCTTGCAGCACTCGCGGCGGTTGTTTCGGCTGCTGTACCTCGCTCGGTAAGCCTACATAACTTAGCTAACAGTGACCCCAACCAGGATCTCATAGATTACTAACACACATTAGCTCGATGGCGATGGAGGTGACCTGTTCAAACGCCAAGATAACTGCAGAACCGCTGATAGTAAGTTTCCTCCTGATACTCTGTCTTCATCTTCCAGGCGGTGTTCTAATCACTTTAGACTTTTGCAACAACAACGACCCTTTCTTCACAAGATGTTGCGATGGACTGAAATGTGTTGTTGAGAATGATCCATCTATCGGTAGAACGAAGGTATGCCGATAGACAGAACTTGAACTTAACAAAGAGGGGCGAATGGGAGGATACCACGAATGGTGGATTAGTTTAAAGGAATGGCTCATCTGGGCACAGGACAATTAGAATGGTCAACTATCCCCTCAATTGCCAGACGGCGCTACTACATCTGTCTAGCCTCCGGTCTTTCTCTTGCCCTGGTCTATTTCGAGTTTATTTGTAAAGTAGGCAATAAAAGGGGTTAAGACATCATTTGTTAAAACATACGTATATATGTCTTGACGCCATCTAGCAGTTGGTGGGAGACACCGCCTTGTGTAGTTGATGACTCCGGTCTCGTATAGACTGACAGTAGTTTGTGTCGAAACACACGGATCTTTGATTTAACTCCGGCTCATGGCTATACAAGTTGCTATCATTAAAACACGCGCGCATGGCGAAAAGACTCAGAACGTTTTCGCATGCTTCTCGATCGGTACAAGATCCCCTCTTCCCTTGAAATTTTCGACAATATCCGCCTGCTCAGACAACATGAACCTATCTGCTTGGTTTCCAAATCTCGAGAGGACTCTCCATCTAGCAAAGTCTCCCGGGTTGCGCTTGTCACCGTGCGCCGCCTGAGGATTCTCCCAGTGCCCTCTCGAAAACGAAATGAGAGTCGAAATTTTCTGCTTGGGGATGTCGTACACCAAGGAGCATACCGTTCCCGTCTCTTCCAGCCAGTTCACCTGCCACAATTCGCCGGGTCGGATGCATTGATACGTCGCTGTCTGGTAGTTTATGCGGCCGTTCATGGGCCCGCCGTGGATGGCGTAGACGACGCGGTCCTCGGAGAAGAACCACATTTCGTACCGCCACTTTTCCGGGTTGCCCTCCGCATCTTCGGCGTCATAGTCATAGATGAGATGCGTATCCCGAATGTCCTTGTCGAATGTTGAATCCAATGGCGTGTTTGTCTGGAAGCGGGGAAGGGCCTTCTCAGGCGCTCTGTTTGAGAGAAACATGACTCGTGTGTACAAGACAGGCGACGTTGAATGAATGGAGATGTAGTTCGTGTAGAGTAATGAGTTTCGGTAGGAAGGTGGGCTAGAAAAAGTCTAGAATATCTACTTGTTTAATGTCCGAAGCAACGACTGGAAGAGAGGTAGTAGTCCGAATTAATGTTTTATGTTGCGGATGTCCGTGGAGAAGGGGTCGTTCGTGGTGTGACGGATGTGGTCTGCCTCGGCGGGTCTGTGTGGTGACATGTTTGACTCTTAGAAGGCTATTACATCATAAGCCGAACTTTCCGGCTTCGTCAAAGTCTTGCACCAAGAACAGCTAAATCGGAGCTAACTGCGTTCCACGACTCGCTAAAACCGGTTCTACTAAATAAGTTCTTAGGTGTGAAAGTGAATTGCTTTTCAAACTTGGCAGTGGTATGTGGGTATGTTGCGCTTCACATCAAACGAAAGACCTCTCCCGCCAGCTCCTCCACAGTCAAGCCCTCGAATCCTTCACCATCCATATGTCCCAACACGAACGCCTCTAATACAATCTCATAACAAGAATTCTGCTCTCCAAAACTTTTCTCGCCCTAGAAAGACCGAAGAATGTAGGGGACGGAGCATCCGTAGAGAATGCATACGACTTCGTCGATTTTGAAATCCTAGGGAGCTATCAAGCAGCCTCCGTTTCTGGTTATCTTAACCCTCGCATTCAATATACTTCCTGTTCCAAAAGACAGTCTGGACTCTTTTGAGATAATCTGTCTTGAGATTTGTCGCAGCTTCCTCTTGCTGCAGAATCGCATTCGCGTCATTATTCCCAGCGCTGGTGTCGAGTACAAGACAGGTCATATAAGCCCTGTGATACCAAGCAGGCGGTGCCTTTCCATCTGCATCGCGGTATACCACGAGTATGATCCAGACAGTAACAGTGACGCCTTGTAACTCTGTGTTGTGACCATGTCCCAAGCTCCATAGAACCTGCTTTGTATTGATTCTTCAGTGGCCACGAACATACCGCCAATCTTCTACTAAGTGGTCTAGAAATGCTGGAAGAGCGCTCGTTGTCGTCTTCTTCCTCGCTGAGATCTTCCTTCAGTATACAGGGGTCTGAAGCAACTCAATCTTCGCCGAGAACAGAGGAGCTGCAGGTGGGGATTTGGCAGCCCAGAGTTGGGTTCTTTCCTGATCACTACGAAAGGCGCTCCGGGACCAGAATTCTCTCTTGCCTTGAGTATTACCACTGGAGAAGAGACATCGTAATGTGATGGCGAGTTCTTACAATCTCTGAACAAGTCTGAGAAGCCGGATCCAGTTTGATAAGAAGGAGGGATTGAGATTTGCGTACCTTCTTGACGCATCACGTTTAGGCCTTTCATTAGGGCTAGAGTTGCCTTCAGGCTTCAGCTACAATCTGGACTTTGACAACTCTCGTTTCTGTGTCTACATGCATTAGTATACAGACCTAATTTCCTATGAAATTCTTTACTCTCTCAACAACCTCCGCGGGACTCTTGGACGTTGTCACTCGTGAGACGATACGTCATTTATATATTTGAAATCGATCCCGACGTCCAAGTCTGGCTTAAATGACATAGCTACCTAGGTTCGGGAAGAAGCGCTCTTCCCTATCTTGTCGGACCAATTAGGAACTCCTAACGGTAGAGTTAGATATGGCTAGCTCGCGGAGGTCAAGGGTCCGCCTTAAGTGTTCGATCAGGCGACTAAGAGCCTCGCGACTCTTTCCCCAGGCAATGTCTACGACCTCTAGGGTCTTGAGCTGGGCCAGGATAAGTACTCAAGTTCTAAACCCGAATAGTTAATACTACACGACTCTTTGCTACTCCATCACAGCTGCCTTGTATACCTCGTGGAATAGAATCTCAAAGCTCGAGTAGGGCACCAGACGGGGATTCAGAAGGAAGCTCAATAAAGGCCGGGCTTAACCATTCGAGCGACACGGGAGGTAATAGGTACTATCCTCCACTTCCAGACCTTCCGGCACCTCTGTCTCGAGGTCTGCTACAACACTAACGCCGCTGGGCTTGCACCATTGAAGGATGGGTTTAGAACTCGAGTAGTCTAGCCGCCTTACAGGTCTTTTGAGAGAACTTTGGCGGCGTCTGACAAATAGACGACACGCTGGTGTGGTTGAACAAGACAATACCAAACAACCTTTTGTGTACTCTCTTCAAAGCCCACAAGTTTAGTGCTGCAAGATGTAGTACTTTTAATACATACCACCCTCCATCTTAATGTGTGACGTCTCTATTCCCATGTTGACCCAAACCACACTCATAGGTTCGTTCTCGCTGACTCGATTCAACTTTGGGTTTGAAAGTTCCGGATTTAAGTAGCAGAGTGGTTAAAAATAGCGTTTAAGACAGCCTGATGGTTACACGATCATGGTCAAATGGGCATTATTCTGTAGAACAGTCGAAGTACAAGCAGCAACAGCCCAAAATCAGGCACCGAGCTTGGATCATCAGGACATAGATCTCCTTCACTTCCTCGAATCTTCGCTCTAGTACTAAGTCCTTTGAGTTTCGACGACAAATGGCGCTACCCGCGTCAAAGGTCGACCTTCTTGGACCTTGTACCCCTTTGTCCATGATGTCTCGTCGTGCTGTGACTTCTGCCAGCGCCCTTGTGCTGAACAATCCAATTGTCGAGGTCAGAGGCCTTGTGTGACAGTCTGAGCAAGTCCCGATTCGAGTCTTTGGTATTTTTTCATAAACGCAAGGATCCATGTCAGTATTCGTTGGCATATATCAGGAGCTAACTCCGTCTCCTCAATTTGGAGGCTGGTTCCTGTGAATCACTAACAGAAGGCCAGTCATTCACTACAGAGAACTCGACGTCCACGATCAATACCCGAGTCAAGACTCAAGAGACACTCGTCCAAGGTACCAACCCCCATCTTCCACCAAAAACTCACAAAAACCACAGGAAAAACCAGCCATGTGCATGAAAGTCTTTGTCCTCCAACGCTGCCTCAGCGTTCAAAATGGCGGCTGCGACGGCTACTTCGCAGAATATCTCGAACAGCGAGAATGCAACCACATGGCCCTCCCAGGCCTCCCGCAACATGACTGCCGTGCCGTCTGGGCAGGCTTCGAAGACGAGCGCAGCGCCAAAGCCCTCCACCGCGACGAGTACGCCAAGCGCGCTCACAAGCTCTGCCCAGACTGCCGGGTCCGGGTCCGGCTAGCCTACGTCGATAGCGAGGCACAGGTGGAGCGCCGGGGCGAGTACTCGGATCGTATGAAGTCCATCATGGACGACCTGACACAGCGCGCGGAGTTGGGACAGATGGAGTTCATGAACCGGGTGTATCGCGACATGTGGGATGCGTCACTGGAGTTCGTCCACGGGGTGGCGAGGACGACTGATGAGTCGTGGAATGGGATTGAGGCGGCGCTACGGCGGCACTTTGGGGAGAGCGGTATGGGTTTGATTGTTGTGGGAAACCTGGTTCGGGACTTGAAGATTGCGAAGAAGGAGTTGCTTGGGCAGGTGAAGAATTCGACTATGGAGATGGCGACGGCGCTGGTTGGGCCAAATATGGATTTCCAGCAGAATCTGGAGGCTGGTGGGTTCAACAGTGGCGAAGGATACATCAATGACGAATGGAGGCTGCAGAGAAAGGTGGCTGTGGATGCCTCGAGGGCGAGAGCTGAAGCTGGGAACCTCGAAAGCGACGACGAGTTGGAGTTTCACTCTCAATTCGTCCGGGCCGGTTGGACATATGAATAAGCTTATGTCTCCGAGGTGAGTGTAGGTAAGTAGTACGCGAAATGACTGATTTAATAGCTTGACAGAAGTGTGCCTTGAGAAGGAAACACGATATTTAACTCTGTTGCTAATTCTGATCTCATCGTGCTTCGTGACTTTTCAAACTGTGACCTGACGTTGCACCATGCCACCTGATCATGTGCCCTCTAGTAATCTAGAACGACTGATAGCCATATCTGGACATGTAGCCAGAGACCACGGATATCTGGAAAAGCAGGTACAGGTCTACGTCTATCAGCTGGTTCTTCGTTGAACAGGACTTCGCAGAGTTCCGGATCAGGACCGGAGCGTCCCGCCAGGAGCATACCCGCCCGGTGGGGCCATTGGATTTCGACTCAGGGCCACCGTGGCACCAATTGCTGTTGGTACATGAGCCCTCGGGTCTCATCGACCTGCATGGATCCTGGACTTGCTCCAGTTCCTCCCACTGGCGTTGTGGCAGAGTGGTCTAATGCGCATGACTAGAAATCATGTTCCTTCGGGAGCGTCTGTTCGAATCAGGCCAACGTCGATCTTTTGCTTTTAGCCATGGTGGATGTCGGTTGGGCTGCTTGCCACTCTTTTGCATATGGTCAGCATGCGATTGTTCGTAAAGGCAGACACAAATGGGACAACCGTGACATACAAGCATGTGCCAACGAAGAGAACATGCCGCAACCGTACGGCGTTGAACCGCCCGCCTCGTGTTTTAAAAGAGCTAGCTCGATGCGTTGATCTGGCACATTCCACATCGCCCCAGGGTCCGAAGGTCCAACGCCAGATGCGGGCCGCCGCGTGCGTGCCGGTCATGGCATGTCGTTGTCGTTGCCGTTGCCGTTGACGTCGCGTCAAGTTCGCTGTGTAACGAGTCGGAGCAAGTCTTGTCTCGTCTCATCAGGGACCAGGTGACGGGGCCAACGGCGATCAGTGGGCAGCCATCTGCCTGGCTGGTTTCGTCTTCCTTTCATCCTTCCATCTGTCTCTGTCCCATTGGGACGAGACGATTCAGTCGCCGAGGATGGGATGATCTGCGCTAGGCATCGCAGCGTTGGGAACGTTGCGATTGTTATCCGTACGGAGTACTGGAGCTTCGAATTCTCAATGTCACAGAATCAGAATGGCCATTCCTCCAAATTATGCATTAGTTTGTGCAGAGTTGGATAGCATGTGCTTGTGCTGTGCATGTATTCGTACTTACATAAGCCTAGAGCATCCTTGTCTCCATAACGGTGCTTTGTTAGGTAAGCCATGTGCCTCGGTCAGCCTATGTGTTGGATGACATAATCTGGTCGTGCTGGTGTCTTTCGTTCCAGTCAGAAGGAAAGGATGGATGGTGGGGGTCGGAGAAAACGGGGCCAACAGCACAAGTGGATGGATGATGGATCTCTGGAATGGGTGTGCTTCATTTCGCCGTGCGTCTGCCAGGACCCAATCAGATGCATTCGGAGGGTTTATGATGTCGTGTGGATGTCGTGTGGATGTCGTGTGGATGTCGATATGGGATGGTTGTCCAGACGAGGCGAGACAGAGATTCGAGAAAGGGAGGAATGGGTAGAGGACGAAAGTAGCGACGAAGACGAAGACGAGGCAGGGAGCAGATGATGAGCCGCCTCTTCCGAAATTTTCGTTGCAGTTGCCGCCGGGCTGATGCAGTCGGAAGGCATCTCTGCTTGGCTGAGTCTTGTTTTCCGGGCAGGTATCCGTATTGATCGAGAGACCATTGATGGAGGGGAGGACTGGACCCTTTCTTGCCCTTACCCGATGGCCTGCAGCAACCCTGGTGCTTTTTCCCAAGATCCATCGGGGATGACATGATGGATGACATTGACACGGCTAGCCTACATACAGCAGTGAGCGCACCAGCCTGACCGGTGACTCTATTCTCTCTCTGTTCTCTCGCCCTGCTGGAATCCTTGAAGTTGGGGCCTCGGGTCCTTGACCCTGGATGTTGGGTAACAATTATGAGTGCTTGCAAAAAGCCGCACGGCCCAGCAGACGAGACCGAGTCCTGGAGTCCTGGCAGCAGCAGCCAAGGCCTTGGACTGTGAATGTCTGAGCATCGAACGGAGCTGGAAGCCCAAGAGCCCGAAGCAGTCCTGCCCCTAATTACCACTCCATCTCTGGCTGCGACTCTTGGTAAATGTTCTGAATATCCTTTTGAAACTGGGACGTTGGTACCTAGGTAGTAAGGGTAGAGCCATGGTAGATGAAAAGCAATGCAGGTAGACACAAACAAGACAGGCCGCATCCGTACACAGGCGGACAGAAAGATAGCGAGGCCCAACTGGCATGGCATGGACATGGTTCTCCCACGCAGCCGCCAACAGCAAGCAGCTGCAAGTAATACCACCCCATACTAAGGACCGGGCAAGGCATGCGAAGAGCAGAAAAGAAGTGGTGACAGCTAACGGCATCCAGCACTTTATCGTGCCTGCCAAATCTGCTTAAGATACCTTACCTTACCTCTAGGTATCCGTTATCTGCTGCCTTTTTTCCTTCGTTTTTCTCCATCCCGTCATCTTGAACCTGATCCTGCCATCCTCACCACCAACTCTCCCCCCCGCCATACCTTACCACTGCGAGGTAGTCATCCATCCATTACTCCTTCTAGGCAGGCGTATGACTCGGGTTTTTCTTCTTCCAACATCCTCCGTCCAATGCCCAGCAGGCACCGTTACCAATAGCTTGCATCGAATCTCCAAGACATCCCTCCACCATCACCACCAACCAACACTCACAACGCTCGCGCCTGCACACAACGCATCCGACGCCGACGCAAACTGACGCTGATACACCATCGCATCCGAGCCAGGACTGACAAGCTATGACTGCGCCTCTGTCTGCAAGGAGGTGATCGCGTCTCACTCAAGAGGCTGAAGACAGACGCCGTCAACGTCGTCCACTCTCCTCTGCCTACCTTACGCTACCGGTACCTAGCTTCGGGGGACGATCTTGGATTTGGAGGACTGGAGTCGCGAGCCCGATTCAGCTTCCCTTCGCTCGTTATCCGCCAACCTGTCTCCGGAATTGCTTCCTCCTCTGCGACCACCCGCCACCCCTGCGCCGGTGGTTTGGATCACCATTCGCGCCTGATTCATCCACCCATCCAGTAGTCCGACCGTCTCGAAATCACGACGATGTTTTCCCATTTACGAATCCACCGAAGGGGACAGTCGAATCCCACTTCGCCAAACCCCGAACAGCCCTCTACCACTGCTCCCTGGGATCCCTCGCTTCCCCAGCAGCACTCTCCCTTCATTCAAGATGCCGCCTTAAGCCCAGACATTCGACCCCAGGCTTCGACAACGAATTCCTCACTTCCTCCCACCCTGCCGCCCATTCCCCGCGTCACCTCGTCCAGCTCCGAATCACCCTCCCCGCTTGAGCGTCCAACTGTCGATACCAACATCAGGGTGACGCAAGAGCCCAACACCCAGAAACCCCAGCCGCCTGTACCTCCACCGGTGCGCTCGCCGTACAACGCAGACTCTGGCTTTCTCGGTGGCGTTGCCTTGCGCAAATACCAACGCGAACAGCAGGAGCAGCAACAGCAGCTCAAGAAACAACAAATGACGGCTAAGTCTCCGGATCTGGTTGCGTCTCCGGTCCTTCAAGGCAGTCACGAAAGTCAATTCACGAGATCGAAGCCCGCACCCCCGCCGATAAACACTGCCCCTCGACGAGACCCCCACCGCAGCCCACGAGTGCCTCAAAACATGCCAGCTCCTTTGCGACCCCGACCGAGTTGCATCACCAGGGCAGCCACACCCATAGCTCGCCTCAAGCTCAGAGCTATGCTTCCACCGGACGACGCCCTGCAGGAACGAGACTATCGAGCGAACCAATCCGCATGGCAAATCATGGCTCCGATGCCCCCAAGGGCAGGAAAGGCCTGCCTTTTCTCAAAAATCCCATGTCGACACTCCTTGCACGGAGGAAGACAAGCCAAAACGCACCAGACTTAACACCTCTTCCCCTGGGAGGAAACCCGTCATATGATCCTCGCATCCGGGGGACAAGAGTTCACGACTTCAGCGCGCCACGACCTCGGCGAAGCCTCCCCAACAACGAGGGCCCCAGCCCTGCCGCGGCGCCGACACCCGGTACGAAAACACAACCGCCGATACCTGAAGAGATGTCAGACTTGGGCCAGACTTCGTCTAGAGAGAGCGCAGCACCATCCCAAGCATTTCAACATGGGAGGAATACAAGTAGTGCTTCTGAATCTGGGCGCTCGGGCTCCGTCAGCGTCATATCCCAGCCGGCTGTTGAGTCTGGGAGCGGCTCGGTAAAGACAAGAAGCAGCTTGAACTTGGAGTCAAAACCTCTGCCCGACGTACCGCCCAAAGACGATACCGCACCATCGTCAAGCTCGGCCTCAATCGTCTCCAAGAAACCCTCAATTAGCGCGGCTTCAATCTTGTCTAAGAAAACACCGTCCACAAGAGCAACCCCTTCGAGACATGCCTCCGTGTCTGGGCAAGATGTCCTTTCTTCCGTACCACGCCGATTGAAGAGTACGTCCTCTAGATTCAGCTTCGACATGGTTGGCGCAGCAAAGGCCGAGAAGCTGCTCGAAGAAAGGCATCGCCAACGCGAGCTTGAGAGGAAGACTTCCGACCCTGAACCTAGCGGGCCTCGTGATTCTAGGTTCGACGACTTTGACGAGGACTTTGATTACGATGCCATGATGGAAGATGATGGATTTGAAGAGCCGATTCCGATGAGCAATGATTTTGGAGACGACTACGGATACGAGGAGGACTTTGACGCTGGCGGCACAGATCCTTTGGGTCTTGACGACGGTGAAGATTTTGACGCGGCTGGGACGGACTCCTTTGCACTTGATCCGGTGCCAGAAGTTGAGATCGAACTCGATGAGGATGCTGAAAACGACCCCGATAACGACCAAGAGAACTTTGCTGGTTTTGTCTTTCAACGATCAGGCCCTCCCTCAGCTTTGACCAGTCCACATAGCGCCGGTCTCTTAGCAACGCCAAGGGATGCAGACGGCAAGGTGATTGGATTCGCCATCTCGAGAGACACGCCGGATTTGAACCAAGTGCTGAGTGAGAGCTTTGTTCCGGGCCAGAATGTATCGCCCAGTGCGACTGATTCAACTGCCGGGCTTCCGATGGAGGACGTGAACATTACCGATGCGGAACAGCAAGATGAGGGCGAATCGTTGCGCGAGCCAACTCAGTCATTGTCACCGGCGCCACTCTCAGTCCCTAAGAAGGACGATCTCTATTTTGACAATGGCCTTCTCGATGAGTTGGAATTTGCCGGAGAGGGCGACGGCTCTTACTTTGATGAGTCCATATTTGATCTTGACGACACAGACAAGTATGGCCGACCCATTCCTGGGGCCTTTGCCAGGGCTCAAGCTGCCAGGGCTGCCATGACTGGTGGTGCCACTGCACCGGAGGATAGTGTGCAAGAGACTGATGCCAGGGTGGGCGAAAGTCAGGATGCCAGTGTCCAAGACGGCACTGCCCCCGAGAACATCAAGAGAATCTCCGACAGCACATCACGACTGTCTGCGCATTCCAATGTCTCGCAATCGACGGCCCATACTTCCCTCAGCGTCGGCATGCCGGCTCCATCTGTTGAGGAGTCAAAGCGAGCTAGCGACCTCTTAGCCCAGGGCCAGGAGTCCTCAGCAATGACTTCTAGCTTCTCGACGACGGGCCAGGACAAGGTGGAAGCTTATCAAACTGCCCTGGCGGCAGCGGCGTTCGAAGCCGCCGCCAATGGTAGATTTCGACGAGACTCGTCCCCCCCTCCAAGTGAGCTCATGTCGCCCAGTGGAGAGTCTGTAGATGACCTTCCACAGCATGAGAACATGGACGACTACGACGATTACGACGATGCTGGTTTTCGCGAAGATCTGAATGATTACGATGTCGACTATGACGACTTCATTGCGGAGGCAAACGCTAGTGCCCTTGCCAACGACTCTGACGGTTGGTATGGCCAGGAGTTTGGATTCTACTCTGCTCCTGTCGAAGGAGGCGGACGCCACAGTAGGGATAGTTCCAACGGGTCGGATGAGAAGCCTTTTGAATACGCTAACGGCGGCTTCTTTGGGCCGTCGGGCGTATCTCGAAGCAAGTCTGGGAGGATAGTGTCCCGAGAGCCCAATCTCACGCCTATCACGGAGAGATCCGAGTATTCCAATCGTAACTCGATCATGAGTCTCGCGGTCCCACCTGGTATTGGTTCCGGTCCATCTAGTCTTCAGAGCCCCGGCCTGGCCCAACTAGCCATGATGGCTGATGGTGACGATAATATGAGCCTATCAGCGCTGATGCGGCTTCGTTCCAGGGCTTGGGGTGGATCGCAGGCCAGTCTGGTCTCGAGCCGCGAGGGTTCGCCAAGATCGGAGAGGGGCGAAGGGGGAAGCTCACCTTGGGGCCCGGGGCCTCACAACATGCTGGGCATCCATGGTCATGGTCGTAAGAACTCGGCATTCTCTGTTCGCAGCCGCGACATGGATTCTTCAGACGCAGGTAGCACGTCGGGCTCCCCTACTCTCACCATGTCCATGCCCACTCTAGGGTCACCGCCTCCTCCTTTGCCACCATTGAACCAAAGTCCTGCGGTGGTGATGAACTCTCCCCACTTCACGCACAGCGCGGCGTTCGATCCTGTTCCAGAGTCTGACGAGATGGATGAGCTTTCAATCTCCAACACCATCTCACACTCGGGTTTGTGGATGAAGAGCCCGGACACAGCCATGCATCCGAATCTCGTGCCCCGCATCGACTCGACACCCCAACCTCAGCGAAGGCCCGGAATGGGTCACAAACACAAGGGGTCCGCGGACAGTATATCTTACATCAAGGAGGAGGAGAGTGGCGAGACCAGATGGGTTCTCGAGCGACGGTTTACCGCCGACAGCGGGGAGATTGAAGTGCAGCGGGAGTTCGTTGGCAATGGCCAGATATAGGGTATACGGCCTTCCAGAATTACCCGGCCTTGATCACGAGAGAGGCAAAATGCCGATCGTTGGGCCGACTGCGCCCAACATTACGGAAAGATACCATCCAGCAGCGACAGCGTAATTGTTTGAACGCACGATACCTCGGAGTAGGATATGAAGATTTGGAACTTAATGATGGCATACCCTGTATAGAGTTACTGGCCCAAGCCATATGCATCCAGGAATGCGATGTAGTGCTATGGGACGAGGCAGACGTCCGATAATCGAGTTGGAAAGACCACAAACAATAATTAATACTTTTCACGAACGCCACTGACTGCGCGTGACTCGGGTACCCTCTGTGAAACAGTAATGAATTTTTAGTGATGTTCTAGCTGTCTGCGACCAACGTGGGTATAAGTGGTGAATCTAGTCATGATCCTTCGAGGTTCTCGACGGTCATGCTGAATCACCAATGTTCTGACCCCATGTTTATGATGTTTTTGATCCCAAATACCAGCCTAGCCCAGAGTATCTGATCCGTGTTTTCGTGATGTCATGTATTCGATCTCATACAGGTACATGGAATGAATCACTGACATTCCGCCGTTTCATACTGGCTTCTGTCTCCTGGTAAGCCCTCAATCGGCTCGGAGAGCAATATTGAGACTTTAGACGAATGCGACTGTTATATACATTCAATTCCAATATCAAAGTATGTACAAGAATCGAGCATCAACTTCCAGGTATCCTCTCTTCATCCATCCAATTGAAGCGCCAGCTCGTCCCATCATCTCTTTCGTCCACAGCATCAAAGTCATCAACCTCCCAACCCAACTTCGTCCGCTATCTCAGGCCACCCCCATCCCGATACTTATTTAGACGGCTCGCCATACGCATAACTAAAAGCAACAGGCGTCCCAAAGTTGGGCGACCCATTACTATGCGTCCCGAGCATCTGCACCATGGTATACCGACTATCATCACACGCGCCCGCACTATTCGCAGTAGCATGATACGCAATCCACGTCTGATCCCCCTTCGGACTCGCAAAGAAACTATTATGCCCCGTGCCATAATGTCCATTCCCACTACTCAACACACATCCATTGCCCTTTGTCCACGCCGCAGGATCCGTCGGCACCTTGCTCCCGTCCCATGTCAATAGACCCAGACAGTAGGACGCGGACCAGCAGTACGAAGCAGAGTAGGCGATGTACGTCTTCCCGCCAAAGTAGAGCGCTGCAGGCCCTTCGTTGACGGGGTGGGAGACGCGTTCCCAGGATTGCGTGGGCTGCGAGATGAGGGAGACGGAGCCCGAGGTGGAGACGTAGTCTGTGTTGAGCTTTTGGATACAGATGGATTGGTAGGTTGCGCCGTGGAAGCAGGAGAAGGTGAGGTATTCGCCTTGGGAAGGGGTGCGGAGGACGGAGGCGTCAATGGCCCATTCGTCTGGGCCGATGCGGCCTACGTAGGTGTAGGCGTCCCAGGGGGTCGTGCCGCCTGTTTGTAAAGTCAGTGGTCATGGTCTTGATCGAAACACTCTTATACGAGTAGCAGGAAGAGGGGTGTGATGTGTGTGAAGGAAAAGAAAAGAAAAGAAAAGACGTACCCCTCAAAACATGCATCCTTTGATTATCCAGATTCGCGCTCCCGCCCGCCGTGAAATAAATGTACCACCGGTTCCCCAGCCAGTGGACCTCGGGCGCCCAGACGTTGCAGCATCGCGAGGCGTCGGCGGAGGAGTAGACGACTTTCTTGGTGGCGGTCTTGAGGCCTTCGATTGTGGTGGAGCGGGCGATTTCGACGGTGGACCAAGTTGTGGAGAGGAGGTAGTAGTAGCCGTCGCCCGAGTAGGTTAGGAAGGGGTCGGAGCCGCCGGGGCGGCGGATGGGGTTTGTGAAGGCTGTGACGAGGGGGGTGAGGGTGAGGGCGAGGAGGGATGTTAGGGTTGAGAGGAGACGCATGTTGGGTGCGATGAGTGTGGACTCGGGGTCCTTATTCCGTGGAGGGATGAGGTTCGAGAGTGAGCCGGTGGGAGGACTTTGTGAAAGAGGGAGCGGAAGGGGACATTTATATCGTTTCTTGAGAGTTGGATATCATGGAGGGAAGCGGGAGAGCATCGCCGTGTAAGTCATCTTCCGGCATCATCATATGCCGCATGTAGGGCCTGTTTGTCCCCGTATAAGCGAGCCCGTTAGATATGCCACAAGCTGCAATGCTCCCTCCAATCTCGGGTTCGTTCTCCTTGGAAACCCATTGCAGATAGACAATTCTCGAAAAGAGAGAAGGTAATAGTGAAGTCGGCGTTGTCTTCAAAGTGGACCGCCATCCACGGTCTGCCCGGCGAAGAGAAGCCAGCCATTCTGCCAAGATTCGAGACCGCAATATCGGAGGAGGTGGGGGATTGGTGGGATTAGCGGCGTCGCCCCTGCCGGAGCGGGGGGTCCGGGGAGCACCCCACGATGGACACCACGCGCCGGGCATGGCCCTTGGTCCTTGAATGATGGCACTGGGGATTGATAGTGGGAGCACGAGAGTCTTCCTTGGCGGCTGGCTGACCGTGCTATGATTGTATCGGTCTTCCCAGGCACATGTTGGAGTGGGCTAGACAATACCAAACTGAGCTCGTTTAGAGCTGATCCCTCGATGTGCATGCGAGCTGCTGTACTCCATGCCATGGGGGGTGCGTTCCTGGAGCCGACGGACGTTGAAGCTTAAATTCTCCGGGGCTGCCGTCGTGGCTTTAAGCTTACTGGGGGTGTTCAGCATCTCGCGTGTCGGGGTTGGGATTCCCGGCGAGTCGGTAGGAAGGACGGAGTATGATTGGAGCGCTTGATATCAGTGCCATCCATCTTCACTTCTTCCAAAATGATATGCCCAACCGCTTCCAGTCATGTGGAAGATTGCTTGAAATGCCGTCTTGGAAGTTTGCGATCAAGTGGTCTTGGGGTAATATATCCATCAATACCCGTTGATGGAGTTGAAGAGAAATGGCCAGGGAGCTGTGATACGACCGCTGCCGAGGGGCGAAGGAAGCTGCCAAGAATGTTGACAATGTCACTGTGGACGACTGTTCCAAGGTGGAAGCGTACGGATACTTATTTAAGCCGTTGCATGCTCCAGCTGGCAGAGTATGACATAAGACAATACGACGGCTAAGTGGCGACGCGATTCGGCCACCAAACCCTTAGGAAGCATTCTCTTGATGGGTTCCTGGCCAGTCGTTGAGCAACAAGAGGCTTCAAGACTTGCAGTATTACGATAGCTCTTCTTCTCGAGGAAGATCTCATGTCTCCCAGTGTATTCAGTCTGCAATATGCGTCGAGGGGTGATTTAGAAGGTAAGGTACCTCAAGCATATGGTAGGGTCTATGGACGGCGAATTGAACACTACTCTAAGGAAGCTAAGGTCAGTTTAATTCGCCTCGCCCAGTCTGTTCCTTGACAAGACATGCTAGCCTGCCGTGCAGTTGTGTCCCAACTCCGGCCCCTGAGACGGTACTCCTCTCAGGCTTTAGATTCAGGTGTCAGTTTCGGTCCCTTTTATGTGGCTGCTTGGCCGACGAATTAAACAAGTGCGCGCCCTTACATACCTAGAAGGGAAGAGTACTTGTAAGTGACGAGTGCCCAGCAGCGTTCACCTATGGTTGATATATAGCTGGCAGAGGCAGCGGCTCCTGTAGCTACCGCCAAGTTCCAAACAACTTGAACCCGCCAAGATGCCGCCTCCAAGCATACCTCTAAGAGCATGTATAACCTGGACGACCGCATCCCCAGGTCTTTAGTACTACTCTACATGTATTCAAGAAAGAATATAACCTAGGAGGTACTCAGTTAAAGGGGGGATGGCTCAAGACCGAAGTAGTAATGATAGCTTAGCTGCAGTAAGAAAGTGGTAGGACACCTCGTGTTAGACGCGGAAGAGCATACCTGAACACCGACGACTCGTACCGAGCTTTGATCCGGGGGATCTAGGCTGGAGGTTTCATCGCCCATATCCTCCTACACATCATTTTCGTGAGCTTCTTATGTCATCCGCTCGGTACCTTTCAGGGCCGTCCAGGTACCGATGGGCTTCCGCAAATTGCAACGGCCAACCTCGGCCCCATCCGCCTCCGCCACCGGAAGCCCAAAGCAATGGATGGCCCGCCGCCGCCCATTGGGGGTTGATCATTGGGGAACCCAAGGGTCCAAACCAAAAAACCGCCTCCTGCGCTGCGCTCCGACCAACCCGCGTCAATGACATTGTGACATTTTTCTTCTACCCGAGCATTTTCGCCGTCTTTCCGAAATCGTCCATCTCCAACCCACACTCGTCACATCACCACCACAACCACCATAACCACCACCATCCACGACTCCCAAAAACCTCACCTCACCCACCCAAGATTCAAAACAACGACACTAACTCAAGTCGACAAACACCCGAAAATGTCTCGCCTCCTCCGCCTCCGCCCTCTCCTCAACCTCCCAAGGACCTCATCCCGCCTCTCCTCAACCTCAGCCTTCTCCCGCGGTCCCGCGCCCCCGCGCCTCCCAGCAGACCAACAAGCCGAATTCGAGCGTCTCCAACGCCAGGCCTCAGTCTCAAGCGCCTTTCAACACCTCGTCGAAGAGCAACCCGAATCTCCCGCCGACGCCTCCTCTGCCTCCGCACAATCTACCTCTACCTCTACCTCTACCTCTGCCGATGCCTCTTCTTCCTCCGCAGTCGTCACCGAGGCTACCACAACAGCAACCGCCACCGCAACTGAACCCGCGACAGCAACTCCCACTATCGCGGCAACGGACGAAGACACAATGCACCCAAACTACGTCCGCGGCGCCCCCGCAGAATTCGAAGGCGACATCAACCCGCGCACCGGCGAGGTCGGCGGGCCCAAGAGGGAGCCGCTTCGTTGGGGGTCTGGTGGGGATTGGAGCTACAACGGTCGCGTGACGGACTTTTAGATACCGTTTGAAGAGCAAAACTCCATCTACTTGCTGGAGTGAGTACTCTTGACAGTCGGGCGCTGTCTGAGAGAGAGACTATTGTACACCATCGCCCGCTTCTCCAACAATCGCGTCAAAAATTGGTCGGGACACCTTTCAATTGTCAATAAGCTTCGATAAGGGGCACCTCTCGCGGCTGTATCATCAGTGTATAGTACCTAGTTGACATAATCATATCAAGATACCATATCAAAATCTCAAATCACCTGAAGTATTCAAAAAGTATTGGGTATTATAACCAGCGCTACTCCTACAAAACTACTCCAACTTCGTCATCTGCTGCCCAATGCTCATATGCCGTTCGTCTCCAAATCAAGCCGTGATAGATGTTTGATACATGTCTCAAGCAGCCGGGGCGTCAGAAACCTTGGCGGCACCATCCACGTCCATCTTGTCGCCATCGACCGCTGGAGCACCGTTCGCGGTAACCCCATTCGCCTTGGGGGCCAAGCTCTGGGGAGGCTCTCCGTCGATTCTATTCTCCTTGTCTCCTTCGCTCGGCGCTCTCTCTTCCTTGTACTCGTCAGGGGCGCGCGCGCCTTGGTTCCTCTTCCACCAGGTGCCAGAAACGATCTCGCCTCGAATCTTACTGAGGCGAAGCTTCTCGCGCTCCAGCGCGGCCCCATTAAGTCCACGGCTGGCCGCGTGCATTTCTCCCATGGCTTTGCGCATTCGCTCTCGGCGGCCTTTGCCACGGAGACGGTTTTGCGTACCAGCGCCATTCGTGACCCAGCGAATACCCGTAATCATGAAGCTGATGCCGTCGTGGACCGACTGGCGACCATTGTACCGTCCGCCAAACTCTCGCGACCGAATGCCGAAGCGCGTAGTGCTACCGTACTTATCCAATCGTGGGAGGACTACGAGGCTGACGTGCATATCGCGATCGACGGGCACAGTGACAGGACCCGTCTTGGGCGCTTTATCGAGATATGTGGCCGCGTTGGCCTCAAACCGGGCCTTCTCCTCCTTTTCCTTTTCCTTGCGTCTCTTCGTCGTCGGGACTTCCTTTTCGGGAGCATTGATACCGCGATCGAGGTCCAACATTGCCACATCCACATCGTCAGCCCATTCACCTCGAATCCATCCACCGTGGATACAAGCAGCAACGATGTCGGAGTCGTCCGTGTACACGTCTGTGCCCCACAATGCTCTGCGAGCCGTGATTTCTTCCCTCGCCGCTGAAGTGAGATGCACCTTGGGCACCTTGACCGTGAGGGTACAGTTCTCCTTGTCCTTGATGACATTCCAGGGCAGTGGCATGGGAGTTGAGGAGAACCCACGACCCGATGGAATATTTGGCAATTGTCTCGCGGGCATGAGCTTGGGTTCATATAGCACATCGCCCAGGTGAGTTCGCGGCAGGTGAGCAATCGATTCGAGGACAGCCTTTGAGGTCACAATCGTCTTTGGCTTGGGAGGGATGATGTTCGTCGGGCTCTGCACGGCCTGCTTTGCTGGCGTCTCCTTGACGTGTGTGTGCTGATGTGCCGGTCGAGGAACATGGTGGTGGTGAGCAGCCGGCAAATCTTTCGCCAGTCCCGTCGGAGATGGGATGGGAGTGCTTCCCTTGACGTTCTTGAAAGGTGTGCCGCCGCTGGGAGTAGGAGTGGGAGCGTTGGCGTGATCGACACCATGATGACCATGATGATGATGGTGATGATGGCTGTCGTCGTTAGTCGTTGTAGACAGACCAGAAGGAACCGGGACGTACTGATGGTGGTGGTGTTGATGAGTCTTCGGGCGTTTTGCTCGACCAACAGGCGTCAGTCGTCCCGTGCTCTCCTCGTCACCCTTAGTGTCATCTTCTTTTAACTTTCTTCGCCTGCCCTTGGGTTTAGGTGCTGTCGTGTCTGGTCCAGACTCGTGCGCTGCGCCTTCTGTCTCGTCGCGTCGTGCGAGGCTCGCGTTTGTGTATGGTGATGGAGCTACCGTATTGACAGGGCTGCCAGTAAGGGTGACTCCGCTTCCTATTCCGGAGAACATCTTACCGAACTCGCTTTTGATGCTGAGTTGCCCTGGTGGTCCTGGCTGTCGTGATTGCGCTCCTTGGACAGCCTGAGGCAACGGCGATACCCGTCCTTTCCGATTGATCTCCTGGACCGCCAACAAATTTCTCTGGTTATTGTTTGGGTGCTCTTCAGCAGGTCGGTTGCGAGGTGAATCGTACATCGGCGGACCATGAGGTGCGCTGTAGGCGACAGATGGAGGCGGCGGGCCTTCCTCGACTCGGCGATGCGGAGGAGGGGGTTGCGCTTGAGGGTGTAGGTGGTTTATTCGTCGCTCGGGAGAGTCAAAAGGCTGCTGCTGCTGTGGTTGTTGCAGCTGCAGGTGCGGCTGACCGGGCTGACCGGGCTGACCAGACTGTCCCGGCGGCCCAGGCTGGCCTGGAGGAGGCTGTTGAGCATGATTGGGAGGGGGATACCGGTCGTTGGGAGGTGGCTGTTGCTGAAATTGAGGAGCTGGAGCCGGATGAGCCTGACCCTGAGGTGGGTAACCAGGCGCAGAGGTCGGGGGGTATTCGTGATGCCTTGGATGCAGCCCAGCGGGGTCGTACGGTACCCTAGACTGATCAAAAGGCGGCTGCTGTCTTGGTGGCCAATGGCCTTGCTCACGCTGCTGCTCTGGCGGGCGACTAAACGGTGGGGGCTGCCCTCTTTGAACTTCCTGGGGCCGGTATTCGCCCTGGTGTACGGGAGGTCCTCGACCACCGTCGCCTCCCGAATATGCTCTGTCCCTGCGCTCTCTTTCCCTTGCCTGCTGCTCTCTCTCCCTAAACTCAATCTCGTCCCGTCGATCCCTTTCTGCGCGGTAACGGTCATCAAAGGTCATGGGCTTCAGACCAGGTCGCTCTGGATTGTACTCCATTGAGCCTCTAGATATCTCCTCCCGCCTCGGATACATTTCCTCTGGTCCGTTATTCCGACCCATCTCAGCAGGCCTTGGCGGCATGTTCTGAAAGGACTTTGGCTGGCTCGTGGGCCTCGGCGGAGGGCCTTGGGGCATTCGGCTGGACTCTCTACCATCCTGAGCTGAAGGGCCGCGCTGGTGGTAGCCCTGCTGGGGCGTGCCGTACCGCTGCATCTCTGGTGTAGTTGAATACGCACCCTGAGGCGATGCAGCAGCGCTACCTCTCGGATCATACGGACGCTGATGGTCAGGTGTCTGGGGTCTTCTGAAAGGCTGATAGTCGGAAGAAGCAGAATGCATTCTCGGGGAAGCCTGCATCGTCGGCGCGAACGTCGGTCCAGATGGCGCCGAAGTCGCAGGCGCAGGGAAATGCGATGGCGGCGGCTGTGAGTCTCTTTGCGCTGCGGGAGGCCCACCCAACATTGAGGATATTGACATTGAACTGCCGGTACTCCCAGTTCTTTGTATTGAGTGTAGCGAAGGGAGCTCGCGGCCGCCTGGGAATGAAGTCGGATGACCAACGTTCAAAGGCGGAGCTCTTGGCACAGGCAGGCCATAGTGCCCCATCTGATGCGATCCCGGAGGAGGTGGGTTCCCAGGCTGGGGAGGAGAGCCTGGAGGAGGCATATTACGATTCATCGGCGGACCACCAGGTAATGAGGATGCACTCGGGTGTCGAGAGTGGCCTGAAGGAGGAGGAGGTCCCGAATTTGGCTCTTGCGGGAAGGATCTCGGGCCCGGTGCGTAGTATGGGTTTTCTGAGGAGCGTCGCTGATGCTCAGCATATGGAGGATTATTCGCAGGCGGATGGGAGACGGGTGGGAATGGCGACTGGTTCGGTGTCGATGTCGCGGTCGTGTTCGACGATGGAGGAAATGGTGAGCGGCTGTACTGCGAAGCAGCGTTGCGCGAGAAGGGCAGCTGTGGCGGCTGTCTTGGATCCATCGCGCCGAGTTTTTAGCTCAAAGCCCACAGGGTGGATTGCACATAGGTGTCGGAGGGTGCGTCAGCGCGACGGCGACTAGGGTGCAGTGGATGCTATCGCAAAAGCAGAGTCGTGTGCGGGTGCCGAAGAGGATCACTCGATAGGCAAAGGTATCGTTCGGGGATGATCGCGGTGGTGAAGATTCGGTCGGGCGACTGGTGAAGAATCGCTTGGTGTTGTGGGAGAGTGAGGTTGAGGATGGAAGGTAAGGTGAGGCGAGGTGAGAAGCAAGGTAGGGAAGAAGGGAAGGGTCGAGGAGTAGAGGAAGATCGCGACACACTGTTGTGTTACACGGACGCAGAATTATTTTGGATTCCCCTGGTCGGATCCTGTTTCGGTGGAGCTGGGCTGGCCGGCTCCTGGCATTGAACAGCTTGTGCCTGTGCTCACTCAGTCACTCTCGTTTTTTTTCTCTCTTTCTTTTCCTTGGCCCTCGCCTCTTTTTTGCAGTACCTCGGGGGCCGGGGGGTGTGAGGTCCAGGTGGAGGTGGTAGTGGACTGGCGACAGGGTCCCGGTTCTTGTTGGTGTGGGTGGGTTGAGAAGAGATGGTGGTGTCTTGTCTTGTCTCTTTCGGGAATGGGGTAAGACTCAAGAGAGAGAAGTCAAGGTCAAGGTGACAGACAGGGCGGTTCACCCTTGTTGACTGCAGTCTGCAGGTGGTGGTGAGGTCAAGCTGGAGACGCGATTAGTCCATAAAACGAGTTCGACAACCCGTCCAGCTTGGAGACTTACCGGTACCTTAGGTTGGGGGGGACCTTGGGGGACTTGGGACCGTGAGCTGGTGACCTTGGGGCCGCCGCTGGCAAATGGGCGCAAATCAGCCGGAACGTGACAGGGATGCCGGGGGAGGTTCGTTCGCGCTAGTGAGACAGGTGGCCCCCCGTTGATGGGAAACGATGATGTCGATGCGCCGCGCCCGGGGGGACGAAGTACGGATACGTATGGGTGTTGTTTTCCTTGCCGCAAGCTGGTGGGCTTTTTTGTTGCTTGACAGATTTGACGTGATGAGATGGTGAGGTTGCTTTGTTCGTGGATGCCGGAGTCGAGTCGTAGCTTCCCGCTTACCGCGCCAGACTCGAGAAAATGTGGTGATGGCTTCACGTGACTGTCTGGTTGAGTAGGTAATCGACTATGTACCTAGTACCTTACCCGTGTTAATCTTCCAGTAATCGAAGGAAAGAGCCAGCAAAGTAGAAATGAAGAAGGAAGGAAGCAAGGAAGGGATCTGGGTAGCTACGGATCCAGACCTGTGTTCCTTCCTAAACCCTCTCTCACTGTCGAAGCTGCAGGGAACCCAAGCTGACAGGGTATTTTGCGCCTCGCGACGAACGCAGAAGCTTCAAGACAGGACCGAACGGCGCGCAAGGCGTGGAGGAGCTGGAGAGCAGCAAGGAGTCGATGGGGGGGGGACGAGGGGGGACGAAGATGCGCAAGGGGACATGGACGATCCAAAGGGCCCTAGGTATCCGTACCGTGGCACACTATGGCAAGGTAAGGTCAGGTAAGCTTATGCAGGAAGAGACGGTCCGCAGAGTCTTAGTGCGACTGTCCGTTGGCAATAGTACTGCCGTCAAAGGTCAAAGCATCTGATCGAGGAACACTGGAACAGGAACGAGGGCGGGGAAGAAGAACGTCGACAGTCGACAGCGCATCGCCGCATGCCAGGAAACGAAGGACGCACGGCAGCTCTGCAAAGCATTTCCTACGAATGGGCTGTCACATCATCACTCTAGTCTCTAGTTAGTTTTCGGGCAGGCAAGGAACGAGTGGGTTTGTCTGCCGTGCTCGAATCGCAACATAGGAACATACACAGTAGGGAGGGGAAAGCGAGGCAAGCCACCAGACAGATGCAGAATGCACAATGCAGAGTGTTGCATGCGGATGCCCCAACTTCCAAGTTCCAAGTAGGTAGAAAGACTGGCGGTGGATAAAGATGGCCCAGGGCGAGGGGCTCCTCAGGGCGAGTCGCGCGAGAGTGCGGGAAGGGCTGTGTTTTTCTGTTGTTTCTGGCTGACCTGAGGTTAAAGGTAACTTTTATGGTGTGATGCTAGGTACACGACCATGCTCATGCATCTTAAAAGTGCATTTATTATAGGAAGAGTCAGGTATCCGTAAGGTATGACATCCTCACCCGCAGCAAGGGGAATGGAGGCAAAGGTTGGGGTAAATAAGGTGGCGTGCCTTGCGTCTTGTCTTGGGTGTTGCGCGCCGTGTCAGCGTGTCTTTTGTCGCCTGACTCTTTCATCTGAGACTCGAGAGGGTGTCGTGTTGATGCTGTGGTCGTGAACATGACCCTGATGGCGACCGTTGCTGACAGCACCGATGTAAGCAATATGATGGTTTGATGAAGTTCAGCTAGCCAGTTGCCACACACTATCCCGTCCAGGTACATGGAATGTCAACAAAACACTCAGTAGGCGACGCTATAACTAGATTCTCCAATGCTCAAGAATGTTTCGTATCACTTTGCTGAAGAAGATGAGGTACCTTGCATTCTACCTACAAGACAGAGCTGTCAGGTTTGCTCCTATATATGCTCTGAGAGCCTTCCATATAATCTCGGTTTCTGTCATTGAGTCAAAGCCAAAAGACCAGTGAATTGGGTAGACACAACAGACTGAGGGGATTCACTCTGAATGCCTTCAGCAGCAAAACCAATTTGCGTGACAATGACAGACTTTAGTGGCAGACTGACGAGACGAGGACCGGGAAGCTGCCGGTACGTATCATCCGCCGCCTGCCGCCTTTCCCCTCTCTCCTGGGAGCCACCCTGGACCCCCATTCCGTTCCTTCCCCAAGGTCAGCCCCCAGCCAATGATGACGCATCAAATGACCGGATCACCCAGTTTTGTGTTTTTTTTCTTGTGCCTGGGGCTTGGGGAAAGTTGGGAAGGACCCGCCCACCGCCATGAAGAGCTTCGAGGTGCAGGAGTGCAGCAGCGGAAGGACGGGCGGCGCTGGATTCTCGCATGGACCCGGACCTGGCCCGACAAGACTGGAAACCTGAAGCTTCTTCGCTTTTCCCAATGGAATGAGGAGAAGGGGCCCACCTCATCTAGCACCGACGACGGGACGATGGTGTTGGTCCACAGTCAGCGCCAACTGTAACTGGGACGGGAGGGCCATATTACTCCCGTCACTCTCACGCACCTTCCTCAGGAACAGAAGAGGGTTCCTGAGGCAAGACACAAAGTACCTTAAGTTACGTAAGGTGAGAAGGGCAGAGGATATCCGTAGTCGACATGATCACGTCGGGCGCGTCAGGGTGGTCAGGGGCTCCTTCCGTCAAGCAGGGTTCAGGTCCCCCCCAACCCCCCGGCCTCTCCTTCCCCGTCCATGGATCAACGCTGAGCCTTGGTGTTGGGCTGAGAGGGAAAGCGGGGGCAGGCAAGGCCGATGAAGCAGGTGCGTCAACACGACGACTGGTTGCCATCATTAAAGGTACCTACTCCGTACCTATCCGTACCTACCTTACCATGGAGAATCATGACTTGACTGTGGCTGCCATTGCAATCAGTGTGTTACTTCCAGCAGATAAACATGAGGAGAAGAAGAGTTTGCATGTTGTCCCCTCCTCGAATGCAAAGTGCGGGGAAGATCGAGAGAATGAATTGACACGCAAGAACTGCGCCTTCCTCGTCTCGAAATTGCAGGTGTATCCGTTGGCGATGGGGCACCAGTAGGTAGCTGAGTATCCGTGGGACAGCTTGGGCAAGCACAGCAAAACAGAAGGAACGGCGTGGGCCGTGGCAGCTGCCTCCGTCACCCTTCCCCTTCCTTTGGGAGGTCCCCACAAACAGCTCCTTCCCCAAACTCGCTCCCAACATCCCGTGCTTGCCCTGCGACAGAGACCCGCCCAAGGCACGCACTTTCCACAAGTGCGCCAACAATGAGTTCGAAAAGGCTCTTTTGCGACCTAACATTATTACCTCATCCTTTGACCATTCCAAGCAAGGTGCTGAAAGCTTCTCGATCAACTCCACTTTCGCAATCTACTTTTGCCGGCAATCGGTCTACATTCTTTCTAACCGCGGCACGTCGTGTGTCTCCTGTGTATTCGCATTTTCGTCGGACATCAGGCACCACCACTCGGGGCAACAGCGTCCGGCGAGAGCCGAAGACAGAAAAAAATGATGCACCACGGCGCGAGATCCAACAGGGCCCGCCGGCAGCTATCCGCGCTCCTTGCAACAGAACAACCCAAGAAAAGTAGGTAAAGATCTTGCAAACCCTGACCGCAACAAATTGCAGGGGATTCGAACAGACCCCCCGGCCGCCAGAGGGCGGTGAAGAAGCGAAGACGACCACAGCTTCGCCCAACGCCCTTCACCGATGGCTCATCCCGACGCCTACGGCCTCCCACCCGCCGTGGATACATAGACCCCAAGTCCTCTATCCACAACTTCATTCATACCCTGGAGGGCAAGCAAGCCAAGCCAAGCCAACGTGCTTGGAGGCTCTGGACCAGCGACAAACCACAATCATGGAAGGGATGTCTGGGTAACCTTGCGGTCAAAGGTTGTGATATTCCGCCATGAACTCGGCACCGGATTTGCAAATGCACACTGTCAGCGTGCCCTTCGCCCTCCTCCATTAGCCACTCGTTCATCGACGTCTAAGTCTACTCTGAAGCGCCATTCGCTATCGCTCCCGCCCCCATATCTCATCCTTGCATCACATCACCAACTCGGGAGGCCAAAAGATGCCTGGCTGATAACGGTTGGCCGAATCATCCCATGAGATCGACCACGTCGACTATCGCCCGCTATTCCGTCACCCGTGTATGGCTAGACTCCCCTCATCTTATGTGCGGCATGACACTCCAACTGGTCCGTCGCGCAACACCGCATCCTCCCGCCTTCTGCCAATTACGGCACCAGGGACTCTTCAACCTGCAGACTCGCAATTGACAGCTCAACGCATGACGCCGGGATTGACAGGGGGCCACCTGCCGGCTGCAACCACTTCCGCCATTGTATGTCGCTGCTGAACGATATCACCAATCATACGGCGGGACTTCTTCGCATCGATTGCTTCAGCTCGGCTTTGTCAAGGCAAAGTCACGGTCTGCACTCTCGACTTCCAACCCTCCAAACACCTCTGCTAAGATCCTGCTTCGTCGACATGGGATAAGGCCTATGCCACCACATCTCACCGATGTGAGAGGCATCCACCTGTACGCTTCACGACAGACGGGGCAGATCTTGAGTAGGAAAACTGTAAGCTTTACTCCGTAATGGACGACCTAACATACGAATCTCCATGTCACGTCTTCCCAACCCTCCCGTCGCGAAATCTTGATATGCTCGGCTGCCCGATTACCCGCCGGGCGTCTCATCGCTCCACCTAGTGGCGGAGCTTCCGCCGCAGGAACCTTGACGCCGTTCACGTCGAACCCAAGAGCCAACACGCTGACGAACCCGAGAGTCTCCGTTTGGGCAAAGTGACGGCCGGGGCACAGGTAGCGGCCGCCGCCGAACGGGATCAGTGCCCCACGTCTCCGTTTCTCCTCCCGAGGATCAACGTCAAGGAATCGCTCCGGCTTGAAAGAGGCGGCATCATCGCCCCAAATCTCCGGCATAAAATGCGTGACGCTTGCCGACCACTGCATATTGGTACCCTTCTTCAACAGATATTGACGACCATCCGTGTCCTCCAGCGTTGCATCCTTCATAACACGTCGGTTCCCTATCTGCGCACTGTGCAGTCTCAGAACTTCGCGGAAGCAAGCGCCTAAGAAAGGACAGTCTGCCTCCAGATTCTTGGCATTGATTGTCACATCTCGTCCCGTCTCGGTCTTCGTTGCTACGGCCACCTGTAGGACTTCCTGCCGGATACGCTCAATGAACTCTGGCCTAGAGAATACCTCGGCAAAGGTCCAGAACAAGTTCGGTGCCGTATTCAATGTTGCAGCAAAGAGAATCAGAAACTCGGTCTGGGAGAGGTCCTCAGATGGCATCCCCAGCTCACGGAGGTACCTAGCTCGGTCTTGAAGAATCTTCGCCACATTCGAATTCTCATCTTTTCGTGCCTTGTAGAAGGGTTGGATGAGATCACTCATCCTCTTCCGAGCAGCGATAGCCTTGGGAGCAACCAGGTTCGGTGCAAACTTCATCACCAAGAGCGCTGCACCTTTCTCAAATGTCCTACTTGATGTTAGCGGATGCCATGCCACTCAGTCTGCACACTCTTCTCACCAAAGATCCTCAAGCTTCTCGACGTCCCACATGTTGTCTTTCCCGTACAGAGCAGTCGCAGTGGCCATGGTCACGGTACCCTTGATCCATTCGAATCCATCGGACTCTTCGAGTGTGCTCTTGGTGTTGATTGTATTCAACACCCCTGCCAGGTATTCCAAAGCAGCACGATTCATCTTTTGTAGCGCGTCCTGGCGTAGATTGGCCGCCATAGTTTTCTCAATTTGATGCAAGATTCCCGGTTGCATGAGAGTGTCTATATGATGACTCGGAAGATCCAGTACGGCCGACGAGGCTTCGATCTGAAATGGCTCGAAGGAAATGTCTCCATGGCACATGGCCGCTGCGATCAGAGAAGGTGAGTTTGCCACATACATCTTGCCATGTAACATTGGCAGTGTGCAAATCGGCATTTTATTTTCATTGCTTTACGCTTCAGTCAGCAAGAGTGTCCGCTTGTTGAGACGACCGAAAACATACTACAATCTGGCATAGAAGCTGCCTGATTCTCTGATGAGAGAGGTGATGTGTCCGAACACTGGCAGTCTTGGACGGAGCACCGGAGGTTCACGAGGGTCGAAGTTCGGAAACAGGAGCTTCTTCAGCATGAACGCCAGCGGTAGCAGCAGCAATGCCGCCGTGGCTACAATCATCGAATAACTCCAACCGGCTGACTCTATACTCTGAGCGCTAACGTCTGCCATTTTCGCGGAGATCAGTCGGAGCAGCACAGCCCGCGATATTGAAGAGAAGCGGAGAGCTACCAGCAGGCTTTTATCAGGGCGTAGGCCACCGTTATATTACGAACATTGTCCCCTCTCCCTCTATCGCTAGGAATGTTCGACCTTCGTTATACACGCCGGCCAAGTTTTATCAGCACTAAAAACGCCTCACAGGGCAAGGGTGTCACCAAAGGCGCTCACCTATCATATGGAAGGAGGAATTTCTTATTCAAGCCACCGAATGAGGGCTGATACTGCATTGCATCTAGAGGAAAGCTCTGGAAGAAGGGCTTGATTATACATTGGCCGGCGGATCATCTTTTGATCCGCTTGTCCCTATTGATATCTCGAACCCCGCGAGTGTGCGAAGCTTCGTGAAGTCAAGTTATCAGCAGACACTTTGTCGCATCAGCTACCAAGAATGGCCAACTTCTGCACTGGCGTGGGAACGTCCCGGTCAGTATTTGATTCGACAGCGATCCACGAGAAAAGTCATTCAGCTCAAGGCCCAAGACATGCGGCTCAAAAAAGTACGGCCCTGGCGATGGGATCCTCCAGTCTAGCCTATTCTGATGGTGACAGGCGATGATCTGCGTCCACGCTCAATCGTGACAGCTCCCTCACTCTTGGACGTGACCCAGGCCCGGGTCTGTGATTGACGCATGGTGCCTTGAGGCGAGGTTTCTGCCGAACTGCTTGCGCCCTGGTGGAGCTTCATTCCAGCCCTTGTCTGACCTGCTCGCTGCACAGCAGTTTGAGATCACTGATCCAGGTCGAGCTATCCCAAACGCCATCCGAACCCATGGCAACTCTTGCCCATGCTTTACGCCAATAATGAGCCAACAACTTTCCATAGGACACTTCGAAGCGGGCACATTTGTCATTGCGAACTCTCTCTTGTTCAAAACCACGCAACACCAACGTCTTACGGCCATCCCAGCTATGACAAGTATAGTTCGTAAGGTATAACCCAGGCGAACGGCCGGGATTACTTTCCTAGCCTGTCAGTTTGGCTAGGTACTAAGGCGGGCGGTTGCATCCAAACGCAACGCACGAGAGTTCAAGGCTACACCTGCAGCTTTGCCTTCCACGCACCAGCCAGCTCAGATCCAGCCAATGTCCGGCCGCGGCATCAGCGTTGCAAAGCCAACGGGGTATCCAAGTGCTACGATTTCACGTCAATGCATACCATCTTAGCATATGGCTATAGTGCGAAACGTCTTTGGATTTGTTTCAAACCTAGATGGCACTGTCAACCTCGTCTATGACGATGGATACTCCAGAAGAAGGCGTGGATTAAGCTCCGGTATTCACAATGGTCAACGTCAATTCGAGGAATGTTCATCTCTGGACACAGGCGGAAGCACTCCCCCGTCACAACAGGAGATTGCCTCTCAAGAGACATCACTAAGGGCCATCGACATAAGCGTAGCTTAACCTGTCGACGTCATCTTCTCTGTGATCTGGTTTCTCAAGGACCTTACATCAAGGACCGACTGACCTCTCGAAGTCGAGATACTAGGGCACGTGGAGACAGAAGAGACAATTTTTGCCGTGGTGCTAGGCAATAGACATCGCACCAAGCCAGCTACGTAGTATCGTGAAGTCCAAGAAACCTCGCACTGGCAGCTGTCTTCTCCCACCTGGGCGAACGGATTGCCAATTCAGTGCGGCAAGCTGCATATCGGTATCGGATCCCTGCATGACAACAGCCTTCTGATGCTTACACTGCCCGCTGTTCGGTCAGCTCCAGCCTCTCACGCATCGCTACTCGGGTTTCTGTCACCCCGTTGTCACAGCGGGGGACGTGCGGCGTTGAAGTTGAGTTTGCGTCAGGACAGCCATGTATCCCTGACAAGGTCAAGCATCTCCCCAAGTTCTGACGTTTCGTATATTGAACTAAACGGATTGTTTAAAAACAAGTAGTCAGCCCGTCGAGGATTTCTCTCCCGCGCCACCTCTTCCGCCCGCCTATCCACCGGGACAAATTTTCCCAACGTCCGATCCGAACAAGAGGAGTTGCAAAGGGCAGAACGTCTGCAAACGAGCTTGTGTACCGATAGAATGCCGAAGGGCTCAAGGCAGTATCACGGAAAGACGAAGAACGGGTGCCGACAGTGCAAGAAGCGTCGTGTCAAGGTACGGAATGATTCTATTTGTGAAAAGGCGGGTAGGCATGGGCAAGTCGTGGCCCGCCAATATCGGGACAGACTGGTGACGCGCATGTCAAAGTCCCGGTTTATTGGGTTCTTCCTTCAGCCAGTCACGATGTTGGTTAGCCGAGCAAGACATGATCGCCGTCTAGGTCCCGCAATACTACTCTGTAATATTTTCGGGGCTTTTCCTTTGCTGACTTGACGCGGGTTCTAGTGCGACTGCGTCGGTCCCGTATGCGCCAACTGTCGCCGTCGCCAAGAACACTGCAGCTATCTCGGCTTGCTCGCAGACGCCCTGAACCGCGAAAATGGAGAAAAGGCCAGCGATACGTTGAGCATGGTCCGCCGTGCAGCCACAGTTGCGGCACATGCGTCTTCTCGGGATGCCCTCAGCGCTTCATTACCTGCGGAGAAGCTTCGCGCCGACGAAGCCGAGCTCAAGCACCACTTCCTGAACGAGGCCTGGTTCACCTTCTCATTACAGAGCGATCCTCGGAAGTGTGACGTGTGGTCGAGATGGGTACCCCAGCTGGCGTCACGTAACGTCTTTATCCACCAGAGCATGCTCTCCATTGCGGCTCTGCACCTATGCTACCTCGAACCACCAAACGCGAAGCGATACTACTCGATGGCATGTCAGCACGCCATACAAGCAAGCAATTATTTTCGGCTTGCCGTTCCTCAGGTCACGGAGGAGAACTGGCTGGCCACATTTGTGTTTTCTATGTGCAATGGTATCTTTGGTTACTACCGACCGTTCGCCGACGAGAAGGTGATGGGACAAGTTAGCACGTTTGAGCCTTGCAAAGCTCTCACGGTGATGCGAGTAGCGGCCAGATTCTCAGATACGGTTACGCCGCACGTCTTCAAGAGCCCTATCCGCGATAAGCTCGCTCAAGTCGATCTTAAAGAATGGCACGACAGCAGCGATGTACTATTACGACCAGCCATGCAGAAGATTGTCAAGGTCGTCGAGTTTCTCTGCCTAGGTCCCGAATCGACGGGGATACAAGTTGAAGACATCAAGATATACCTCGGCGCCCTTGGTGCCCTGAAATCCTGGATCACATCGCTCCCCGGACGGCCGCGGATATGGAAGCACTTCATTATTTGGCCGTCGCTGGTATCAGAGCAGTATCTCTCGCTCCTGAGGCTGAAGGAGCCCGTTTCGCTCATGATCTTCGTCCTTTGGATCGAAGTCATGTTCCTCGCGCCGCGTCGATGGTACCTCATGCCCTGGTACGATCGTGGGCACGCCAGCGCCACGGCGGAGCTCGGGAAGCTGGTTGATATACCCGCCCGCCGGTTCTGGGATGTGCTGCAGGCGGAGGATAGCCAGTCCGATACCACAGGGGAGGATTCCGAAGGCAGTGTGGATTGGGCGAGTAGTCCATCCATTGCTAGAAGCGACGATGGTGGGGGATGGAGGAGAGGTGGAAAGGTCTTGCTGTCGAATGGAGAGGAGTATGTTGGACAGGACAAGGGGCGTGGTGGCGGCAGCGCTTATTTGAGTGCTCCGACACTTGCGCAGAAGGCAAGCTGATGAAAGCAGACGTCTCCAATGATCTTGCTACTTAGCCCACCTCGCGATGCTTCCGCTGGAGGCATCATCTCAAGGGCTCTTAGGTTCCGGGACCACCACCACGAGCGTCGGAATCCTTGCAACCAAAGGAAAGAGAGAAAAAAATGTTAGGCCAGTTGTGGGAGCATGCCTCAAATTATCCGACCTCTCGGTCGGGCTGTCGCCCTGAAAACAACTAATCGCCCTCGATATGCCAATGGCCATCAAATTTGATACCATACCTTGGTTGAGGAACAGGTCTGACCGTACTCACGAACCCGTGACCCAACGACATTCAATGGGAGTCATGCGTCTGCCGCAGACACATCACTTGCAACAGAAGCATGTCAAGCCTGCTCCGGCAAGCCAATTCAAACACATCAAATAATAAATTTTATTACTTAACTTAGCATCACCATTCCAATACCCCTACTGAAGTGAACGAGAGTGTCTCCTCCGTGGTAGTCACATGACGCTTGCCAAGGAAGGATCCGACGCCCGTGTGTTGCGAGTACTCTAGTAAAGATACGGAGCCCAGGTAAAGCCTCACCGGCGCAGGCCAATCCTACATCGGCGGTTAAGCTCTCCTCAGCAGCCACTCAGAGACGGCCCATTCCAAACGACACATGGACTCGAAGATTTGAGCAAGTTTCGTTCACATGTTCCTTTTGTCACGTTGTGTACCTACTTTAACTGTTGAGTTGTGGTGCGCGAATTACCACACCCTCTGTACAGAGTACCTTTTACGTTTCCATGCCTTGGGTGTAAGGTACGCGGGCGCGCCAATGCCTCTAACAGCAACTCCGCGTGAAGTAGCCGGGACCGCCGCCCCGCCCGCCCGTGTTTTGCCGTTGGGCTGGCATGCTGGTGGCTGGCTCGCTAGGGGGTGGGGTGACGGCATGCAGGCGGGATGCCATCGGCGGGCGGTGTTGGGAAACCTTCTTTTCGGCCTGATGATCTTGTGGGATGCTGTTGTAATCGCAGACAAGCGTTGCACAAAAATGACTCCTATAACCTTGCTTTAACCGCGGCGATTGATTTCCTTTCAGATGGGAGCTCTTGGGTGTAATGAATCGGTCGGCAGGAGGAAACGGCACGGGAGGGATGAACTTCTCGGATGGGACCGATCCCGGAGGCGGGTGCCATCGGCTTTCGGGAGCGACTCCGCCGGTGGGGTTCAACGACACACAGTTCAGACCCCGTGGGACCCCACCTACTGCTATTACTTCGCTCCTCATAGGACGCAGGAGTGTCTGCCGTACTCGCGATGATCGTCGAGGCGAGACGCGAGGTAGGTCAAGGGCGTGGTGGTCCCTTCACTGCATTACTGCCGGGAACATTGGCCGATCCAGCCCCTAGAAGTGCAGCTGCGTAGGCCGAGAAAGCGGGCGGGAGGGCGAAAAAGAGCTCAGGATTGCGCATGTATGATGTCTTTTACCCCGCAGGCGATAGTCCAAAGTTTGTACGATGCATTTTCTTATCAATGGTCTATTTAATGTGCTCATCTCTCCGTTTCCATGCGCGTGGTAGCTTTCATGATCCCATCCACAACCATAGTCCATCGAATAACTCCAACATACACATATAAACAGTAGGCCCAGTTCCGTGTAACCTAACACATACAGACTGACACCCTCACAGGAGGCACTTCGCCGTACGAATACTTTCACGAGTATGTGAACACTCTTGAGCGCAAAATGCATGAGCCGGTGCCCTCCCGCGCGCAGACGTCGCTGCCATCACTCGTTCCCATGATGAGCTAGCGACCGATGCCGACGGTGTGGCTGAGAACATACGGCCTTGAACTTGATCTGGATAATACCAGCGAAAGGATCATGCACCCTAACACAAGCAGATTACACCAAGAACAACAATCCGAGAAGTTCCTTTCGAGCCCCAACAACAAACCACGAAGAACGAGATGGCTCCTCCCGCTGCAATCTCCCCCGTCCGCGACTACGCCGTCCCCGTCATGGCCAACAAGTCCAAGCCCTCTACCCCCGTCCCCGCCACCGCCAATGCCTCCACCACCATGGTGGAGGACATGTTCGGCAAATGGGACACTTTCAAGTTCGCCCCCATTCGCGAGTCCCAGGTCTCCCGCGCCATGACGCGCCGCTACTTCTCCGACCTCGACACCTACGCCGAGTCGGACGTCGTCATCGTCGGCGCCGGATCCTGCGGCCTCTCCACGGCCTACGTCCTCGCCAAAGCCCGCCCAGACCTCAAGATCGCCATCGTCGAGGCCGGCGTTGCCCCTGGTGGGGGCGCCTGGCTCGGCGGGCAGCTGTTCTCTGCCATGGTGATGCGCAAGCCTGCTGAAGTCTTCTTGGACGAGGTCGGTGTGCCGTACGAGGATGAGGGAGACTTTGTTGTCGTCAAGCACGCTGCGCTGTTTACGTCTACTGTCATGAGCAAGGTGTTGCAGTTCTCCAATGTGAAGCTGTTTAACGCTACCACGGTCGAGGACCTCATTACCCGCAAGAACGAGGATGGCAGTCTGCGGGTCGCGGGCGTGGTTACCAACTGGACTCTTGTCTCTATGCATCACGACGATCAGAGCTGCATGGATCCCAACACCATCAACGCGCCGCTCGTGGTGTCGACTACTGGCCACGACGGCCCATTTGGCGCGTTCTGCGTCAAGAGACTTGTGAGCATGAAGCAGATTGAGCAGCTTGGCGGCATGCGCGGTCTGGATATGCAGACTGCTGAGGATGCTATTGTCAAGGGGACGAGAGAGATTGTGCCGGGGTTGATTGTGGGCGGGATGGAGTTGAGCGAGGTGGACGGCGCCAACCGCATGGGTGAGTCTGCCATTTCATGGGATTTCCTAGTGAAGAGTGTGTAGCCTTTACTGACGTTTGGGGGACACTCAGGTCCGACTTTTGGCGCCATGGCTCTCTCTGGAGTCAAAGCTGCCGAGGAGGCTCTTGCCATCATTGATGCCCGCAAGAAGCAGAACGAGCTCTAGGTTGCGGTGGTCTGATGTTGGGAATGTTCACTTTCTTTCATCTGGAGATTTGTGTTTCTAGTCGCTCACTCTTTCAGGTAAGGTAGGTTCGGGTTGAGATGACATGAGATTGGATACTTTGTCAGGGATTGAGATCAAGTAAACAAGATGAAAACATACAATTATGATCCGAATAGAGTCACTCTTTTTAACGCAATGCCTGAAAGCTGCAAGCATGCCCGTGACGTGGTCATAAGAGAACCTTGAGGATCGTATTGCCCCGACAGTATGGAACAGGTGGTTTCTCATTTAGCTGAGCTGGGAGATTGACCGAGAGCGTGACCGCACCGCCGAGTGGAACAAACGTTACGCAAGGTACGACATGTTGGGGTGGTTTCGAGAGCGTGCCGAATGTCCGCCACGAAATATCAGATCGTTGACGGATTGCACTGAGAGACACAGCTCGTGGCATGAGATATTTCGCCGACGCGAAGGGGCACGACTCAGCTATAGATTGAAGGACAGGGCGCATCTAGGACTCGAGGATAACATAGGAAAGTATACGATCCCATAAGGCTAGCATTATCACCTGAACTCCAAACATTTTTGAAGCCCCTGTCGGCCCGACATAAGTTGCTGTCTTGTGCACCAGTCTCAAACTTTGCCCCAAACATCCTTGATCTAGCTCCCCCGAAGTCCGAAAGATCGGGTGAGAATTCGGGCAATGTTAACACTAAAGCAATCGATCGTAGATGCCAAAGACTTGCTTGTCTCATTGTTAGACAGCAAAGGCTTTTGATCTTGCGAAAGGCTGCCTCTCTTTGACATTCACCATCCCTTTGACTTTGACAGCGCAATACTTGGACACTGTCATCAGTTGCAAAGGCCATTGTTCTGAACCCTTATGACAATGCGTCAAGTCGGTGAAACTCAATACGATTCTTTGTGTATAAATGCGAACCGTTTCGTCTTCAGTCTAGAGCTTTCGAGTCCAGTTCATCTCATTAAAGCAGTAATTCTCAACATCATCATTCAGTTTCTAACCTCTACAGTCTACTTCACCACAACATCTAAGCGTCATCTAACTATCCTACCCGCAGTACAAAGCCCTAAATTACGACCACCGTCGCATTGATCCTCGAAAAAGACTTCCAATCATCATGTGCCTTATACTTCAGCCTACCTCCCAATGCAAAGTGTGTCTTCAACTCACCCGATACGAAGACGTCAACCAAATCTGCGCCAACACCGTCAACATCGCCAGCGGAACCAACTGGGCCAACGTCTCTCCTTCCATACTAGGCTCCTGTGGCACCCTCAAGCTGACGAGAGTCCAACGTCTTGCTGAGTTCGTCTGCGAAGAATGCCGCTGGTCGGCAGAGCAGGCGGCCAAGGACTTCTACAAGTTCCTCTATCCGTCTCCGCACAAGTACTTTGGCGACTCGGCTCACGGCTTTGCCGAAGAGTTCTTGAGCCGTCCGAACGCACCTCCTCATGGTAAGCAACGTCCATTTACTCGGAATAATATTGGCAATTCTTACAGCTTGCCTCTTTTGGACATGACCGCAATCCCGATCCCGGTCGGGCCGGGTTGGCCACAGTCTGAGGCCTCTATTGCGTCGACTGCGTCGATTGCTACGACGCACTTGAACCATCGTTCAACTCTAGACCCGCCAGAGAGATCCAAGTACGAGTTTCACTCTTCCTCAAGTGTGTATTCATGTGAATCACTCAGGGACAACGACCGATATGATGTCTGGGACGACTGCCAGGACGACAGCGGCAACGACAGCCGATGCCTTCGATGGGCCAATACTGTAGACCTCATTAACAGCACACAGCAGCCGCCACCCCTGAATATACTAGTCAACCAGAGCGCAGATCTTCCGGAGACTCCTCAGTCCGCCAAGCAACTTCGGATCGTGTCATCCTGGGGCGCGAAGGCCGTTAACAACCCTGAAGAAGATCCCTGGTGGCTACCCGAGATCTGGGGTGCCGTACAGGACCTTACGGACGACCTGGTCGAGTATCTCAGCAAGGCTGAGCTCGTTAGCACCTTCAACGGACACAATGTGCACGTCTCTCGGAACGAAAACGATATAGGCACCTGGGACGAGAGCCTCACCGTCATCATCGTGACGCCGGGTGGAACAAGAGCCCGCATCATGACTGGAGACGTGTACCATCAAGGCGTAAGTCTGGCGGGCCTCCGCATGATTGATCGCGTCCGGTACCAGTACATCTCCAAAAAGGAGAAGGAGCACATGGAGAAAGCGGGACTCGCCTGCATCTTTTACCCTTGTAGAGTCCTGAGCTGTCCGCTCTCTCACAAGCGGGATCAGCACCAGCCCTGGCCTTTGAACGGCGAGAGCCTGCTCGCTGAATTGGAAAGGGGATATCGGATGCGTAAGAACTGGAAATCGCGGGCCAGCATTACTGCCTCTGTGACGCCGAGTCCAAGTCCTCGTCAGTATTCGTCTCCGTCCCCTGTTCGTGATCAATCACCTGTTGCTGATGTGATAGCCTCCCGCCGTCGACCGGCCCCGCTGGATTTGACGAAGACCAAGGGAGTAAGATTCACCAGTGCGGCAGATGTTGCTGAATCGACTTGGTCCCGTGGGGATGTAACGCCTCATCCAAACAGTCTTCAGCCAACGGTATCAGATGAGGAAGAGGGTCCCCTGACCAAACCGGACTGGTTCGAGCCGCTCGTGGCCACGCCCCCTAAGTTGGAAGGTGATGTGGTGATGGATTACGAGGCTAGAGCTGGTAGAGCTCGACCCTAAAACTACGATTTTAACACGGCTGGCGAGCCTAACGGATCACCGCCACCTCGTGTTCGTTCTGGGCGGATCCGCAGGCTACAACTGCTTCTGGCTTTGAGCCATTAATATTATACAACCTCATGTGTGCTGCAGCTGCTGCAACTGACATGGATACATCAAGCGACGACACCTCCAATTTGCGTCACCCTGTCCGTGCTCTGAAGGGAAATGGGATTTACGGCCCTGGGAATGATACTGACATCTACGATCCCCCGTCCCGAGAGGTAAGTGATTGGAGACCGGTTACAAACACTGAAATTTGGGGAGGTGAATGGTGAAGTCAGCATGATAGAAGGGCAGCGACGAGTATATTTACATGGCAAAATTCCTGGTGTTTCTGGTTTGACTGGCATTACTGAATTTTTAATAGACTGTTCCTTGTGGATATCGCACTCCTCGTCCCCTCAAGTACCAACTTGGTCTGGAACCAGTGCACGCTTACGGAGCTGAATGTGATTCTGACCGTTGAACAAATCCAGCCTAGTTCGGACTGGTCTGTCTCCTGCTTCTATTAACCCTGCGAATTTTCCAGACTGAAAATTCCCTTTCCGCAACTATCTTAACTGGACGTAGGCTTTGTGAGATTGGTGTTGAGTTGGTCGGCTGCTGGGAGGAGTAGAGGTGTTCAGATGGTCTCTAAGGTATTTTACTTTCAGCAGGTTTTCGTCTCTATACCGCGATCACTACTTACCATTCTTCAACATGAAGATTCGACGAACCTCGATCAGTTAAATCCATAGTTTCGCGGACGACAGAGAACATATACCATTCGCGTGAATGAGATACTTTTCTCCAGGTTCATTGCCTGACCTTGCTCTTACACTTGAGTGGGCCGAACTTGTTTTTGGTGGCTTCCCACCAAACGGACTCGATCATGCCGTGGTTGCACCACCCCATCGTCCCAAAACGCCAGGTCAACATACCCTCCCACCTGTGCTCGCAGGCGACGATCCCGAGCGTGGAGCATGCCGGAAACGACTTGAGATTATCCCAGAGACCGCCGCAGATTCTAGGGATATCGTCGGTGTCGGGGACCATGGCATGGATGATCCATTTGCGGTTGAGTCTCATCATCCTCAAATAGTCGCCCGTGCAGTAGGGTTCGCCTTTAGTGATATCCAGCTGTCCCAGGGCGCTGGTGACGGAGAGGGCAAGGATGAGGGCGGCTGTTGCGGAGAACTTCATGTTTGATGGTGTAAGTGTGTTATTGCCAGTTGGTGGTGACTTATGGTCCGTAGATGATTACGGTGTGTTGTTTCCAGCCGGTTGCGCATGAAATTGTTGTGTTTGATTTTTTTATTTCATGTGAACGGAAGGAACAGTAAAGCAGCTGTTGTCCTGACACTTATGTTAAAGAATCTATCCAGAGAGGTATCTCCGACTGCTTCTAAAAGTCGAGTGTGGGCCGCGGCTGCCTCTCTGCGGATCTTGGATGAACCAAAGAAAGCCCTTCATCACGAACCTTGTGTATTGACTCACCTCATTTCTACACTGACCTTGATGGTGCATCTCACAGTTTCTTTCGTTGCAAAGAAAATTGTATATACGCGCTATTTCTTTTGCGCATGAACATTGCCCAATTTTCCTCAGCCAAGTCTAAAACGGCGTTCAGTCCAAGGTATGTTATTTATGTTGAGATTTAATGCGAAATGATAACCAAATATTTTTTCTATAGATCAGGACGAACTGTCAACACCTAGATGCCCACTCCATTTCGCAGAAGATGTACATGACAACTGTCGTTCTACTTACTTCTATGTCATGGTCCATAATACCATTGACACTAAGCGGCGAGGAGCAGCGTAAAAGGCTTACTCACTTCGTCCACATCACATTCTCTCAGCGTTGATACGTCTCTCACGCTTGTGAGCTCTTCCATAGCAGCTCCCAGTCTTAATTGAGCAAAGGAACCGTCAACTGGAAAGGGCAAAACAAAAATACAAAAGAATAGGCCCTAACCAGGATTCGAACCTGGGACCTCTCCCAGATAGGTGAATCTGAAGATGTGCCCTAAGGGAGAATCATACCGCTAGACCATCAGGGCTATTGAGTCGTAAAGGACTCGTGATGTGATGATCGAGGCGCTGGGGCAAGGCCCTAAGGAGGCGCGAAGCAGCCCTGGCGGAGAAAGCCCCAACGCAAGAGTGGCGCTGTGGCGGTGGTGGCTAGTACGAGATAATGCGAAAGGGCGGGCAGATTGTGTGTGCGCCCGGAGTCCCGGTGCGTATGACTATCTCAAGTCAGGGTAGATGGCTGCTCTCGCGAGAGTAGCGCTCTGTTGATTCGAGGCACATGGGTGGTGCCATGGCGGCATCGACTGCCAATTCGCAATTCATTAAAGCGTTGTCCTGTGCTTGACAGCCGGGTGCAGTGACAAAAGCTTCGTGTGCCCGTCAAGTGCATTGGGCGGCGCCTCGCCCCCTTTCCCAGGGGAAGACAATGTTGAATGTGCTCTTGTTGATCTGGCAGATCAGTCGACAAGTCAGATCGAATCTCACTCGAATCCTCGACGGCATGCCCAAAGTTGTCCCAAAGAGTGAATGATCTTCAGGAACAATTGTTGCAGGCACATTCCACCTGCCTCCCTGGGCAACCACCCGGGCCAAGCACCAAAGCGAAACAATAAAAAGGGAAGACTATTCTTAGAGGCAAACAGTCCAGGTCCCTCCGGGTAATGCCACATGGGCGCATTTGGTCCGGGTGCGGCTCCTCTTCCCTGGCGCCATCCGGACTCTACACAGCCGCAAGCCAAGCTATCAGGAGGAAGATCGACTCGTCCGAACTTTGCTGCTGTCTTCCACGGTAAACAGCAATAAGCATCGATCCCCAGAGCCCTCCCAGAAACACCGTCCTCACGAGCGCACTGCCGCACGTGTCTATGTGCTTTCAGTGCCCTGATGAACAGCTGGTCCTGCAGCAGCAGAAGCAGCCGGCCTGCAGGCCGTCGCTGGACAGGCGGTAGCTCGCTCCATCTGCACTCAGTCCTGAGTCCTGACGAGGCCTATGACGCGTCCAGGATTGCAACTTGCCCACTGGTCTTCGCTGCCAGCACTGCCCCAGTGGAGAAACGGGACAGAGGAAACCGCAGATTCGCACTGCGCAGAAAATGCTCTTCCTTGAAATCAGTTCAAAAAGGAAGGGGAGCACGGGAGGAAGGGGGGAGGGATTTCGGACAGCAAGGTAAAATGGTGATTGTGTTCCCACTTGGTGGTGGACCGGGTCGCCGTATCCGTTACGCTGAGCGGCTTGAACGGGCTTCCGCTGGGTGTAGCTGGGAAGACCCAGACCCCATCGGTTCCTGGCACTCCCACTTTCAACCCCCCCGGCGACGTAAGGGCCGTTGTGTGGCAGCGGCACTGGGATCGGAACATGGGACGCTGTGAGTACGAAGTCTCTTATGAGCTGTACTGCACTGCCGAGGAAACATCCTGTGAATATTGGAAGGGCAATAAGGTAACCGAAGGGAGGCGAAGGGAAAGGAGAGATGGGATGATGCACCATTGGCCTAATGCATGGAAACATCCTGCCAGGAGGCAGGACTCAGTATACTTGCCTGTTATCCTGGTGTTGCTCTTTCTGAAGAGTACGGGCAATTTCCAATCCCTCACTTGACAGGTCCTGTCAGGTTGTCTCCATCGGATGATATTGATGATTGAATGCGTTCATGCTGCATTTCGATGCTCCCGGTCATCAAGTCGTCGGCCCTCTTCCGAGAGACTTAAAGATAAGATCAGAAGACAACTGAGGGGTTTTCGGTTGCCGAACTATGCATGCTGACAGCAGGTTGAAGGACGAATAGGACGTCGATGAAGGGGTATTGCTACCATAGGGCTTGGATATGCAACGTCATAGGAGGCAAGCAGTGACGACTGTCTTTGACATTCGGGGGCGTCGACTCGCCTGTTCACGAGCATTTGGGTGAGAGATTTAACTTTATGCACTCGGGCGCCTCCACCGGATCTCCACCGGGGGAAGTCTCTGTTTTGGTCGGAGTCATGGAGAGAGAGATTGTGAAGGCCAAGAGCAAGACTTGGGGTTTGTACCGTTCTAGACTTCTTATCAAGTCTGGAAGGGTTCGAGAAACCTGAATCCGGCCCAGCGGGCAGCGCAGTACTGCAGGTTGGCAAGGCAAAACTTTGTGTGATTCTGCAGGTCGGTTGTGGACATGTGGACGGGCGGCGTCGATCTTCCCGTCATAGCTTGTGCTTCTCTTGAGTGTCCCGTCGTGCAAAGTTGGGAGTGTGGTGGTACTTTGTGGGTGCCATATTTGTGGTCCTCCGTCCAAGTCCAAGATTTCGTGTTCCGGTTCCAGGTCGAGGTCCAGGTTCCAGGCCCAGGCGCTGGAGCTAAGTTCACTGTTCCTGGCATTGCGGCAAGCCTCGTCCCCGAAACCTAACGTGCGGGTGTGCCTGGCCGGCGCGTTCTTCCTGCCGGCATTTGTTGGTGTGGGATTCATGGGGCGTACGAAAGAGGAGCAACTTTCACTCGAGAGAGACACTGGTGTGTTGTCCAACAGCAACGGGATGTTTTCATCCTAATGTGTGTGTGTGTGATGTGGCTTGTTGGCGCTGAATATCCGCATCAACCCAAGATGAGATGGAAATACTTTGATGACGATCCATCAAACCAAACAAACCCAAGCTTTAGTTTCTCATCTTTCCATTCAATAATCACCCATTGGCAGGTCCGCCGTGTGACGGTCTAGTGATGCTTGGCTTCTGGTTGGCTTGTGAATGGAATGTTACTGCGACCTTGAGGAGGGATTTGCTTGGACTCGAACCTGGGACCAAGCTTTGGCTGGCCGTGGCCCTTTTGGAATTGGCGTGTGGTGAAATTGCCTTCCCCACCCCCTTTTCCCGCATCACCGTCCAATCCTGCCCTGGCGCCGGCGGTGCACCATGATCCATCCATGATCCATTTCCCTCCACCATCCGACTCACCCATGTCTCCCTACTGGTTCCTAGCTCCCACACGTCGCGAGAGGAGTGTGTGGGTGCCAGCTGTGGCCTGTGCCTGAGTTGGCAGAACCAAGCTGGCAAGCGAGAGAAACAGAGATTGTTCCTGGCCCGGCCTGTCTGGCCCTGGAACCAACGACGCGCCCCCTCCACATCGCCTAGCCCTCTCGGTCATCACTTCTGGGCCTTTACCCGTTTGGGGGTCTGTTCCTGGCTAAGCAGGGTTGTTGACGGGTTGTGATGGGCTGTTGATGGTGGATGATAGAGCAGAACGCGACGCCATGGTGACGACGCCCCTGTCACCACACCAAGTTCCCCCAGTTCGACAATGTCTCTTGCTAACACGCAGCGCAGAAGGGCGCTTCGAATGAGATTATTTCCATCCCTTCAAAATGGCTCTCATCTCCCTCCCTTTTCTGGCACATCCCGGTCTCCTGGCTTTTTGACACCACCACTCTCTCTTCAAACCATCGTCCAAATCCGCGAGTTATCTTGATAACCCGCTGTCACTCTTTTCCGGACGGGTCTTGCAAATAAACAGAACTTTTAGCATTCTTAACCACCAACGAGTTTTAACGAATCTCCCCACGATCTCCGATAGTTCAAGATGCACTTCACCTCTGCCGTCGTCCTCGCGGCCGCCCTCACCGGCGTGTCTGCCCACCCTTCTCTCCACAACCACCAGAAGTTCCACGAGCGCCGCACCGCTGACGCCAACGAGGAGCGCGACCTGACCTTCATCAAGAACATCCTCCCCTCCACGACTCCCTCTTCTACCTCCTCCGCCGTCCCCGCCGCTACCTCTGCTGCTTCCTCCGGCGGTGTTTTCACCCCCTTCTGCAGCGGCTCCAAGAGCAAGCGCGCCACCATCGCCGAGATCGCCTACTCTGGCAACACCGGTAGCGAGGACGACTGGGGCTGCAACATGCAGACCATCAACGACGCCAGCGTCTCCCTCTACAACTACACCACCACCTTCACCGCGAGCGATGCCGACTACACTTGCTCGTGCTTCAACAAGATCGGCCCCAAGGGCCTGATCGACGGCTGCTGGTTCGCCGCTATCACCTTCACCGTCAAGGAGGGTCAGTCCAAGAACGTCGCCTTCGACGCCGACTCCCAGGGCTCCTGCGCCTGCGGCCCCGGTACCGAGGTCCCCAAGACCTTCATCGGTCAGTTCGCCGGTACCTGGCTCGAGTTCGACTGGGGTTCCACCCCCAACGGCGGTAACTCCGGTGCTGACGCCTCCGTCCTCGTCGCCGGCTCCCAGAGCCTGCCTTACTACGGCATGAAGGTCGCCGCCAACGGCAAGACCTGCTCCTGGGTCAAGTCTGACGGCACTAACGAGGCTGCCTACATGCCCGGCATGGAGGCCGCTGATGGCGTCGGCTGCAAGGGCTACTACAAGGGCCACCTGGATGTCACCCTCGGCGACAAGTTCTCGGCGTAAGAAAGGTTTATCCTTTTTTCGCCTGGTTCAGTCTTCTTCCCTGCCTGGGGTGAGTTTTTCGTCGGGGAAAGGGGGTCATCTCACACAAACCCACGCAAAAAACCTCGCCACGATGACGAAGCCCAGTAATGGATGTTTTCCTTAATCTTCAGAGCTTCTTGACGGCGCATGGGATACCTCTTTTCTTTCGGGGCACATATTTTTGGGATGGTGCGGCCTATTTGCCATTGCCCCTCGTGCCCACCACCAGTTTTTTCTGCTTTGGACATTTGTGCAGATTTCTCGGGATATGGGCAAAAGCGTTAACGAACAAGACGGTTGGTTTAAAGGGACGCCTTGTTCAACGGAACGGTTACATAAATCTAGTCCCCCTACCTACCCACACATATACCTAGTGTCTGCTGCTTAATGCGACATAAAAACTCATCCTTTCAACCTACTTAAGCTTGTCTTGGTCCCCCCCATCTGTGCTCTGTGTTTGTGTGTCGTTCATCCCGTCATTCGTCTCAAGTTTGATTAAAAGTGTGCTTGCCGTGTCTAGCGAGGCACAGCTGGGGATCAAGCTTCAGAACCGTTTCATCCGCGACATGGGATATCGGACCTTGTAATGCTTGTACGACCCGATCTATTCACTGTTCTCATCACCTGAGTACTCATCTGGGAGTACCTCACATGTGATCTGAAGACAAGCAGGAGGAAGCATCCCACGACAGTATGGCTCTCAAGCCCATGGTTCTCATGTTGACGTATACACGACATGCGGCATGCTTCTTGAGTACTTTACATTCCATTCCCTCTACCCCGCCTGCAACAGCAAAGAAAACAACCCCACCCCTCCGGTTCAGTGGCAGTCGCACTCGCATGCAGTTTTCAGCCCATCGAAAACGGAGCTCCTACCAAGCCATCAACATTCATACGCCAAAGTTCTTAGCGACGGTAGGTGGAGCGGCTGTGATCGTAGAGGCCTGCATTACATGTTATGATGTTGTGACAAGCGATACAGACTATTGCCCCCTCCCATGACGGTGTTATTGGCGGTTCCTATGAGAAGCATCTTATTGAAAACGAGTTTCCATTTCAGATCAAGCTCACTTTTCGAAGTCTTCTCGGGTTGTCCCAAATCATATGAGGGTTATTTTTTGAGACTCGAGTTTGGTAAGTACCTCACCCGGCGCACTTGGTCTTCCCGCACGTGCCCCACCTTGGTTCCGTGGTGGTGCCACACTGAACGACTTTTGCCGCTGAGTCAAAATTGGATTCAACCTCATCTTGAAGACCAGGATTCAGCAACTTGTTCATATCGCCACCGGTCCGATGAAAACCTGTGCATGATATTACAACTTGTGCAATGAAAGAATTACCGATCCAGCCCTCGGGCATCTTCTGGCAAGACGACTTCATAACAGCCGAGCATGAGGAAAAGTTAATACACATCTTCCGCAACCAGCTTTCTTGGCCAGATCGCTCCGGCCGACTTTCCCTGCATTACGGCTACACCTTCGACTACAAAACCTTCGGCGTGGACCCCAATATTCCCTTCAACCCTTTTCCAGACTGGTTGGAGCCGCTACTTCCCACACGCGAGGGCAGACCACCGGATCAAGTTTGCCTGCAACACTACCCCCCTGGCGCCGGTATTCCACCTCATGTCGACACGCATTCCGCATACGATCAGTTGTATGCGTTGTCTCTGGGATCGCCGGTCATGATGCAGTTCGCGCTACCTCCGGATGAGGGCGAGGAAGGAAGAATGGTGGAAGTAGACCTTACGCCGAGGAGCATGTTGCAGATGTCGGGAGACTCGAGACTGCACTGGAAGCACGGCATCAGGAAGCGGAAGACAGATACGTTACCTGATGGAACAGTGCGTAAACGGGGAGATCGGTGGAGTATCACATATCGTTGGATCAGGGAACCGGCCGTATGTGGCTGTGGGAACGCGAAGCTCTGTGACACGGCGCAGAGGGAGTTAGGCATCGAGAAGGAGTATCGTTGGAAGAAAGGCGACGAGGATGTCACAGCAGGCGAGGAAGAAAAGATAGAGAACAAGGCTGCATAAAATGGTTAGAAGTCTGTGCTATCTACCTGCATCGATGACCGATATTCTGTGCTGAATCCTTCCACGTCGAAGTACTGTCTGGTCATGTCTAGAACGCTCCTAGATGCCGAAGATCTCGTCTATGGGACTTTATGACTTCACAGCGTAAGACCGGCGGTATACATCATCGATATTCTGCAAGTAGTACGTCCCGGGAGCCATGGTTTCGATGCTTCCAGCAGGCTCATACCCCCTGGCACCATATGCTTTCAATCTGAGCGAGCAAGCCTGCGAAATCGTAGTGAGTGATGGCTCGCAAAAGAGTAAGGTCAGGTTCATTCTCACCTCTTCATACTGCCCAGTCGTGCAAATCTCACGTTTCTCGAGACGCTTCATGAGGTCAATCTTTTGGACCATCTCGCTAAGATCTCCGGTGATCTTGAGCGCAAACAGAGTGCTGGCAATACCGCTGCCATACTGATTCCGCATCCCTTGTCAGCGGAGTATTCGCACCTGAATGGTACAAGAACAAAACTTACACTGAACATGCCGATAGTCTTCCCAACGCTGTCTCTGAGGTCGATGTTGCTAATCAGGCTGATGAGGGAGCAGTATAGACTAGCTGTGTACATGTTGCCACACAAGGTAGGGGCGGCAATACATGGCTCGACCCTCGCTTTGAATAACTCCTTGGAAAGATTGACAAAGAATTTTTCAAGCTCCTTGCTCTTCAGAGAATCCTCATGGTTGAGCCCGCGGAGCTCTTCCGGCAAGGTCTCCCACCGACTCTTGTCGCCAGACAGTCGGTAGTCGTTGTACAGAAGTCGCCCATACGACTTGCTCACAATCTTGCAGTTAGGAGTGTGGAATGCCATGTAATCGAACGTCTCCAGAAGGTTGTTGAAACCCTGGCCCTTGATACCCCGTTGATCAGCCGCTTCCAACTTCTCACGAAGGCGTTGATAGCAAGCGTCCAACGCCGACATGTAACAGCGAAGCGATTCATGTCCATTTACCAAAGGGAATTCAGCCTTGAGATCCGGCTTGTAGAAGTCATAAGCATGTGTCATGAAAGTCCCCTTGAGCGCCGGTTCCATTGCAAGCAGAGCGTTGGGGCCCACGAGCATGGCGACACAGCCGGCGCCGCCCGTAGGCCGAGACGCGGCTTCCTTGTATAGGGCAATATCCGATGCCACCACGATGGCGTTTCGGCCGTCCCAAGAGCGGGATTCAACCCAGTTGATAGCGTTAAACAAGGCGCTTGTGCCGCCGTAGCATGCGTTGACAGTATCGATGCCTTCTAGGCTGGTGTTCCCGGCAGGCTCGAAGAGCTGGGTCAGCACGGTCTTGACAGACTTGGCTTTGTCGACCAACGACTCGGTACCGACTTCGAGGCGGCCGATTGAGTTGGGGTCGATGTTATACTTTCGTAAGAGTGACGACACAGCTGTGAGGGCCATGGAAGACGCATCTGGACTGTTGGTCAGCGGTCAGACTAGATTCAAGGGGCCATCGCGGGGGTTGACTTACCCTCACGGTCGTTGCAGAAGTTCATGTACTTGAGACCCAAGCCAACGGTATATTTTCCTGCCGAAACGCCTTGGTGCTGTTCGAAAAGAGACTGGTCCAAGCACTGAACGGGTTTGCATCAGTATCGGCAGGTAGAAGGATTGAAGTCAAAGAGATGCGAACCTGTCCAGGGATGTAGATCTCCATGGCCTTGATGCCAACATTCTCAGGGTACGCCATGACTAGTCGGTGTGTTGAAGGTGTTTTGAACACAAAGTTAAGAGGTAAACGATCGTAGAGTGATGTGAAAGCGAGAGAGTTTGCGTAGTGATAATTCGTCAGATGCATTACTCAAGTCAAGCACCGAAGATGATAATCACATATATACTTAATATACCTTTAGATAGATGAAGTAAGGCTACACGCATTTATCGCATACTACAGAAGTACAGGTAGGCAGAAGCCTAATTCGGTATCTAGAAAGCCAGAAGCATAGCCCACTCAATGATGTAGAGCAAGATGTAAATGGTTCGATTATCCTCCCATGACGAGCTGACGCACAAGTATCATCCGTCATCCAACAACCATCGTGGTCTCAACTCAGCCTGCTCAACACCATAATGAAGACTGTCTCTGTGGGAATAAGCAACTGGGGTAACATCACGAACTACATCGCACCCTGACAAGCTGAAGTCGTTGCTATCCCGGTGATCTACATCAAGGTTAATTCGCTGACCAACCACTTCAGGTGGATGTAGAGATGGGCAGAGATGCTGATTTGTTTATTGTTTCCGTTTTTCGATCTGTCAACGCTGCCGGAGGACCGCTTCCAGTATTTTGTGGACCTCCCGTTATGTTTCAGCAAGGGTGCTGTCGGCGTTGGTGGGAAACGTTGGGAACTTTTGTTTGAGAAGCCGTTGAACCTGCGTGATACATGGGGTGCACTGCATTTTTTCCCCATCGGTGCAATATACAGCCACCCCACGTCATATTCTCTCGAATAGGTAAATTTCCAACTACCAAAAGTTCTCCGTTTGAGCCGCAGCAAGTCGGATTTCAGACCTCCCCCAGGCACAATCGAGATGCAAAAGCTTGCAGGGTTTGGGACATGGAATTCGTGTCTACGCGTCCAGCGTGGCTTAGCAAACAGATAAGCGAGAATCAGGGGGAACAAGAACTCACATGGCCACACCCATTGCTCCAACATTACCTGATAGTGAAACAAGGCTCGGGAAGCCATATCCGAGCTGTCTCCATCGCCCGGAATTCCTTGTTCGTCTAGTTCCTGCACGATGTCTTTGAATATCTGATTGATATTTTCCAAGCCCTCCTTCTCGTCCACCGGGGTGTAGCCAGGATTCGGCGACGTAAGATTTTGCCGAAGACTCAGCCACCACAGGATAATCAGCGCTAAGACAAAGTTACTAAGACTGCCCGTAAGTGCAGTGATCTTTGCCCAGGAAATGAATGCTTACCAGTCTCATAAGCTGCCATTGGGCCAAGACCACCAAACTCCAGTGCCGCTTTGCGCTGCATATGGGCTATACCCGTCTTGGTATCCGCCAACCAAGCAGTGGTAGCGTACTTGATAACAACCAGAAATTTCGTGTTAGTTGGAAGAGAGGGGGCTTGCAAGTGACATCCGGGCTCCTTTGCGATTCTCTTCAGGATCTGAAGCTCCTGGCCCATGTAAAGATGATGATAAGCAGAGCTCAGCAGATCTAGACAGTCAGCCATCAAGGGATCATTTCGTCTATCGGTGACATGCTCAGCATGCGGGTGACTGCGCCACAGATTCTCCCACCCTTGGAGGCTTCGCTCCATCTTAGTACAGTATTCCCGATCAAGAATGGGAGCCATTTCGGGAGAGTAGCGCTCTCTGGCGCAGATGTTTGCTACGAGAGCCCCGATCAACGTGAGGAGTCCAAACGAACTTATAGTGACCGTGGGAAACTCGCCGATGAACACTCGTCTCGAAGTTTCGACTAGATTGACGGGCCTATACGATTGCCACTCTTTGTTTTGAGCCCATGCTTCGGCCGAGGGCGCTCGCCAGAGACTGTCGTTAGACGGCACGATCATTTCTGCTGTCACTTGAGGCGCAGCGATGCAGGTCGATTCTTGGTCGAGGAGCGATATAGCTGCATTCAGAATGCAGGTCCAGCTAGCCAATCTGAATAAGATCGTAGTGTCAGATAGAGCCTCGCCTAGTATCAAAAATCCACCAACCTGCTCAAAGTTTCTACAAAGATCCAGTCTATCCAGTCGGAGTCTTGGACTGGGTGAGTCCCACGCACTTGAACTTCCACTGCGCGAAGTAGCTTCGGAAGATCAGTCTTTACTGTCTTATGCAGGAATTCGAGAGCCGGTACAAATCATATACTTGACTCACATCTGTTACAAGAGAAAATTGCCGCTGCGCCTGCCGCGCATATCTGGGGTTGTCTGAAAATGCACCAAATTGAATGCATAAAAGGGCGGTCTGTATCGGCCATAGCTCCGAGAAAGAGCTCTGCAAGAGATCCTGCTCGTACTGATAGGAGTGTCAGGATCAACGTCGGAAATAATAATGGAAGATGTAAGGATCAACGAAGAAAGATCAACCCAAGTTACACACCTGAGCCAGGAGATGGCAGGAAGCTTCGTAGGCCTTTGAGGCGGGACCCCGCTCTGAAACAATACAGCCGCCTATGGCTAGCATACCAAGAAGCAGAGAGGCTGGCGTAGTCGAAAGCATGAAGGTCGGCTGGTGTACTATAGGCGTATGTATGTCAAAGTAATCAAAGTATGCGTTGATCCACCGGGAAATTTGGCTAAGACTAAGATGAACCGAGTCTGAGGTGGCTGTAATGACATGTGTCTTGGCGAAAGCATTGCTGACTGCACTGACGTCGTCGTCGGAACATCTAATAGTTCGAGGTGTGTAGCGGAAGTTCTGGTACTGAGGTAGATTCTCAGGACCGTTGCAGAATGAAGAGTCCGGGGCCGCATGCCGGCTCGAATCTGATAGAATGCATATGTCTTTAGGAAGGGGTACGGGAAGCATCATGTCATTGGGGTTGAAGTCAAATAGTAAGTCTGTGACGCTTCCTATATCGATATCTCCCGGATTGAGTCCAGGTACGAATGAGTCTCCGAACATCAGGAAATCATCAAGATTGGTGTGCTCTGTCCCCGACCTAGGGTTATTCTTCGCAATTGTGGACTCTATGCTCTCAAGGGCAGCTGCTTGGTCGGATTGAGTTCGAGCTTCGACATGATCGGTGGCTATGGTATTAGGATTCGGAAGCCGAGGTGCCTTGCTTGTCGTGGAATCCTGATCTTCACTCGACTGAGGTGTGCTTAATTCAGATTCAGGAGTTGCTTCGTCCCCTGATTGGTGAACTACTATTATGGAATCACCGCTAGATCCACTGGGCCGAGAGGCCGTCAAGTTCAGGGCGTCAAGTACGTCTGCGTGGCTTTGAAGGCCGTCAGTGTTCTCGACGACATACCCCATCATTCGCTCATTATCTTGATCATCTGTCCGACAATTTGTTTCCGTCCTAAAGAATCTTGAATGAGCCTTTGTGAAAACCGATGGGCAGATGTGACTTCTGACTTACATCAAGATATCGCCCGAGGCTCCCTGAGGTTCATTCCCTGTCGAGTTCTGAACTGCACAGTCTGCTGCATTGCGGTTCTCTCCATGTTCTAATCGTGGTGATGGGTTTTGCGCCGGTTTCCCAGGACATTTCTTTTGATGTCGACGAAGGACATCTGTCCTGCCGAAACTGGCACCACAGGGGTGACATTTGAAGGGCTTCCGGTTTTCATCTAATTTTGGGTATTAGCTCGCAAATCTGATATTAGAGAGTAACCTAGATCTATGGTGTTCCGTACGTGACGCAACATGACGTATCAGATGTTCAGTTCTGATGAACGTTTTCTGGCAATAGGTGCAGGTGTGCGGACGCGGGCGTTCCGGTTGTGCCTGGCCATCTTCACTGGCTATAGATTAGGTTAACACACTGCTCTTACGTCTTTCGGGATCTTGTTGCGATACTCACAGCTTCCAACTCCTCGCCTAGAGCCCGACTTCTTCGCCTCACGTGATGATGCGCGAAGGACCTCTCGTTGTCGACTCATCTTCGCTGTAACTTCTGACAAGGAGTGATTCCGTCTGTCACCATTATCTCTCTTCTCTGGACGCGATTACTCTAAAGAGATCTGTTGGGTTTAGGAAAGATGGTAGGTGTCTTCGTCACTTTCGGTGGATGTCGGCAATTGAGCAAACGGACATGGAGTTTGCGGGGGATCCGTGACGCTAGGACCCGGGGTGGGCGGGCGGTGCTGATTCAGGCCTGACTCAACAGGTGTAGATGGAAGGCTCTTTGAAGGGCTACTATGAGAACCTTGCATTCAGCTTTCTTGATGACTAAATCTTGACCGAAATGCATTGGTATAACGCCTACTCCGTACGAAGTACAAGCAGGCTTGTTACCGATGTCTTGGCCCGGCATGCTGTGGGTCAGAATAGCTGCCCATATGCACACATTGAACGCTTGGTCATGGGTCACTTTTCAGAAAGATCTTAGAAAATGCGGAGTCTGGATCATGGTAACTATGAGCAAAGGAATCTCATTCTAACTCTGTTAACAACTATTAACGCTGAGTTTCTACTGGATTCCTCTCGAAATCTCATCCCATCTTTCGTCAACCACTTTCTCGGCGTCGTTTTCCCAAAGATAGAGGTTTTGCATCATGGTTGAGTTGATGTCAAACTCCTCCTTGAATACTTGACTGTCCTCATCGTGCAAGTTGTGCCATATATCTCTCTGCTTGATTCCAGTCGCCTGTGCTTCAGCGACGTAGTCGTGTCGGATTTCGAAGTAGGTTTGCAAGGCTAGCGGGATATCGCCTGCACATTTTGAGAGACATTTGGCTATGGTAGCTCCGTCTTCGATTGCTTGGCTAGCACCTTGAGTCGAAGTGGGTAGAAAGGGATGTGCAGCATCGCCCATCAACGCAACCAGCCCGGAGTCTGCGACCCATTTATCGAGACAGGGGCGATACACGAGCTTCCAGTCAATAACCGAGGGCATCTTTTCCCAGACTCTCCGAAAAGCAGGGTCCCATCCCTCGAGACACGCCAGCACGTCTTCTTTGGAGGTCTCTTTAGTCCAACTCTCCGCGACGTCGCTGACGTCTTTATGAGTCAGAACTGCATTGATCTCTTTGCCACCTTGCAACGTGCTGATGAAGCCATGCATGTCCTTGGCCAGAAACAAACGGATTGTGTCGCCGTCACTGAGGAATTTGCTCGCCAAGGGGTCATCTCTGAGGAGATCACCGCTCATAAATGATCGGTAAATGGCGTATCCGCTCGCTTGAGGTTTATCTTCATAACCTAACACAGTCGTGCGTCCTTTGCTTCTGACACCGTCGGCGATGATTACGACATCTGACTGAATCTCTTCTCCGGAGGATAGCGTGATGCTCGGCTGATTCGGATCGTAGACTTCGACTCGTTCGCCAAGTCGGATTTTGACGCCCTGTTCAAGAGCAAAGTCCTTCATGATGAGATGGAAATCGCCCCTGTGACCTATGATTTGGCGGCATCCGTAATTCTCTACAGATTTGCCAATTTGGTCGTCGATACCGAGGAGTTTGTCGGAAGAGTCGAAGTTATAGATACGCATCTCGCTGCTCTTGCTTGCAATCGGCTCCATCCTGGACCCGACTCCCCAACGATAGAGAAGCCTTGCCGAGTTTGAACCGAATCCGATACTGTCACCAAGGCGTAGGAATTCCTTTAGCTGATCAACTATCAAGACCTCAAAGCCTTGACGACGACATGCGATGCCGCATGCTAGACCTCCTAGGCCTGCTCCCACTATCGTCACTTTCAGGGGATGAGACATGAAGAAGGATATTGGGGAAACTTGTTACTGTGTTATGAAGAGAATTTCGAACCAAAATAGCGATGGAAATTAATCTGTGTCGGGGTTTGAGAGTGGTCTTTCGATACTGTTTTAAACCAACTTCAAACGAGCCATCCAAAGCCGTTGACTTACATGGCTTGTGGGGTAGGCCTGCTACCCCACAAGCCCTGGGTTCGCCCCCTCCACATACGCAAGAAGTCTTTGGGTACATGAACAGATGGCGTCGCCGGTCTGATGAAAGAACGTTCAAGCTTCTATACTATTGAAAATACACAACCCCATCAAGTTCCGAATCATGTCTTTCCTCCAAACACTCCTCCAATCTTTGCGGGACAACATTGCTGTTCTCGAACATGAAGTCGACCTACACAATCTAGGAACACCCCAAGTTTGGGACCCAGAAGCTTCTACAAAGTTCGACGATCCCGAGCATTTAATCTCTTGGCAAGCGTTTGAGGCTATCGAGAAGATTCGCGTGGACGTCCGCGCTCTTGATGCAGCAGTTACACCCAATCACATCAAGCTGCTTGAGATGGGCCTGCAACCAGCGCGGACGAGTGCACTCAACGTCGCAGTGTCCCTTGGTATCACAGATGCAATAACAGATCTTGGAGGCGATGCGAAGCTGGCAGATTTAGCCAGTCAACTGAACGTCAATGAGCAGAAATTAGGTAGGCATTTTGCCCTGCGCCGCCCTCAATGTCTCTAGTTTACTGACCACTATCTCAGGGAGAGTCATGAGAACACTGGCAGCTGAGTACATCTACCAAGAAAAGCAGCCAAACGTGTTCAGCAATGCTCGACATAGTAAGAACCTCGAAAAGGAGGGCAGTGCTGCTCAATTCTTGTCCCTCTTGTAAGCTCCAATTTCGGTACTTAGTGTCCTTTGTCCCTACCTTATTCTAATAAGCAAAGATCGAACGAGGGCCTTAGGAGCTCCGCAGGTCTACTATCTCATATGACAGACATCAAGACCAAAGACTCTTATCTGGCCACAGATGCTCCTTTCTGTTCTGCAGTGGCACAGAAGGGAGAAACATTCTTTGAATATATTAGTCATCCCGAGAACTCCGGCGTTGCGCTCAAGGTCATCAAGGGTGTTCTGCCATGGCTCAATGTAGGTATATCTTAACATACGCATCATAACACCTGACTTTGGCTTATCGATACGTCCATTGCAGCGAACGACTAGACCAGCGCTTCTTAATGACTATCCTTGGCATGAGAGCCCCAGAGCCCGAGTTGTTGATGTTGGGTGCGGTCCAGGTGACAGCGGTTTTGACATCATGAGGCATAACCCGGAGCTTCATTGGACCTTTCAGGATCTTCAACCCGCCATCGAGAGCTTGAGATCCGTCAGTTGCACCCGGCATGAATTGGATGTTGATACTAACATCTCAAGCAGAATCTGCCTAAGGATATTGCACAAAGAGCTGCCGATGGGAAAGTCAAATGTGTTGTACAGGACTACTTCAAAGACAACGTAGCAGAAGGTGACATATGGTACCTCAGAGGAGTTTTGTGAGTACACGCAGTTCTGAATTTCATATAAGCCGCTTCGCTGCAGCATATTGATATCTGTTAGACGCGAATACGATGATGAAGACGCTATCAAGATACTTACCAAAGTTGCGAACTCGATGAGAAAGACTCCGGGCTCACGTATGGTGATCAACGAGATTTGGAACTCCAGCCCGTTCATTGTCAGCAATCAGAACGCGGCCCCATCTACTCTGACACCTATCCACCAGTCAAGACTTCCGGACCTTGCTAACTTGATGACATGGGATACTTTTTTCTTCTTTGGCGGGAAGGAAAGATCAGTGCCAGAGCTCGAGTTCATTCTTGAAAAGGCCGGTTTAAGAATTAGTCGCTTCTTCCAGTTCCGCACAATCACTACGATGGTGGAGTGTTCGTTAGCTTGAGTCAAGGGTGAAGGGAGATGTCCTCGTCGTCCTATTGAATAGAACGCTTTCAACTGATGTTAGTGCACATCCGATGGGCACATTGAGGTATGTACGGGCTCTCTCCAGTCGATTTCGCAGTGTCCGTACCAGTCCGAGGTATCATCATCTTGGAAGAGCCAGAGGTGAGATGTAGCAACGAGTTCCTGGGATCAGGATTCAAGGTGATCTGAATAAGGGTTGCAGTCAACGAAAACCTGTGTTGCTGATGTCCATCCTCAGGATTAGCGTAGCATGTTTTGCGAATGTGATCTAGTCTCGTTTTCCGGAGGCTTCTATCTGTGCTCCAAAACCCAAGAAGAACCTATCCACGCAGGACTGACTTCCTTCATTAGTGCTGCTTCCTTTATCGTCGTCTAATTCAGCTATTCAAAGTGATTACGATCTTGGTAGAATACGCGGTAAGAACTCGCTAAAAGGAGCGGCATCAAAGGTAGTAATGTCAGTAGAAGAAGACACTCAGGACTCTTTAAGCGGCGGTTGCATATATCTGTTTTTTTTTTTTTGTTCACGTGCTGTTGAAATAGAAGATTTAGATTCTGTGGACTGAGCTGTTCGGTTAAATTAATGTACTCATGCTAAGGTTTGGGGCTGCATCGTTGACAATTATTCCGTCTTCAACACATAAACTCTGTTAACTGGCTGAAGTTAGCGAATAAGGTGAACGTTTGATTCGAGGTTCATTTAGCGGATGGATTATTGTGTCGGTTTTGCTTCTCCTTTCCCTGTAGTTCTGTCTTCGGCTCTTACCAAGATTCCTTCTCCGTGGGGGTTTCTTTGTGGCCCAAGTGGGTTGTGAAGCAAATGACTCAATCACCATCGATCAACTGAGATAAACCAGGATCCCAACGTCCAACTGTCTTGTCTCGATCCCGGCGGGGAAACGTGTCTCGTCGGGCCTAATTTCGATGCCGAAGCCCCTCCCATCTTCCGAGTCCTTCGAATTCGTCTCCTCCACCAAGCGGAGAAACCCTGTGCCCAGAAGATATGAGCGGCAAGCACCCCCCGCGCGACCTTTGGCTCGATCAATATGTCTCGTGTTAACTACCCCACTGTAGCCACGAATTAAGCTTTCTGGTGCCATTTGCTTGCTCCACGCCGAATCAACCAGGCCCATGTCGCTGAGATGTCACCGTCGGTCCGTCGGTCTGGCACGCAACAGACACATGATGGTAGTTTAACAAGGGCAGATAAACCGCTCGCACTTTGTCATCTCCGTCGCTAATAAGCTTTTCACATGCATTTTGTTGCAGTAAGGAACAAGGTTGTTGACTTCTGAGCGGAGTCTTCCCGCCACGAAGTGTCTTAGAAGCCCCCTCACGTCGTCAAGCTGGTGGTCATTGCTGGGACTAGGGTGTTTGGCAAGTTCTTCCTGTTCTAGTCCCCCCGAGCTGCTGAATGCAACATATCCGGTGGGAGTGTTGACTGCTGCAGCATCTCAGGCAGAGTCTCTTAGCCGTGATAACCGCTCCTAAGGACATGGACTCAATGAGGGGGTTTGGCCAAGTTCTGCGAGACGTAGACTAGTTGACAACTCGTTTCCCCAGTTCTTGCGCGTCTTAATGCGATCACACAATCTAATTCAATCTCGCTTGTATCTAGATCACAGCTTCCTCGTGAATCGATGCATTGGATTCGCTTGTTCCAAGTACAATCCCTTGAACGTAAATCTCAACCCCACAACTCCATCTCAGAGAGGCAAACTATGAAATGCTTTCCAGTCTAAATGCTAAAAATTTTGCTTTGTGAAAGTTTCGTCATAAGAGTATAGTTGCCGGCCGTTGGGCTCAGTTTCTCGGCTTGAGAATAACCTTCCAGTGACCGGTTGCAAATTGCATGGTGATATACTGGCGGAAGTCGATGTCTTGGCCCGGAACTTCGAGGACATCGAATCTTTGTAGAAGGTTGGCGGCGACCATTCTCATCTCCGCCCATGCAAAGCTTTATTGATTCTGTTAGAACGATCGCTGGTATCATATGAGGGCTCTCCAGATAATGACTTACTTGATTCCGATGCAAGAGTGTTTGCCTCCAGAAAAGGGGTAGTACGCATCCAGACTAGAGAACCTGTTAGATCTTGTGCACAACGTGTTTCACCGGACAGGGAGCAGTGGGACTTACTCAGGTGCAGGAGCTCCGTCTCTCTTGTCGTCTGACAGCCACCTCTCGGGCCAAAACCGTTCTGCTTGGGGCCAGAAATCCTCGTTGCGGTGAAGATCGCGGTACGAGGCCGAGACTACGGTGTGAGGGGGCAGATCGTAACCACAGAGATTGATCCACTGGTTGCCAGTGCGGCGGCCCATTTCCGACGCAATGGGGTGCAGGCGGAGGTTCTCCTTGATGCAGGCCTCAAGATACTCGTATTCCTCCTCGTTGCGGACCGATTTGCTGGTGACGATTTCGTCATTGAAGCCCTTAGACGGGAGAGAGGCAAAGAGCTTTGCGCGAACGTCGGGGTTGCGGGCGAGTTCAAGGAAGAGGCAGCCGATGGTGCCAGATGTGGTCTCGGAACCGGCGAGGAGGATCTCGGCCATTTGGTCGACAATATCGCGGGCAGACATGCTAGTGCCGGTGTCGGGCTTTTTGCCTTCCTCAATGAGGTGCTGTAGGAGGTCTCGGCGCTCGACGTCAGAGGTGCGTTTGCGTCGTTGGACAACGGCGTCGATGGCGGTAATCATCTCTGCGGGCCAGTCGAATTGCATGTCAATCCCCAGAGCACGGAAGAACTTCTTGACGTAAACAGTCTGTTACGATGTTAATACTAGCGGAAGGGGTATTGTTTCCTTTGCGATGAATGAACTTGCCTGGTACCGCTTGCTGAGGCCATCAAAAATTGAGCGAGGAATGGATTTCCAGATCTTCTCGTCGACTCCATCTTCAATTAAGCTATCAGGGTTGGTTTGTCCGAACCCCTTTCCGAAAGAACATTCTCCCATGCTGTAATACGAGTAAGAAGGCGCCCGGAAGACTTCGAGGCATCTGCAGAGTTATTGGCTTACATGTCGAGGGCCACGTTATGAAGGTCATCCATCAGGTCGACCTCAATACCCTTCTTGGCATGATAGACCGGGTCTTCGTTGATCTGTGACTGGTACTTGTTGAGGACATCACGAACGGTGCTCTTGAAGAACATCTCAAGGTTGTCGATGTAGTTGACCGTGAACGCTGGAGACAAGAAGCGCTTGAGCCGCCTATGCGGCTCTTGGCGGCTGTTTCCAGAAACGTTGAGTTAGGGTCACGTCGCAAATGCATATTGTGGGCAGAAAATCAGAACGACTCACATCTCACCAAAAAGCCCAGGGCTGAACTTGTCTCTCGAAATTTCGGCATACATGGCGACCTTTGGAAGATCCGTCTTGACCAAGATCTGCTTCATGGCCTCCTTGTCGGAGATCCATACCTGTCGGGGACCGAGTCGAACAATCGATCCATACTTGTTGTGACTTCTCTCTACCAACTTCCAGATGGTGCCGGCCGAGAAGAGGTAACGAAGATGTAATGTTGTCAGAGGGGCATACCATGGCCCAGGGAGTTTCCTCAGAGGAGACTTGAGAGCCTTGATCTTCTGTTTGAGTTGAAGACCGGCAAAGACCACTACTAGGAAGTAGACGGCGAGTATGTAAGCCGACGCCATAGTGTTGCCTTTGTTGATCGTCCTGATCAGGGCAAGATGCTAGCAGTACTTTGTCAATAGTTTGAATGACTGATGAATGATGAGATGACAGTTTGGAGACAGCGAGAGAACAGTTGGACAACAATATCTTTTGCAGGAAGTGGCCGATTGTCTTCTATGACATGAGACCCGGAGCCATCTCCTCGGGATGATATAGGACGAACACACACACAAGTCTGCAAGGGCTATTTCGTAATCTAGAACCCCCCGCTCGCCCCGGTGCTTCCTGCTAGATAGTTGCGCAAGCCAACCCAGACCGGAGCCTACGGTGCGTGGCTGGGTTTGCGCAACAGCAAATCACATCTGAATTACACGATTCAGTTCAAATGGACATGTAGCTATCGCCAGCCTGCAAAGCTGTCGTGAATATGCTGCGCGCACTGTTTCAACATGTGTAAACTCTGTTAGATTAGCTCGGACGATGGGAGCCCAAGGAGCTGGATTTAGTGCGCATTCTTTTCCGTCTGGGAACACGCAAGTTCACCAACGTGGCATTTGATCCAAGAGACGACGCAAGCGCGAATCGGATGGTCCAGAATGGGACACGCCACATTGCCTGGGCTACCCCTTGACTAGAAACCGCGTGTCATGCAAGTTGAGCGGGAACATGGAGATGGGTTGCACTCGATCCCCAAATCTGATGTCCTTGGTGTAAACTCTTTTCGAGTGCAATTCCACATTACTCATTTTCAGCGATCTCGAGGTACCTCTCTTCCTTTCCAGGAAACTATTTGGCAAGGTCGTCTATTATCCGCTCTGTAACGTTAACGCCGGTCGCTTGTTATCACGAGAACCTTAAATATGAATACTTCACGCTTTTTGAGAATGACAAGACTGTGTCTTGTTCAGGGTGGAGTTGTAGTTTCAAAAGAGTTCTGAGCCTTGGCCCTGCCATTTGGTCTAGAAATTTTGGTCTATTCCCCCTGCCTCTAAACTCCATACGCGCTTCCGCTCTATCAAGCTTTGACTCTGCGGTCTTTGAGTCTAAAAATGTCTATGTCCTCTATGTCTCTTTATGTCCGTCTAAAGAAAACCGTCTTGTTGTTTGTACAGCAACCCCCCTCTATTTGGCCCATCTCATGGCGCCGGGGCAGTTGGGGTCGTTCTCAACGTACTTGAGAGAGCCGAAGACGGACCAGAGCTGGCCCAAGAAGCTGCGGCCGTCGTGGTTGTACAGGTCGCCAAGGACAGGCTTGATGGCCTCAGTAGCCTCGTCAGCCTTGTAGAAAGGAATGCGACTAAGGTCTGTTAGCACTGGCTCAGGTAATTCTTCATGGTGAGGAATCAAACTTACGGGAACAGGTGGTGAACGACGTGCTTCTCAATGATGCCGTGGAAGAGGTGCTTGCCGATGAAGCCGAACTCGCGGTCAACGGTGGCAATGGCACCCTTGACGAAAGTCCAACCCTCCTCGGTGTAGTGGTGTACCTCAGGGTGGTTGTGGTGGAGGTAGGTGATGGCAACTGAGGGGTTGATTAGCACTATTATAAACACATTTGCTTGTGAAACTCAAAGGCCAAGCTTCAAGGATCACATGAGGGGGGAGGGGGTGCGTACCGAGCCAGTGGTGGACCCAGAAGTAGGGGACCGCGTAGAGCAGAGCAACGGTGGAGACGTCGAGAATGGTGGAAGCATAGTATAGGGCGGAGAAGGTGATGGCCAGGCCAAGGTCAGAGATGGCAATGAAGATGGCCTCATTGGGACGGAAGACGGCACTGGTGGGGCCGAAGTGGCTGACGCCGAACCAACGTCCGAGACCGTTGACCTCGTGCTGCAAGCTACCCTTGCCAGCGGTGGCATTGAAGAAGAGGTACGCCTGCCATCCGAAGAGCTGGTGGGTAAGCAGGCTAATGGCCTGGGCAATAGGAGTGTCCTCGAAGAGCTCGTGGAGGTCGATGCTGCCGAACAAGGGCTTCTTGGAAGGCTTGGGCGCGGTGGCAGGAACGAAGGCCATGTCCTTCTTCATGTGGCCGGTGAAGCGGTGGTGGCGGTGGTGAGAGAACTTCCATGAGAAGTAGGGGACGAGAAGGAAGGAGTGAAGGGCCCAGCCGGTGATGTTGTTCACCTTGTCGCTCTTGGAGAAGGCACCGTGTCCGCACTCATGACCAAGAATCCAGACACCAGTGCAGATGAGACCCTGGACGAAGCCATAGACCATCCAGGCGGTGGCGCGCAGGATGGGGTCCTGGATGCCGGGAATGTAGGTGAGAGCAGCCCAGACGAGGCCAGCGACCATGGTGAGGTCGCGGACGACATAGTAGTAGGAAGTCACGAGCGAAGGCTCGAAGCAGTGAGCCGGGATGGCATCTCTGATGGTCTGAATATCAGGGAAGACAGGCTCGTTGGTCTTCTGTGAGGAGGGTCAGTGATCAATGATCGGTCATCGAGATCGATGGCGGCGCATCGGAAGGTGTTTGCCGACTAACCTGGGGCTTCTCGACCACCACGGTAGTCGAGGTACGTTGGGTCGCCATTGTGTGAGATAAGGTGCAAACCAGTTTTGTTTGGGATCACCTCTCTATTGCTCAATGGATATAATATGAGATGAACGAAAGGGAAAGAACGATACGCTCTCAAGGGCCGCACCGTATTATGGATGAGTAAAGGAAAGAACCAGAGAGAAGCTGAAGCTAAGAGGACTGGGGAAAAGGGTGAAATTTTCTCAGGTGCCCGAGGTTAGGGAAAAGACAAAAAGGTTTCCAGTCTGACTTCACAAGGGACACGGGTAGCAGACCGCCAGCGAAAGAGACGTGTCTCCTTGTCCCTTTTTTTAGAGCGGCAGCATTAAAGGTGGGCCGTTACCCACGGTGAGAGATCCATGGAATAGGGGTCCAAACAGTCTGGACTACTTTTTTTTTCGTCGGTTTTCCCCCCCTTCCCTTGCCAAGTTGCCTTGCCCACATGCATTGGGGGGAACAGACTCGGCGGCAGAAAATTTCATTACCGTTGCCAAAGGTCGAGTGTTTGGAATTGCTCGAGACCGCCTTGAGACGTGACTCGCCACTGGGTCTAACCTTGTGGCTTGCCCCAAAGCATCGCAGAGCCTCGGGCTGGGCGTATTCCGCAGCATATTCCATGACTCGATGATTACAGCCTCAAGTCGGACACAAAGCAAGAAAAACCGGTACTGATGAAGAATGTCTCGGTGTCTCCCCTTCGCAAACGTGGCCTCGATCTCGTGGCCGAAGTTCTAGTTCTAGCAGACCTTCCTCGGCACCACAAGGTGAAACAATCAAAGAGGCAGCCAGCAGTTCCGGGCGGTGAACGCGTATCTGGGGACTCGGGAGGCAGGTGTTGAGAAACGCGGATCTAATCTGCTGCAAGATCCTAGCACGTTCAAGAAGAGGCTTCGTCGCTTAAACGGAACTAAACGCAATCTGGCCTAGTCATGGAAGATTTCCAAGGGTCCGGTTCCACGTGCGGATAACAGAAGTCTTGGAAAAAGCCCACATAAAGGTTCTCAACCCCAACACTTTTACACCCCTTGCTCTCTGCTTCGGAGTGGGAAATGACACCCACAGTGTGTTTGAGCTTGAATCTCGTTTAACGTGGAGTTCCAAGGCAACGAAAGGCGGTGGTAGCACCAAACAGGACCCTGGGAACTCCATTTGTTGACAGAGTGGCATTTCGACAAACTCCATTGGCCAAACCGTTGTGTCTTGGGCTTCGGGAACCTCTCCATATTCTCCAATCCCTCTCCCCTCATTGCCCAGACTCAGAGACCGCCCCCAAGCTGTTCAAAACATGGGACCGTGCGGTAACGTCGCGTTCCACTCGGGGCTTTACGGGAAGAGGGGGGGGAGGATTGCGGGAGAAAGGGATGTACAAGTCATTCATTTCCCTTTGACCTTTGACATGTGCCAATGCGCGCCCCCTTTTGAGCTTCCCGAATGGGTTTGACCGGTTCCGTGGCTGAGCCATCTTCAATTCCTCGCATTGCCAGCCACCATCTGGTATCTTTGTCAATCTGACGAGGCCGGGCCTGAGCGCAAGGTTAGGGTTAGCGGGAGCCTCGGCGCACGTCCTGTCCAGATTGCGAGATTTCGCACCGTTGGACGGAAGCAGTCAAAAGCTTAAATGGCTTCGTTGTGGATTCTAGAAATGAGCAGAGGCTACGAGGATCGGGATTTCGGGGCAACCCTTTCCTTTCCGTTGCTGTTGCTCTAAGTTCCCAATGTCAGTTTGGCAACTCTTACATCAATCAGAGCTGTCGCAACTCCCTGCAAGTCTAAACTTTATTTACTGCACACATACATCGCAGGAGTTGTAAATTACGCAAGAGGGAGCGCCGACGGCGAGGATCTAGGAAGTAAGCAGAACCAACAGGTTGATTGTGCCGTTATCCGCTTGACGGTGAGGTTCATGTCCACGTTGCAAGCATGGGAGTGCATTTGATTGTGGCCGTAGCATAACACACGTTGTCTTTGAGTACTTATTTGAAGCTCGTCGTTGGGGTTGGAGTTGAACTCGCACCACCCCAGATTTCAGATGCACTGAATGCTTCAACAACATGACGGTACCAAAAGATAACAGGAGCAAGTCTAGAAACCTCGCAGACTTCATCAAGTTTGTGAAACTAAATTCTCCTTATTATGCTCAGTCCTGGAAGTTATGTAAGACTCTTGAAGATGCGCCGGTGTCTCTGAGGGACTTGCCCATTGTGGACCATGAGTCTTTTTGGGCATCAAACACCTGCCGGAACAGCAAAGTTGTAACTTCAAAGCAAAAAGATGGCATTGTTTTCAAAACTGGAGGTAACTTATCCTCATCAGCGATCTGACTTGGCTGGGTTCAAGTAAACGCACACTGATCTTCATCCAGGCACAACCACACACCCCAAGGTATCGTTTTACAGCCAGAAGGAACTCCATGGCCTCTCAACACAATTGGCAGAGAGCTTGGAACGATGCAGTGTCGGCGAGGGCGACATGGTCGCCAACTTGTTCTACGCTGGCGACCTTTACGGGAGCTTCTTGTTGCATATCCTCTCCGTCTACCATCTGCCAAGCGGTGCGATCCAGCTTCCAGTAGCTGGGCATGTTTCCTTGGAATCCATGGAAAGACAGATCGTCGAGTTTGAAGCAACCGTGGTCCTCGCCACGGTGACCACGATGTCGCAACTCTCAGAGCGCATCCTTAGCAGTGGCAAGACACACCCGTACGTTCGCCTACTACTGTTCTCGGGAGAAGCTTTCTACGACGATCAGGCCGGGCTGCTGAAAGCAGCCTTTCCAAATGCAACTATCAGATCAGTCGTCTACGGATCTATGGACTGCGGAATCATCGGTCTACCACCGAAGGAAGAGCACTACACGAACGACCCCAGACTTCACCAAGTCAACGATCCGAACATCATCGTGGAGATCGTCACTGAAGACGGAGAGGTCACAACCACCCCAGGAGAGGCGGGCAGCCTAGTCGTAACGAACCTGGAGCGCCAACTAATGCCCATCGTTCGCTACCCGTCTGGAGACCGGGCCGCGTGGGTTGTACCAGCTCTAGGCCTTTTCCGTGTTCTCGACAGGGACCGCACGGCCATCCGCCTCGGCCCCGTTTCCGTTGACTTTGTGGACCTCCGACGGATAGTGTCCACGGTCCTCGCAGACCGACCGGTTGGTCGCTTACAAGCCATCGTCACAAGAAAAGATAGGAAAGACCTCTTGACCCTGAACGTCGCCTTTACACCGGCTACGAATGAGGAGAGTTCGCAGCTGCAGGCGGAGCTGAGAGAGGAGCTGGGCGTGATGCGGCCCATGTTTCGGGAACACGTCGAGAAGGACCTTATCAACCCGTTAGAGATTAAGTTTATCACCATGCAGGAACTTGCTGTCAACCCAAGAAGCGGAAAAATTGTCGAGGTACAGGATCTTCGGTCGACCACTGTGTAGGTAGCTATCTGTTTAGTCATCTGGGAGAGTCATTTGACTTGTGAAGTGGTGTAGAGTACGTTATTGCACTAAAGTCTAAAAGAAGCTGTAGGATCTCCCCATGTCGTGATAGGGTCTCAAAGAACACGAATTAAACGATTCGCTGACTCTCCACAACCGGAAAACTGGGATTGTCAATGAAACAAGCTTTCGTTCTCGCTACGGTGCACTGGTCGTAAATCACGTTAGGCAAGCTCCCTTGATTGGGGCTGATAGACGCCTGATACGGAGCTGGATCCAGGTCCTCGGACTTTGTAAGGACCCCGTGGGTTGTCTCTCGCAGGCCAAGACCGATGCCCCATCTTGTCTCCCCCGGATGAACTGGCCAACACCTCTTGAGCTAAAGCGGAGCCCAGGCGGAGCCGGCCAGATTGAGTAATCACCGTTGGTCTTTGCTCTCTTGACTCGCGCCAACTTGAGCGCATCGCATTGAACTAGTCACGTCTGATACAGACTTCACTTGAAAGTGCTTCCCTGCAAACGCAAAGTTTATAGCGTAGCAATGCTTTAGTTGGAACATCCTCTTCCCCGCGCCATATCTGTCGCCTGCTACTTCATCAAAACTGTCACTGGATCTCAAATGCTCTCAAGGACCAGCTCCAGTTGGAGAACGAGACTCATGTCCCTCGCACACGGATCTCCAATTACCAGCGATAATCTCCACACATCGAAAACGTAACAAAACTGGCAGCGGAATCGCAACATGCCAGAGCTAGACGCCAATAGGTCAAGGCAGGCCGGCCCCGGGAACGAACACAAGGCGACAGGCGTCCTCGCTCCGTACTACTCCGATCCCTTCCTTTTCCTCCTCCGTCTGAGTTGCCATCTAACGCGGGCTTTAGGTGGGGCGAACCGGCGTGGTTCCATGCCCTCGAGAGTCCCTACTACAATGACTCTCACCGGCGATTCCAGACATACGTACGAGACTTTGTCGACACCCACTTGCTTCCGTACGCGCAGGAATGGGAGGCAGCCGGGAAAGCTCCTCTGTCAGCAAGATTGAGGTTCGCCAAGTCCGGTCTTGCTTTTCTCGACGTCCCAAAGGAGTACCGACCCACGGAGCTCATGACTATCGCGGGTACCCCATTCGATAAGCTTGATGTCTTTCACGAGCTGATACTCATGGACGAGATGGCCCGCATCCCCAGTGGGGTTCCCCTCGCTCTAGCGGGGGCGTCGAACGTGGGCGCGCCCCCCATTTTTGCTGCGGGTACCGAGGAGCAGAAGAGACGATGGCTGCCTGGACTGTTTACCTGGGAGACCAGCTTCTGTCTTGCCATCACGGAGCCGACTGCCGGCAGTGATGTGAGCGCCATTCGGGCCACTGCGGAAAAGACTCCCGATGGCAGGCACTACGTCGTCAATGGCCGGAAGAAGTGGGTTACGGGTGCACCCTGGGCAACCCATATGACCACCGCTGTACGAATGGGAGAGCCAGGGCGGAGCGGGATCTCGCTGTTGGTCGTGCCTCTGAAGTCCCCCGGCGTCACGATCAGGAAGATCCACAATTCCGGGCACAACGCCGGTGGTTCCTCGTGGGTGGTGCTGGAGGACGTCAAGGTCCCGACGGACCACCTAATCGGTAAAGAGAACGGGGCGTTCCCCATCATCATGCGCAACTTCAACAAGGAGCGCTTCATCCTCACAGTGGACTGCAACAGACAAGCCCGAATATGCCTTTCAGAGGCATTGCAGCACGCACATGATAGGGAGACGTTTGGAAAACCTCTCGCCTCGAACCAAATCATCCGGCATAAGCTTACGACTCTTGCCCGCGAGATTGAGGGCCACTGGGCATGGTTGGAGCAGATTGCCTACCACGTCCACATTCACGGCTGGCAGACTAAGGACGTCGCAAGCAGAATTGCGCTGGCAAAAATTCAAGGCGGCAGGATCGTGGAGCAAGCCGTCAGGGAGAGCCAGCAAATACACGGCGGTATGGGCTACGAGAAAGGGGTGACTATGACGGAGCAGATCTCTCGAGACCTCCGACTGAAAGTCATTGGCGGTGGTAGCGAGGAGATTCTGAGTGACCTCGCGTGGCGTGAGGAGCACAAGCGAGCTTCCGATCGAGGCGCGAAACTTTAAGAAACTTTCGATGGCTTGAAAATCAGATTATAACAAGCTTAAACACATTTTCTGTAGCCCTGAACCGTCTTTTGCCATGATCTGTATGACTGGCGTAGTTGCCTAGGTCTAGAATGGGAACTTCTGCATATCCTTCTACTTCCGCGATCCACGAAGGTTCATTACGTGGTAGCGTCGCATGACTGCATTGCGAGTCATGAATGCTCAAACCGCTATTCGGACCATGATACGAAGTGTTCCAGAATGAGACTAAAGCCGAGACGTCCACGTGTCGTCCGATATATCGACAAGTGCTTGTTGATGAAGTGCAGAAAAAATGCTCACTGGTGGCACACCTAAAGAGGTAGTTCTTTGACAAGCCTCAACTTGCATTCAGCTTGGCTGCAAGGACTCGACAGGGTCTTCCAAACCCCTGCGCTAGTTTCCCCTCAAGTAACACTACCTCGGGTGTCCCGTGAGACCCACTGCAACAGTCCGAACCCGAGGTTCTGGGACAGGACCCCTCACTGACTTGTTACTTGCAAAGTTGCAATTCTACCATCAACCTATCGCACTCAGCCTATTGCCCCAGTTGTCAACTCGCCTGCCATGACTGACAACGACGTCAAGTCACATCCTGATTACAAGCACTTCGCATCCATCCCTTGGTGTGCCAGACTGCTCGACCAAGCCGACACTTCGTCCCACGTAGTGCAAGTCTCTCAAAACAGAACAGTCCTCCCAACAAGAGAGAACACATACGTCGGCGGAACTCTCAACACACCAGACACCATCAAAGCTTGGTTGATTATATACCCCAAGCCGCAGAGCCCCGACTGGAATGTCGATGAATTGTGCTCTCTCGTCACCTTCGATCATGGCATGATTGGATTCCCTGAGACGGCTCATGGAGGCGTTGTTGCGTTGGTGATGGACGAAGTTACGGGTATACACATTGTGGCACAAAGACCGACAGGAGCAGAGCCCAACAAAGACTTCAGGACGGGTTACCTGAACACGTCATTTGGGAAACCTGTTCCTGCGCCAGGAACAGTGCTAGTGAGATCGAGGATAGCCAGGGTTGAGGGCCGAAAGCACTTCGTTGCAGCGCAGGTAGAGGATGAGAATGGTGAAGTGCTTGCAACAGCGGAAGTCTTGTACATCTCAGTCAAGAATAAGTTATGAGTTGTCAGCCATTGTATGAAATGCGTCAACAAGAAATGAGGTTTGAGGGGGTCGAATGGAGTCAAACAAATCGCGCCATCAAAATAGCTAGCACAGAACAGTTTCAAAATGTGACTAGAATGCGCATAGAACTGAACAATAGCTGGACTTCAAAGTTGCATGTAAATATAAGGTACTTTGGCGTGAATGGACGAGTCTACCAGTAATCTAAGTTGAGACTGTGAGTTCTCAGTTGGCCTATTGTTATGCGAGTGAATCACTGAGCACGGGGTTTGGCAGTGACGAAGGTAAGTTGATCAAAAGCTTTCACTGCCAACTTGGGTATGAGTGCGTGTGTACATGTTGTTATGCGTTGGCTAGGTGATCTTTAGAGCTTACACGACAATCGGTATTCTAAGGGCGTATACTACCTATATGAAGCATGCCACGACCCGGAGGGTGCACTCATATCATTGCTCGAGCCGGTGGTTGACATAGTACTACGAGAAGTTGAATACCGAGACCAGCATTCAGCAAGTCGAGCCTAGACTTGCATGCCACAGAGAGATGAACATGGGTAAACTCTAAGCGCATTGTGGAATTACTTACTACATTCGTTACGATAGGAAAAAATGCAACGAAATCGTACGTATTACGTTCTAGTGACACTGGTGTTTGTTGGCGCTCTACACAAAATTATAGCGTGGTGTGGGGGTAATGCGAGCTGAAGCAGCGTAAAACTCCCCATTGGTCGAGATGTTGGGCCGGGAGGCGAACCGGAACAGTCCGTACCACGACAAGCGGACCGATCCATCTCCACGATCAGCCCAGAATCTTCTTCGCAGGGTTTTAGTCGACTCTCCAACTTCTGTACAGGTTTTGCGCTGATAAATCCAGTGTGAGCTTACAAATGTTGTGGAATCTTTAGACATTCCTGACTTCTAGACAACTCGGATGTTTGAATATAAAGGGCTGTCGTGTTGAAGTCCCAAGCCAAATCTGAAGAAGAATTATTAAATCAGCAATCACAGAATTCTCTATTACATTACATCTCACATATCAAATTTGGATATATAAACGCCACTAGCTGCCATCATGTCTCTGCCCTATCACAAAGTCTTACTAGTCGGAGCGACCTCAGGAATCGGTGCAGCTCTGGCGGACAAACTTGTCCAGAATGGCACTTTCGTTATCGCTGCCGGCAGAAGAAAGGAGAACCTCGACCAGTTCGTCGCCAAGCACGGCAACACCAAGGCAGCAGCAGCGGTTGTGGATATTCTCAAGTTGGAGTCGGTAAGTTGATACTCTTGCTGTTGAAAAGGGAGCATCCGGCTAACAAAATGTCCAAAGATACCGGAATTCGCTGCATCCATCATAAAGGAACACCCTGACCTCGATTGCGTCTTCTTAAACGCCGGAGTCCAGCGAGGTATCGACTTTACCAAGCCTGAAGATGTCAGCTTAGACATCATTCACGATGAGCTTCTCGCAAACTACCTCTCCCACGTCCACTTGACCAAGGCCTTCCTTCCTCATCTCTCGAAACAAGACAAACAGACCGTTTTGCTGTACACAACTTCCCAGCTCGGCCTCATCCCGATGAAGAGGTGCCCCAACTACAGCGGCTCCAAGGCTGCCATGCATGGCTTCATCCTCGCACTCAGATCCCAGCTCAAGGACGCGTCTTCAAAGGTTAAGATTGTAGAAGTTTACCCGCCTGCGGTGCAAACGGAGCTGCATGATGCCAAGAATCAGCCCGACTTGAAGAACGGCCATGCTATTGGCATGCCGGTGGACGAATTTGCCAATGAGGTCTACCAGAGATGGGTCAATGGAGAGGATCAGATCCCGGTTGGAACCGCTAAGCCCATGTTTGATGCATTTGAGACCAAGAGACAGGACTACTATGAGAGCTTTAATGCCGAGATGGACAGGGTACTGGTGGACTTTACCGTTTGAGTGTTACTATTGAGTCGAAAAGTCTTTGGAAAAGTACAATGAATGAATCAAACGTCAATTTGATGATCACAAGTACTATGCGATTCTTTGTGAACTCAAGAAAAAACAGCATTCGGTTATTGTTCTGAAATCAAGATCGGATCGCCGAAACATGCCGGCCTGGTAGCACCGTCCTGCCGACCGAAATATGGGTCGACCCCGATAAGGCTCCGATAAAGAGTGGATCTCTCGGCTGTTCGGCGGCTGGCCCGTGCTTAACTCCGTCAATCGCCACCTTATTCCATTCGTTGACATCACGAAGCATGGCTGATTCTCGACATTCTCACGACCATAGTTCGATCCTCTCAACCATGTTTTCTCCCCCGACGTCCACCGAGGACTGGGATCTTGAATATGGCGACTAGGCTTATACGAAAACCGCTGGCCTGCGGTGGCTTTCTACTATCTGGTTGGCACATTGAACCACTCATGGCGAAGTGTCGACTTTACACCTCCGATCGATCCCCCGAAGCTTCCGAAGCTCCTACTCCCGATGCAAGCGATAACACACCAGAGAAGGAGAAGGGCGCCATGTCGCGCAAGCTCGAGGAAGCTACAGAGGAAGCTCTTTTGACTGGTGGGCGGCGCGGGCGTCAAGCTATCGAAGATGCTGGGTTCTCTGAAGAGCTGAAACAGCGGCTTCTCGATAAGGTCGAAACCGCCAAGTTTCGTTCCCAATACGCATCCGCTTTCGCTGAAGCTGAAATGCCCGCATCAGCAGGCGAGGGAACACGTTCAATGGCCACTGCGCAGGCTTGGACGGGCGACGAGTCGCAATCTGATGCGGTCTTGCGAATGCTCAGCGATGCGAAGAAGCCTCTCAAGCCCGAGCTGCGGGGGCAGTTCCAGATCCCGCCCGTCGACATGCGAATGCGAAAGGACCCAAAGATCAACCCTAGTCAGCGGGCTGCTAACGCTCGCGAGAAGGCCTCGACGTATACAGGACTGGGGTTCAAAGAGCAAAGCGGGCCGAGCGCCAAAGAACGCGAAGAATTCAGGAAGGAGCTTCGAGATCGCTTTGGGGCGGCAGCCAGAGCTGTACCGAATACCATAGCAGGCCTTGAGTCGCTAGCCAATGAGAGAATCGAAGACGCCATTGCTCGTGGACAATTCAAGAACATCCCCCGCGGCAAGGGGGTTGAAAGAGACGCAAGAGCCGACAATCCCTTTATCGATACCACCGAGTACATAATGAACAAGATGATCAAGAGGCAAGAGATTGTGCCACCATGGATAGAGAAGCAGCAAGAGTTGGCAAAGACCGCCGGCGTGTTTAGAGCGAGGTTACGCAACGATTGGAGGAGGCACGTGGCCAGGATGATCTCGTCAAAGGGCGGAAGCTTGGAAGAGAAGATGCAATTGGCCGAGGACTATGCTCGTGCAGAGGAACGCCATAACCCGCGCAAGAGGAACAGCGACAGTCTTTCGGTGCCCACCAATGTGACGGGTGATCCTGTCATGGCGAAGGTGCATCAACCGGTGGTCGAGGGCAACAGCACCGGCGAATCCGGAGCAGAGGCAACAAAAGCGAAGCATGTCCGGCCACCGCTACAACCATTCCGTGACTCTGACTGGCTTGCAACTGAGAGCTCGTACATGAATCTCGCCGTCAACAACCTCAATGCGATCGCACGTTCCTATAACCTTATGGCGCCTGAACTGGCGAAGAAGCCATATTACTCCCTTGAGCGCGAGCTAAAGGCTTGTTATGCCGATGTCGCGCCACTTGTGGCGGAAACTATTCGCGAGAGAGCCACCAGGCCGACAAAGACGTTGTTCGATGCAGCAGGAGGCGGCCAAGTCACGGTCTTTGACCGATTTAGCAAGGAGGGAACATCGGCTAAGATATACGATTCAAGGGCCCCTCACTATGGCTTCAAGGAGATGTGGAGGGATCTTTTCAACTGAAAGGAGATGTATTTGTACGTCCGGCCTAATACAATGAGGTCAATGAGTTCCATATGCCTTGGACTGGCCGCAATCGACAACGGGAGTGGGATGCGTATCTCCATCATTGACGTCTCCTTCCCAACGCGACGGAAATGTTATGAACATCCACCTGCTGAAATTTAGCCTGCCTCCCGAAGTATCATTTGGCCCTGATCGGGTCATTGTGAAGAGCGATTCTCATCGTACGACCAGCTACCCCAACCGGGCTTGACAACATGTAGCACTCGCTTTGTATCGGAACGTTGATGGATTGCTGAGAACCTACGGGGGAATAGGGTTAGCATGGTCCGCTAACAGCCGGCGCCCAGTATGTATGCCCTCACAGTGAACTATGCCAGCCTTATTCTATCTGGGTCAGCTACTCTCGTCGCTCAGTAACAGTCAAAGCCTTCATGGTCAACTTCTCCCCCCCCCCCCCCCCCCCTAGTCACCAAGAAAACGGGGCCTCGCATGGTGCACCCCTAGCGCCTTGGCCCAGCGGTTAATATGGAACACTCAGCTGGGTACGGGGGGTTTCCATATGTCTCTATTGATCTGGACCTCGACTCCTTGAGTTCGACTCCACGCCAGGGCTCTTTTCTGCATGCTTTCTCCTCACCCTGTGGTCGATCATATTTCGTTATAATGATGCGGACTCTTTGCTTGAGACGCCATCTGCAACTAAATGAGAAGACGGACATTGCTTGATGAGAAAAATTGACAAGAAGAAGTCAAAGTTCTTGATCATAGATAAAAAGTGCTTGCATCGACATAGTCCCTTGAACCTATTTAGACTTCTCCTCAAAGCTACGAAACCTTTCATACTTAGATTTGAGTTGTTCTTATTTGAAAGGTCGGAATTAGACTTCCTGACGGGACCTGATTCCGAGTCGATCTTGTATTCATGACGTAACTTCTCTCAACATGATTCAATCATCCCACCGGTAGAGAGAGATTAACCCCCCACCATTGCATAAGCAGAAAAACAAATTGGCGCCGGCGTCCAAGATCGGTACGAGCCGCGTCTTGGCTAAGTTGGCGGGAAGTTGAGACTCGAGACAAACTGACTTGCAACATCGAGACCGGTGGGATACGCGCCGTCCTCCGATGAACAACTGTCCGAACGCCCGTCAACGAGCCTTCTGATTGGTCTCATCTGAAAAATTGCCGTACACAATGTGTTCAGTCGGAGCGGGCGCGGGCCGGCTTGGATAAGAATTCGTCCGAAAACTACGGATCGCGGACTCGCGGACGTTCAACGTCCGGATGGTTGGTGTAGCCCACCGATGTGCCACCAGCCCGACAGTCCGCCATGATGGTGGGTATATATCGTGCGGCCACATAGGAACTGAATCTCTCAGATTTGTCTGAATACAGCTGCACCAATCAAGCGCCAGGCAACAAATCATCTCTTACACAAGCAATATGGATACCAACTTTTCCAACGAATCCCTCGTTAACGCGGCTACAGACCGCCAAGAAGCCACCCAACAATCATCTTGGTACTATTTGCTCGGAACATGTATACCACTTCTTGTTCTCGCCCTGTTCTGGATTAGAGACCAGGGCAGCAAGCTCCCATATCTCAACCCGAAAGGACGGTTCGAGTGGTCCTCGGACAGGGTTGTTCGGGAGTTCGTATTCAACTCTTATCGGATGCTGTACCAATCTACGAAGAACTTTATCGGCAAGCCTTTCCGTGTACTGTGTGATGTCGGAGACGTCATCATCCTGCCACCCGATGTTGGTCAGGAGATCCGGAATGATAAGAGGTTTAGCTTCGTTCAAGGCCTATTTGAGGTTGGTCCTCATAAAACTTGGTAGATTGAGATGCAAGACTATACTAAAAAGCATGGCATAGGATTTCCAAGGACAGTATGCAGGCTTTGAGGCTTACAAGGAAGCATGCCACCCTTCCGAACGTCTCCAGAACGTGGTCAAGCTGAGGCTGACCAAGACCCTTGGTAGGTTAAGCACTCACCTTGCAGCCACCAACTTGAACTCCATGATCAATGCTAACTGGTTGCTATCTCGTAGGCAAGATCTCAAGCATCCTCTCGGAAGAAGTTGATGAAAGTCTACAGGACACATTGACTGACTCGACTGGTACACCTTTTTTTTCTTAGATGCTGAGATTTTGGGCTTGGGTCTTGTGCTAACAGTTGCTCTAGAATGGCATGACACAGTTGCCAAACATGAAATCCTCAACATTGTATCCAGAATGTCATCCCGAATCTTTGTCGGAAAACGACTAGGACACAACGAGAAATGGCTAAAAACCATCGTCGGGTACGTCGAGCTCAGCGTCCATGCGATGCAGAACCTCCGCTTCTGGCCCAAGTTCCTCCGAAGCATCGTGGTGTACCTTCTTCCGGGACCTACGAAGCTGCGCGCGTACATAAAAGATGCGGAGACGCAAGTCTTTGCGGAGATCAAACACCGCCAGCAGGAAGCCGAGTCCGTCGAGGAGTACAACGATGCTATTGCGTGGTTTGAGGAGATGGCCAAGGGGCAGAAGTACAACCCGGCAGTCTCTCAGCTGATCCTCGCTGGTGTGGCGATTCATACCACAGCGGACCTTGTTACCCAGACGCTCTATGATATTCTTGAGCACCCTGAACTTATCCAACCTCTTCGGGAGGAAGTTATTCAAGCCATTGGCGAGGGGGGGTGGAAGAAGACGTCGCTCTACAACATGAAGCTCATGGACAGTGTTCTCAAGGAGAGTCAGCGGCTGAAGCCGAATCAGATTGGTGAGTTATTGTGATAATGTCCATGCGTCAAGGAAACTCTGCTCAAAGATATCTCAAGTGGGAATGGCCCGCCGAGCCACGGCAGACGTCCAGCTCTCCGACGGGACCACTATCAGCCGCGGCAGTGCGACCGTCGTCTCAGCCGAGCGGATGTGGGATGACAAAGTCTACGAGAACCCGAATGCCTTTGACGGCTACCGCTTCTACCGAGAGCGCGGCGGCGCCAATGACGCAATTAGCCAGTTTGTCAGCACCAGCGTTAACCACATGGGTTTCGGTCATGGCATGCACTCCTGCCCGGGCCGTTTCTTTGCGGGAAATGAGGCTAAAGTGCTACTTGCTCATATGCTTCTGAAGTATGACATGAAGTTGGTCGAGGGCGAGAAGCCGAAGTTTGCAGAATTTGGGTTCACCCGTGAATCGGACTCGGAAGTCAAGATTTCGGTTCGTCGACGCAAGGAGGAAATTGACCTCTCTGTCCGAGAGGAAGCGGAATGAGTCTGACATTTGGTCACCAAGGCTTTGGTTTTGAATTGATCAACGGCCTGTTGAAGACTTTGCGTAATAGAATGGCGGAGTGCACTTATAGATGGAGAACACCTACTCATTTATGAAGCAAGGCTTAAATTAAACTAGACGAGTTGAAATTGGGCACAACTTGGATTTGCCTTCATCCAAAGATTCCTCCATCCAACTCAAGTTCAGGCTTCAATTCGTTTCTAGTATAGAAGTCCTATCCGACACCACCTTACAGAGGTCACAGGCGACCTAACTTCCTCAATCCCATCTAAGGTGACGTGTAGACGTAGTCGTACGCCTTCTTCGCCTCATCAACCTGCTTCTTGACCTCAGCTTCACTCTCGACAAGGTCTTTCTCTTCCTTTAGTCTCTGTTCCATGCTGGCGACGGACATGTACGGAGAGCTGGGTATCTGGATGCCGCGCTGGACAGCAGGTCTCTCATAGCACCTGTCCAACCAAGCCTTGACGTTCGGGAACTGGTAGATATCTACACCGGCCATGGGAGCGCCTTGCACCCATCCAATCATTGAGATATCAGCGATGGTGTAGCGTCCACGGTCCGAGCCGACGACAAAGTCCCGTTTGTCGAGGTGCGTGTTCAAGACGCCAAACAGTCTCTCCGTCTCACCGACGTAGCGCTGTGTGGGGTAAGGGATTCTTTCCTTGGAAAATCTGACAAAGTGGTTTGCTTGACCTTGCCTGATAATGGAATTAGTATACGTAACTTTGGTCAAAGACCGTGAACCTCGGACAGTTTTAACTTACATGGGACCCAGTCCGCCGTGCTGCCAGCCAATCCAAGACTCAGCTCGGGTGTAGTCATTGTCCGAGAGGGCGAATGAGAACTTGTGCTCAGTGTCGTACTTGCGGGTCAGATAACTGAGAATAGCACTGCCCTCGAAGACGGCAAGCTGTTCGTTGTCATGGTCTACGATTACAGGGATGCGGCCATTGGGGTTGAGCGATGTGAACCATGGCTCCTTCTGAATGTTTTGCATGATGTTGATGCTCTGGACCACGAAGGGAAGCCCGTAAGCCTCCTTCAGCTCCTCCAAGATGATACTGGCCTTGTAGCCATTGGGGGTACCTAAGTATAAGTGTTTAGAATGGCTTAACAGCTCCAAGTGCAGTTTCTTGCATAACTTACCGAAGGTCAATAGCTCAATGCCCTTCTTGGCGATGAGACCGGTGGGACGTGCTGCAGCCATTGTGGTGTGATGAGATGAGCTGGGGTTGGATGATGATATCAGATGGGACAAAGCGAAATTATTCTGGAATACGATGGCAAGTTTATAAGATTTACAGCTATGTTATCGCAAGATGTTGCAATTGGGCAATTGTATGTTGCAAGATGTTGTAGTCGTCAAGCCAGTTGGAATGTGAAGCGGATTGCTAATGCGATTCCAGCTGACAAATGCTTCTCCACTGTGTTCCATGACGACAAGGACTGAACACAGGCGACTCGCTGGAGTTTAGCGCTTATTCGGTTCCGGAAAAGTGGCGACTGGGGCCGCTTACCACGCGACGAGAGCCTATTCCCGCGCGCCAGCTTACACCAGCAGCTTGTCCGGCACGGAGGAACAGAGAGCTTCCCAACGTATTATAACACTTGATGGAGCTTGAACTTGAGGCTTGCACAATATAGCTGTCTCGAGGCACTTCGTGCGACCGCTCAAGATATTCCAATGGCTCGGAGTGAGATGCTCTGAAATTAGTTGTTGGGTGTGTTGGAGTAGGGGTTCATTAGTCCTGGAAGTTCCACTACATGGAGAGGCATACCGAAAGGCCTGCAGGTCAGCGAAGACGTCGTAACACAATACCTCGGCGTCGAGCTTGTGACCGAGAGTCTCACCGACACTCACCGAGGCGAATCGAATTCTTCGCGCCCTGGGAATATATGCCGTTATTTGTAAGTCGTTGAGTTTCTGATTCCGTGCGGAGGAAATCTCTCTAGGCCTGTTGATTTCGGATGGTACCTTATCTTTAGAGATGCAGGCGTGCGAAATATCTACCACCCGGGGAAGACTGAGCAATTGATGGCTCCAAATCGTAAACTCGTCGACAGAGCCAACAGGAAACCCATGAGTTTAATCATGACACCAGGAGAGCATCCAGATTTACCTTTGTTTCGAGCACTGGCCCGTGAGATGTAGTGATACTGCATGTGCAGATTCAAGCCCTTGATGGCACAGGCGGCGGTATTGAGTGAGCAGCAATGCTGGTTTTCCCACAATCTAGGGAAACACGCCCCGGGCAATTTGCCCACTGTCATGCAGAGAGCCTCACTCATATTGTGAACATCCGTACGGACACTCACTCAAAAGCAAGATCTCTTCCTGAGAGACGTCCTCATACTGCCCCCACGTGCCCCTTGATCGTGAGCTTGACATGTTGGGGACGTGACCCAGAGCTCTGGAGGACCTGCGGATTGTTGGGGGTTACCTTAGTCATTTCCCAGAACTCTGGGCTCCAAACTCCCGGAGAGGCAAAAAATCCCGACCAGACCAATGACCCCACAAGCAGCTAATGATCTAGCAGGGAAAGCTCCATGTCAGGCAAGGATCAATTCGCCAATGCTATGGAAGTATGACGTTAAATAAAGCTCCAACACGAATGCTGAAGCAACGAAGCTTCCTTCTGTTTGGGACCGATCCAGTCTGACGGGTCACGGTTTGACGGTAGTTCATCCGCTCTCGAGTGAATTGGGTAACTTGCAGCGGTTCACGAGACCGCCGGGCGGATACCGAGCATGCACCGAGTGACGCGATCCATCATGGCCCCGAGATCGGACCGTCACTCGGTCAAGTAAATAAAGCTCCATGACCCGTCTTCTCGCGCCGATAAGGTTCCCAATCGCCTGTTTTTTGGACGACGATAGCTTCTTACCAAACACTGGGCCTCAACTACCAAGCATCACCAAGCTGAAGTAGCAGTCTAAATAAGATGACGCTTATCAAAGAGCCAATCCCGGAGCCGGTGAACATCGCCGACGTCCATAAGATCGCGCAACAGAAGCTCGCTAAGCCGGTATGGGACTACTACGTGACCGGCGCTGATGATGAGTACACACTTGCACGAAACCACGAAGCCTACAATGAGTGAGGCGCACCCCGTTCATCTCCGCAACTTAACAGTATCAGTCTAATCATTGATTGTCGTGCAGTATCCTACTCCGACCTCAAATGCTCCGCAACGTGAGCGACATCGACACCTCAACCACCATCTTCGGCAAACGCTACGATATCCCGATCGCAATTGCACCGAGCGCTTATCAAAAACTAGTCGGCGGAGAAGGCGAGCTTGACGTCGCCCGCGCCGCATTCAACATCGGGACCAACCTTACGCTATCAAGCAACGCCACGACGTCTCTCGAGGATGTTTCAGCAGTAATCCCTCAACGCGGCCCCGATTACCCTCGCCCTTGGTTCCAACTTTACTTCCTCGGTAGCCGAGACCTCACAGCAAAGCTGATCAAGAGAGCTGAGAATGCTGGCTACGAGGCCCTCGTCCTGACTGTGGATACTGTCATCTTGGGCAACCGCTTGCAAGAACGTAGAACGCCGCTGGAGCTTCCCCCTGGAGTTGCAATGGCAAATGTTGAGTCGCGCAAGTCGGGCGCAATTTCTACAGCCGGTCTGCTCTTGCGCGCCAAGACTATGGCGGAGCACAGGAAGATCCAAGAAGAGAACCACGATCATCTCGTCGACGCTAGCTTGGAGTGGAATGAGGTCATTCCATGGCTGAGGTCGCAGACCAAGATGAAGATCGTTCTCAAGGGAATATTGACTGCGGAAGATGCCCAGAGATCAGTAGAGGCTGGTGTTGATGCCATTGTTGTGTCAAATCATGGCGGGCGCCAACTCGACGGTGTACCATCGACAATCGAGGCATTGCCTGAGATCACCGATGTTGTAAGAGGCAGAATCCCCGTCATTGTCGACGGCGGTATCACAAGGGGAACCGATGTGTTCAAGGCCCTCGCCCTCGGCGCCGACCTGGTTCTCATTGGCAGGACCGCGCTGTGGGGATTGGCTTGGGATGGTCAGAAGGGAGTCGAGGGAGTTCTCAATATCCTCGAGAGAGAGTTGACGAGAGCTATGGCACTGATGGGAACGGCGAAGCTCAAGGATATCTCAAGAGGTCTGCTTGGACGGGCCAGGCAGAATGGATTCGGCGTTGCAAAGCTATAGATATGGGCGTCTCATCTTCTCACGGGGTGGTCATGGACCAGGCAGGATGATCTAGATTGGAGTTGATTTGCTTTTCAGCCGAGCCTCGATGCGTTAGACGATAGATCAAATGCTATTTCTTTGTTTCTGGCCGCATGACCTTGAAAAACGATTGATCAATGATTCATGCGAGCCACCTGCATCGACTTAGTCTCAGCGGATGCTTTCAACCCCATCCCGATATCAAGGAAATAATCGTGGCCTTCGCGAGTTTGTGGCATGACCGTGCAGACGGTAGAACACAAAACGGAAAATTCTTACTGGTGTCCACATACTTTACTTCAGTACCTACCTTACTTAGAGACCAAAGTCCAGCAAAATCCATGATGATATCTCAGGTACAGAGTAAGTAAGCGCGGTATCAAGGGGCAAATACCCTCGAGTGCGTAACTCAAGACCGCGATTCCGGAGATAGAACCCTGACATCGACAGAGGGAGATGACATGAAGTGGTAAATGGGAAGAAGTCATTGAAGGCTGATGGCGAAAACGAGAGTTCTGTTGATTTTGGAGTCGGCCTGTCCATAAACTTTGGGACAGGAATCCTCCGAGAAGCAGGGTTCAATACTCCAAATCCGACCTCTCAATAACAAACGACCAAGCACTTACTCGTGCGTATGGTCTAGGCCCTGACGCGATTACGAGATCCCCCTGATTCAAGTAAATTGATGTTTAGACTAAATGCGTGCATGAGCCAGTTCGGGCTAGTATGAAAATCCGACAGCGCAGACACGATCGGATAAGCTATTCATCTTCGAATGCTTGACAATGACCGGTTCAATTTGAGATTTTTGAGATTGAATTCTTCACACGTTTGTTGGATTCATGAATAAGTTAAGTGCTATTTCTTTCACACTCTCTCTATAGCTCGGATCTTTGCCCATCCACCAAAGCATTCCGAGGGTATCACTATCGAGAGCACCCGCGTTGTGCGAGTTTATATCTTATAAGTCTTAAAGGAAGCCGCTTTGAGCCCTGCATGCTCTTAATTCTACTCTTCGCAAGGACCTCTGCAGTACTCAGCACCCGCAGGTGGCGGGCATCGCGCACCATTAGGCACAACACCGCTAGAACCGCCTGAAACACCCTCTCCGTTGAAGTAACACTTTCCAATGTCATCCTGGCATGGGTTACCTGGACCAGGGCAGCAATATCCGTACGCGTTGATGTCGAAGTTGTAGCAAGCGACGGGGTCAACCTTTGGCTCCGTAGATGGTGTAGCTGACGGCGCGGGGGCCGCGGTGCTTGTCACCACCAAGGTGGTTATCTGAACGGTCTCCAAGATGGACGTAGTCGAGACAACGGGGGCACCCTCCCAGTCCACGAGAGGAATGCCAGCAATAAGAGGCTTGAAAGCTGTCTGGTTCATGCCAGACCAATCCTCGCAGATATTCTCGACGGCTGGCTTGTATGTCTTCTCCGCGGGCTTGTTACAGGGCGCGGAGCTGCTGACAGGCTTCGAGCTCGTTGTTGGTGATTGAGTTTGGCGAGGGGTGTTTGTGGGCTCCTCGGGTGCTGATTGTTGGGGTTCCTTCGAAGGGTCGCTGACAGTCTGTCCTTCGGGGACTGGGACAACGACGCCTCCGAACGAGGCAAGGCCACCACCGGGCCCGCCGAAGGCGACTGCTCCCGCGGGGATGACAACTGCGACAGTGCCTGATACTGTGATGACTTCAGGCTCTGCGCTACGAGAAGGTGTCGGGGTCGCAATTCTTGAGGGAGCTAATCAAAATGCTTTCGTTAGCAATACGAAATGAAGGCTAAATGTGTTGTCCTCAGTGGAATGACTTACGCTTGCTGGTTGAAGTGATGATGGTGGGGGGCAAGGGAGTACGAGACAAAGAAGGCGGCGCCGATGAAGTCGTTGAGTTATCGAATTGCACTTGGCGCTTCCGGCGCACCAAAGTAGAGGATGCAGGAGCTGCCGGGCAAGCGGGTTGTTCCTCCACGTTAGGGAACGCCATCGAGTCAAGTGCAAAGATGGCATAGTTCTGCGCATTCTTCACCTTCTCTGCTGCTGACAAGCGGGAGCAGCTATGACGTATCAAAGTCAGCGGATCGATCTTGTAAGTAAGTAGTTTCGAGGACGAGCAGGGCTCACCATGTCGCAGAGTAGCAATCCTCCGACCTGTCATCAAGGAATCCGAAGAACGGGTTCTTGAGATCATCCGCCCGTTCTCCCGCTCCCGTGGCAATAAGCATGTGCTGAGTCTCGTGAACCAAGACAAAACCCTTCGACATGTCGCCGATGGCGCTTTCGGTCTGCCATTGCTTCACCATTCCCTGATTGGTGGGACGAGTCTTGTCAAAGAAGGTCTCGCAGAGAAGCAACAAAGTGGTACCAAAGACTGCGGCCTCGGTATCTGTGGCACTCTGTACACCCGCAACCATCTGGCCATCCGCGCAGGGTCCATTGTTTCCGGAGCAGCCGAAAACAAGACTCTTGTCTGTGACAGTATTCGGGGGGAACAACGGCTCAGGGGAAAAACGGAAGGCTGTTTCGACACTTGGGGCCTTGAGGGAGTCGATCACAGGACGGTAGTGCTTCTCAACAAGGTTGGATGCCGAAGGACCTCCGCTTTCTAAGTAGTGACGACAGAGTTAGTATCTTGTAGTAAAGAAATAGCAATGATGGGCTGGCTAACCAGGTCCGAACCAAGAGAAGTAAGCCGGTGTTCTCGCAACATTGGACTTTCCAAGGGCAGTAAGGGCAGCATTTGCGAGTTCGTGTGCCTCGACAACGCCCTGGTCTATGTCGGTAATCTGCTGCGGGCTGCACGACCATTGCCCCTTGATGATGACAGCTTCACCGTCGAAAGGAGCGCGTTTGTTAATGCTCTGGTGTGATGCATGTGATGCAACTACGGGAAGTGACGCCAGTAGAGAGCCTGAAAGCAGTAATGAACGTAAGTTGAACGACATGGTGTAATGACTGAATAGAATATGTAAAGAGTGACGAAGGAGCTGGTTAGCTTAGCGCAGAATCAGCACCCGTCGGTGGGAGCGAGAAACATGCAGCACATTTATGGACATCTACGGCCGGTACAGCCGGCGCATTCTCGAGGCCATAATCTTTCAGAAAAGATGTAATTAATTGTGATGCCGCATCAAGACCGGTTCGTAATTAATGTACTACGAGTAGCGCCTCTTCGCCAAGTAGCTCTAAGAAGACCACAATGCTATCAATAGCACCAAGCTAAGCAACGGGCCACAGACACGGGACCACATGAAACGCCCACATATTGCCACCCTTGGATTAGACACCATGACATGGGCTATACGTCCCTGGCTATGACTTCTGAGTATTCGATTGCTTAGATAAGACACATTGAGAGTTTTAAGCACTCCGCCTCAGATAGTTTGGAATCTCAGCGGCATTTTGTATAGCCAATGCCACACGGATAATCTCATCTCCCTGTTTGGACAAGTTCATCCGTTCTGTTAAATCGCTCTTAAAGTTCATTACTAGGACGGCGAACGTTAACACAGTCTCGGTTATCAATTAGGAGAGTTCATTTTTGGCGAGGCCGTCGTCTACTCAAGTAAGACTTAATTGGCAATTTTTGACTGCTCGCCGGACTTCTCGGGGAGGTATAGTAGGCTTGTCTCTGTTGCTCGAATTGCTCAACGGCGTCACAGATTCAAATTACCTCAACACGACGATTACTTCAAAATCACTGGAGAACTAGAAACACAATTTCCGTAAGCACTCGTCAGTCTCATACGGCTCGTTTTCAGTACCGCAACAAGGATGAGGTGAGTTTATCGAGGCGATGGTGGAGAGTTTGACGGCTGCGCGCGGCTAAGGCTTGACGCACAGAATGCGATGGACGAATAAGTGCAGTGGTGGTGTGGGCCAAGCCACCATTATAAGAAACTTCAATCTAAGATGCCCAGCCATACCGAATTTGGGAGAAAGCAAGTTCTGAAGTGTCATAATAGACTTGCGCAGCAATTATGGTGCCGACTCGTTTTCGCCGAAGAAAACCAAGCGCAACCATTACAGGGAGCTGTTGATCCACCCAGCGGAAGTTTCGGAGGGTTACATTGCAGCTCTAAACGTCTTCTTCAGGAACAGAACAAAACCTAAATAAACCAATCCTGGTTGAGATACATCCTGACAGCCTCTTTTTGTAGGGCTAGGTGCCGCCAAGCTGTCAATTTTACAGCATCTTGGCAGGTTTGTGCCGAATTGCCTACTTACGCTAGTGGGCTAGACCACAGACATGACTCTTCGATCTTGTGAAGAGGAGAATGAGCATTGGTTGTGCAGCATACACCAGTATACTGTGTGCCAAGATTCAGTTAGCATGAGACCAGATGAATGCACTGTCGACGGTATCACCGACACGGATGAGGCTGACTCATTCGTCATTCGCCCCAAGGCTGGACAACGATCAACGGTGTTAGGATAAGGAACGAACTAGCCTACTTGCAATCTCTTTGGCTAACCGAGCATAAGTTGAAGGACGCACAGCCTCATCCGACCAGTAAGTCTTTGGGCTGTGTGGGATGAAACGTACTCGATGCCTTGGCATCGTGACATAAAAGGTTTTCTGCCCACGGTATCATGAGTAGGAAACAGATCATGTCTTTCACCTCTTTTCGGATTTCTGTTCCTGAATGGAAGCAAAAGGGCAATGATTTCACCCGACAGTGAGGGAGTCCCGAGCACTGACATACACCCAGTCCCAGCATGCTAACTCACGGCTGTCATAAAGGAGAATAACTAGAGTATATAACTTGCGGTCTGGTGCGAGTGAAATCATCACATCGAAGGCTTTGTTAATTAGCTCACCACAGTTACCTCGACCAATGGAAGGGGAAAGTTCAAGTTGTAGTAGGCGCTAGGTCACCGTCTGAGATTTGGGGAGCAAGGCATCTTTCTGCTTCACATTTGCCCTTCGGTGGTTCCAAAAACACAGCTTATATCTCCTTTCGTTCTCCATATCTTACTAATAAGAGTACCTGAACCTCCTGTTCTCAAAGTCTGTCAAGTCCATGAGAACTTCATCGGACACATCCTCGGCATTCTGACCACTAGCCTCCGCCTCTGCGTCTCTCTGTTTATTCCTTTTTATTAACAACAGCCGAATTGCGATAGCCAACACGACTTGACCGGCAGTACAGCCCATGATAACCTTACAGCCAGTACCGTAGATGGGCGCTTCCGACGCAAGGAAGGCTTGCGGGCCTATGATATTGCCCACACAGTACGCTAAGAAGACGAAGGCAGTTGAGGTCACACGCTTGGTGTAACCCGCAACGTTGGCAGCCGGCATTTGGAGGGCAACGACAAGAGCGCCGACGAAGGAGGGACTCTGAAAAACTTGTTAGAAGCAACATTTTGAGATTCAAGGCTCCTCACTTACAATGTAGTACGCCATTAGTAGCCCGTTTTTGTTGCCACGGTCCAGCTTCAAGAACAGGGAAACCGCAATGAGTGTCGGCAGAACCCAAGTCATCATAACAATGGTCCGGAAATTTTTAAGCTTTGAGGCGCAAAAGGGACCAGTGAAGATGAAGAAAGCAACCCAAGCGCCGTAAGGAATGCCGTAAGCAGTCGTTAAGAGAGCGTCCTTTGTGAAGCCCTTGACAATGAGTTTGCCAAAGTTGGCGATGCCTCCGTTGACAATTTCGTTGAGAAGGGTGTAGAAGAAAAGAAGCCACACTTGGAGGTCCTTGAAAGCCTCCTTAATCTGAGCCGGCTTGATCTTGCTGCTGAAGACACCAGTCTTGTTGCTCTGGCTGCGAGCAATAAGGAGGGCTTTCTCTTCCACGGTGAAGCGCTTGGCCGTCATGATGTTGTTTGGCAAGTAGAAGAACAGGATGATTCCCCATACGATGGTCAGACCACCACAAATGATGAAGATGATTCTCCACACATCCCATCCATCCGCCTGGCCGACACCATAAAATAGAATACCGCCGATCATGGAACCGAATCCATTGAAGCAGTAGAACGATCCAGCACGCATTGGCGCCTCCGCTCGGGTATACCACATGCTAACAATCATCATGAAGCAGGGCGTGATGACGGCCTCAAATGCACCCAAGAGAAAGCGGCAGACGGCAAGGCCGGCGAAGCTATGGGATGCAGCGGTGCAGGTGAGGACAGTTCCCCAGCAGAGGACGAAGATGCTGACAATGGTGCCGGTGGGGAAGTGTTGAGCAAGGTAACTTGCCGGCCATTCTGCAAGTAGGTAGGCGAAGTAGAAGATGCTGGCCAGCCACGAGTACTGGCTCTGGGAAGTGTTGGTTGTTTCAAAGAGGTCAAAAACTGCGCCATAACTCAGAGCCTGCTTATCGATATACTGGAGGAGATATGTTCCCATGAGGAGGGGCAGCAACGTAAGATCGATCTAGAAATGGGAAGTACGTCAGCATTCCGGAACACTGTAGAGACAGGAAATGTGCTGCGTTTTCCCGGGGAATGGGTGTCGGAGAACTAACCCGACGAACAAGCTTCTTCTGAGCCTGTTCATCCTCCATAAGCTCTCGCAGATGCGCATGAGAAAGGCCATTCTGCTGCAAGAAGATCTCGGCCTCATCAAGAAGCTCAACTTGGCCAGCCTTGAGGTCCTCTTCGATGCTGCCCGGCCGAGAAGGCTGCTTCTCCGCAATCTCCAGATCCTTGGACCTGGGTTGCTCTACGTTGACGGAAGCTTCAACCGCCATTGTGGAGTCCGGGGAAGCGGGCGAGCGGGTCGTCGCTGTTGTGTTCGAGCACGGGATGAACGATGTGGGCACAACTACTAGGTAGTTTACAGGAGTTACATGTAGCAACCGCTGGTTGCTGTTATGAAATGAGGCTTTACAGAGTCAGGCGAAATTGCTGAGAGTCGCGAACTCGGACAATTGCGAGTGGTCGGAACTTTCCCGCATCGGCAAATCCCAAGGTCGGGAGTCTCCTCTTATTCATTGTCATTATCAGAGGTAAAAGATTTCCGGCGTTGGCTTTGTCTACTTCCACTCAATCAACCCAAGACCTTGCCCCCGACTCGATAAGGGCTTAACCGATAGCGACTGCTTGAACATGCCTCTGGGCGGCGGCCTGCTTCCGACAACATAGGCTACAGATAAGATGTCAGGCGATATTATCTGCCCAAGCCAGCGTCATATCCTAGTATTCCTCACTAGCAAGACCCATTTGCTGATAAGGGTCCCGAGTCTTGAGCAACTTCCCCGCGTTGAGATGGGGGCCTGATGAAGAAGTGGAGTTGCCGTGGGCACTGTGCAGCCATTGCCATTGACGGAAAACCAATGAAGACCGGAGAGTAGATTTGGATGCCGAAGCGGGTGTATCGACGGTTGAAGACTAAGTGGAGACATTTCGGTGAACCTCCGCCTTATCAGCTTGCGCGTTGACTAACAACTTATCAGACGCTAGCGTGAGTTGATCGGAATTTAGCCATGATAATGGTTGTGGACCTTTCCGCGGGGAAATATCAAAGACACGACTCCCACTCAACTTCCCCGAGTGCGGTCTGCCGATGAACGGACTTTGCAAACCACAACTGAACGCCAAACACGAAGCACGCAACCATGTCCACAGGAACAGATCAGCCTACGCCCCGGCCTTACAGGTCCCATTTGCGACCAGCCTGTTTGCAGTGCAGGCGGCGCAAGTCAAGATGCCAGCAGCAAGAGGGAATCACATCGTCGACCTGTCAAATGTGCCATGTCTATGGCACGGACTGCGAGTTCCCACCATCTCCTCGCAGTGCAGGCCGCGCACCGCTCAACCCCGGAAAAGTCCAGAAATCCTATCGCACCCCTCAGTCTAACACGCCATGTCGGCGAGAGCCTCTGGCATCAGCCAAGGTGCATGTTTCCGTAACCCAGAGTAGCACCATACGGGCATCTTGTTCTCCTCCAACGAGCACGACGTCTAGCTCGGGCCCCAAAGTTGTGCTTGATCCACACAATACCCATTTGATGCTGGCGCTGGACAGCCCTGAAGACGAAGACAACTCGCACATCATTGGCCCAGCTGTCACAAACGACACCCAGGTCTTGGCTGACTACTTGAGTTCTGAGCCAAGCATCCACGAACGGATGATCCGTGTGGTGAAGCCAAGACCAGGAGCTCAGGTGGGCCAGATGCCCCATCCTACTATGGCGGGTGGGATCCGGAAGCCTGTCATCTTTACGGCGGTTCGGAAGCGCCCCTATGGTCTGTCACCGAGACAAACAGCACCGTTGCAAAAATACCAGATTGTGGAAAAGATGTTGGAGCCATGGACTTCAACACTGATAGATCTGTAAGTTCGGCCGTGGATTACTTGCCACCTCCAGAGGAATCATCATGTCTATGATAAAGCTGTGCCAGGAAGAGTGTGGGTGGGTACCAAGAGTCATTGTTAACCAGTCCTTACGCAGTTACTTCCAAAAGGTCAACATATGTTTTCCGCTTCTGGATGAGGTTTCATTCAAGCACCAATTCAACACAGCAAGAGACAGGATATCGCCGGCGCTCTTATCGGTCCTCTATGCACACTCTATGATCTTCTGGAAAACTAGTCCAGATTTGCCCTCGCAATATTGTCCAGACTCTCGGTTTATCTGGAACCAAGCCACAGAAACCTTGTTCTCTGAACTCCACATTTCGCCTGGAATTTCTACCATTATTGCCATTATTCTCAATGTGGGAGGTAGACCAACCACGTCAATGATCATGAACGAGATTCAGCTCGGCGCTGCTGTGTCACTGGCTCAATCACTGGGGCTCAACAGAGACCCCGTAGACTGGAACATTTCCATGCCGGAGAAGTGTCTGCGGATGAAGATATGGTGGGCACTCGTTGTACATGACAAGTGGTGAGTTGACCCCCGATAACAGCCTTGAACATGACTAACCTGACGTGCAGGTTGAGCCTAGCCTACGGGACGCCACCTCAGATCAAGCGCTATCAGTACGATGTTCCAGATCCCTCACTAGAGTATCTCACCGGGAAAGACGCAAGCGAAGCTCAAATCGCGGCCGCTTCGGTCTTTATCGGTTTGGTCACTTTGACCGGGGTTCTCGATAAGTATCTGGAGCACGTCTACGACCTTAACCAAGGCCGAGACCAAGATAGCAGCCAGACATCCCTTGACTTAGAGCTGAGCCTCGGCCAGTGGGAAGATTCCCTGAGCGACGACGTCAGGCGAATTATTACCCGCGGAAACAACCTGCATATCCCCGGCGCCGCGAACCTGAGACTAGCTTATCTCTCAACCGTGCTACTCCGCAGGAGGATCGAGCTCGATATCGAGAAGCAGGAGGACTCTGTTCCCGGTGACGCACTCACGAACCGATACATCCAAGTTCGCCGCGCCGCGGAGGAGATTGTGCTCCTTGTACAGGAGCTGGAAGAGATTCACCTTGTTGATTTCTGGCTTCCAGTCAGCGCGTTCGCATTTACATCGGCAATGACGTTCCTCTTGCGATGCGCCCTGGAAACCGAGAACACCGCCGGTGGCTTGGCTCAGAGCGCATCTTTAAAGCTGGCCAAGAACTTGATCGACTCCTTGCAATCTCACCAACAGAACTCGGGATGGGATCTGGGTGACCTCTGTTTGGCTCAGTACGCCGAGGTTGTTGAGCGTTTGCAGACTGCCGATAGCCCTTCGGCAACGGTCCCGGAGTTTCAACAGCTGATGATGTCCTCGGATGTTCCAATGATTGATGAGCTATTTCCTAATCTCTGGGATATGTTTTGATATGGCTACTTTATGAGCAATTTTACGTTTTCTTGTATCATAGATGATAAGCCTACGACTAATGATTGAGCTAATATTTCCTTGACCTCACGCTAAGCGTTCAAAATTGCATCCCATATCGAGTATGACACTAAAGATTGAGAGACCCCAGCTGTCATCAGTCTTCGAAGTTATCCGTCTGCTTCCACCAGAAATTACACTCTTTCTCCGCCCACTTATAGCCCGAAAATTCAGCTGAGGTACCCAATCCAGATCCGCCAGCACGCTCGTCGTTGCCCTCGCCAAAAATCATTGTCTTTCCCATTTCCTTGCCTTTCCGGCCTGAAAAAGGGAGCCACTCAGGGCGACCCTGAAACTTGCCCTTGATCTTGTTCGGGTCGCCATGAACAATGAAGGATGTAGCGTATGCATGCATATAGCCGGCGATCTCATCCTGCTTCGGTGAAATCGACCTGACCTCGGCATTGTAAGTCTGGTAACGCATCTGATCGCCGTGATTGGCACCGTATAGGGCGGTCTTGTTCAGGGCCCAGTGGTAAAGATACACGGGAGGGTCACTTGGCGACTTGCTTCCCCAGATTGCGGTCTGACGAACGGGACATGTGTATGCATAGTGACCGTAAGCAGCCTCAGAGCGCTTGTACTGCGGTCCGATATCAAGTGTTCGAGTCTCGACGTACTCGGAGTCCGCGTTTTTGGAAGGGTCTGAGTAGAGCTTATTCAACTCTGCTATACTCTTCTCGGAAAGTTGGGGCAAGAGTGTGCGGAAGAAGCGCTCGAAGTCCTCGGAGGTCGATGCCGTCTTAGGGACGTACATTGCTCCTTCATTGTGAGCAGATCCTGTGAAGATGGGGATTTTGTTCCATCTTCCTGACTTCCATGCATCGATGGGACGTCTCGAGATGATATCTCCGTCTAGGACTGGTTGCCAGGCCCACCGTACAGAAGGGTTAGATTGCTCGTAGATCTTTTGACCTGAATCGATGATCGTCGAAGATGGCAGCGCCCGAAGACACGGCAGAATCTCATGCTCGGGCCTGTTACCGCAGCCTGTGAGCTCAAGGAACTCTTTGAAATGTGCTTCATTCAGCTCAGACATTGGCGGGTGCACGACTCGAGCAGTGTGACCTCCAGAGTCCATGATGGCCTTGTGGAAGAGAGTATTCTTCTGGTTGATGTCCATGATGAGATGTCCGATCTGAAGAATGTTAGCATGAGTCAACTACGAGAATAGTTCAGGCATACTCCGTGCGCTGCGGCAGATAGCCCCATGATAGTCACATCATCAGAATCGCCACCAAAAGCCGCGATATTCTTTTGAACCCATTCCAAAGCCACATACATGTCTTTGAGTCCGAGGTTCAGCAGGCCCTCTTTCATCGTCAGTGCACTGTTCATCCCACCGGCAACACCGATTCGATATTGCATCGACACGCCAATCCAGGGTTCTTCAGACCATGCTAGCATGGACGGGGTATTATGCATCCGTGCAGCACCACGGTTGAAAGCTCCGCCGGGAATCATCACAGCAACGGGCAGCTTTTGGGCAGCGGCTGTGTGACCCTTGGGTCGATACACATTGATCGTCAAACAGTCTTCGCTTTCCCAATCAGGGCCGAGCCACTCGTCATCTGTAAAGGGAACAAGCTGCTTTCCTGGACATCTGTATGTTTGTAAGTTTTGAAAGCACGCGGATGGCTGAGTCCAGATTCACCTTGGGCCAAGCTCAAATGCCTCGAGTGTTCCATTCCCAGACGGCACTGGGACAGCATGCCTAAATCGCAGTTGTCCAACTGGAGGAAGTGCATATGGGATTCCCATGAAGCCCTCTAGCGGCTCTGGAAATGTGCCATCGGTCACAAGTCTGCCAAGAATGGTGCCTTGATTGACTGTGACCGAAACTGCTCGGCTGTACTTCGACTTGATGGATTGACTACCTGCATTCTGCCCAGTCCAAACATAGGCGCAAATTCCAGCAACGGCCAGCGGGAGACACAAGGTCAACCACCGGTGAGGGCCCTGATTCGTTGTCTTCGACATCTCGAAGATCTGGCAGAGAAGATGAGTCCTTTGGCCCCTAACGACTTGCCCTGAACAGTTTCGAGTTACACGTATTAGTTTCAAGGTTTCCGTATGAGAATGAGATGACTTGTTGTGTCTGTACGGATCTATGGGCACTAAGAATGGCTTGACATCTGAATGCCAGCCGCCAAGGGGCACGGTGCTGTCATGAATCAAGACGTTGCCGGCGGGATAAGATGGGGAACCTCGCCGCGGGAAACTCCCGGGATCCCGAGTCGAGACGTGCCGCCGGCCCCACCCAACGAATGATGGACTCAACGTGGCCCAGATGAACGTGCTCGGTGAACGGATGCCGATCTGTTGTGCAGAGAAATGCTGCCTTTTCCGAGCGCTAAGTTAAGCTTAACAGCATCTCCGCTGATCTGCAAATTTCATGATCTGCAGGTTCAACCCAGAAGGCCATTCCACTTACAGAGAACGAGCACATTAATGCCAATAATATGGGTTGAACAAATATGGGTTCAAGTCTTTGAAACTCTACGGATCTCGGACAAGCGTGCATGATAAGGAACTTTATCTTTCTTTCAGGTCGACATAGTCATCTCGAGGAGCATCTTAGAAATTGGTGGAGTAGATAGTCCTCTAACTAGAACCAGGCGATCAACAAACAACCCAGGAACACACAAATCCGATAGCCAAGCCCATATTCTATCCCATCGCGGCCAAAACCTAGTTGCAAATGATCTCCCCGTTACCACTCTGCGATGGCCAGCCGGGGCACTCAACGCAAGCCCCATCAGCATTGGGGTTGAACTTGCGGCACTGACGGACAAAGTCATCACCATCAATGCACTTCTCTCCTGATGCGCATTGCAACTAGCGGTTCTGTCAATACATGTGTTCAAGTCTTCAAACGATCTGATGCGACTTACGTATGAGCCACGCCACCTGACTCTGTCAGTAGCAGCCCATGTGAGTGCTTGGTGGGGCTGATAGACGATGGGTGCTGCTAGCTGTCAGTATGTTGCCAAAGTACTAGGTGGCGAATGAAGGGAGACTCACCCCAAGTAAATGGGTTGCTGCAAGGGTCTTCGGCTACCTTCTTGGTAGTCTCAAAGTCAATATCCTTGTCTCTGCCAAACTGGCAGGCGCAGTAAGAGTGTAGATCAGCGACTGATCTTTATTATAACTAGATTAGCTATGGACAGACTAGTGCTGGTAGGTGAAAACACTTACACAGACGCAAGGAACAAGAGTCCAAGTGACTTGAGAAGCATTTTGGAAAGAGTGTGAAATATGGCGGTTAAAAGAGTGAAGTGAGACGAGAGCTCGATAGTTGATAAAGACTGCGATGAAATGTTGGTGGGTATATGGCGTACTCAAAAGATTTAGTACTCACATGGAGGACATGGTTTATATACATCTTGTTCTAGTCGTTCTCAGCTACTAAGTCCGACAGAGAGTGTTGCCCGATATGATGTTGCCGAATCCGTCGGGATTCCCTTTCAAAGTCTGGGCTCGGCATCGACCGATCGTACTGCAAAAGTCAATTAGATGAACGGAAAGCATGCAAGAATGACACCGAGAACTCTTCTCCTGATCGGATGGTTCAAATGAATAAACCCACTGGGAGCACAGTTGACCTTCAGGTTCGTGACCTGTAATGGATGATTTGCACTAGCCGCAACCTACCTAGACTTATGGACCCCAAAGGCGCAGGGTTCACCATATTCGTGGTCCTCGAACACAGCCCGGTCTCGAGTGGCCCAATCCGTAAAGGTTCGCGAATTTTGAGTTCACAAAGCTCTCTCAGTTTCGGCCAGATTGGGCAAATAGGGCTTCTACAGGTAGTGGCTATTGAATCAGCGCAATCATGGTTATGCCTTGCTCCGATCAAAGGGTCCTTTCCTTATAGGGCTAAATTAACAGAAGGTCTCTCTCTGAGCATGAAGTCAGACGACAGAAGGTAATTAACATTACGACGTGCTGTGAGCCAAGTAGTTGTTGTTGTTGTTGTTGTATTTAACGCCGTGGCGGCCGGGCTAGAGCCCTTACCGCAGACCTCCCGAAGGGTATATGGCGTGGAGGGCCGTGAGCCAAGGCTACCTACTCTACAGTACGTCGTCTCTTTACATCGTCCTCCAAATCATGCCTTGTGGCCACTACGCGTTCTGTCTGTCCCCGGTTCCCGCTGGTGCCCCAGTTTCATTCTTTCCCAAATCGTCCCTTGGAATCGGGAGGTTCTTTGTAGTCCGCACTCACATCTACGTAGGTGTGGATGCTGCTACCGCAGACAGATCTTCTGGAAGAAGTCCGTCACGCGGAGAAAGGCCTCGAAGCCTCGTGGGTCGGTGATTAATCTCTTGAAGTAGGCCTCGAGAGATCCCATAGGGCCTATGGGCTCGGGCATACTGCGAGAGTGGAGGGTCGGCCACCGTTGCCTCCTCGCCAGCGTTAGTCGACAGTAGACCAGGTGGTCCACGTCTTTCGCCTCTCCACAAGAGCACATCATTAGAGCGTCGTCGTGGTTGAAACGTCGGTGATATTGCTCGAAGTCCCCGTGACCCGATCGTGCCGCCAGCAGGTGATGTAACGTAGCCCGCGGCAAGGCCAGTTCAGGAGGGCTGGACAGAGCTGCCTCAAGCCCCAAGTCCGCGTACCGCGGCCTTCGCTCTTTATACCACCATCTCCTGTGCTGGCTTTGTAATTTTTCCCTTGCAAGCCGCTTGATGCCCGCTAGTGTTGCCATTTGACCCATCCGCGCCGGCAGTGTCGTTCCTTCTTTGGCCAGCCGGTCCGCGGCCTCGTTTCCTTCGATGCCCTGGTGTCCCGGGGACCAGTGCGTCCGTATATCAAATATCCTGGCCGCTTCTTGGATTTCGAGGAACGCGTCTTGTGACGAGTCCGGCGCCTTGCCGCGGATGCCTTGTATAACGCTGGTGTTGTCGATACATATGTGGATTGGATGACCGCGATTGGTGAGCAGAGCCCTTCTGAGGCCGGTTCGCGCCCCTTCGACCTCGGCGTCGAACACTTCTGCTAGTCCGAGTCGGCCGCACCCTTGTGCTATGCGTTTGGAGTCTCGGTAGATGACGAAGCCGTACCCCACGGCTCCGTTCGTCGCCCTGGAGCCGTCCGAGAAGACGATCATATGGCTTTCCGGTACTGTCTTTAGCCAGCGCTCGAAAGCTTTCGCAGCCTCTTCTTTGCATTGAACTACTATCTGATCCTGTGAGCTTGGCAGGTACTGTGATTGAAGGAACGCTGGTCTTCCGCATCTTGGCAGAAGTTCAGCCGTCCGTTGTAGTCTCGTCTGTTGCTGTCCCTGCTGGGAGAGCCGCGCGACTAGCGGGTGTCGGCGATCAATCCTCTGTAGTCGGACTGCGGCCCGTAAGCGGACGCCCTCTAAGGCGACTTTGGCTGACGGTAAGCCGGCGTCTCGGAGGAGGCTACTGGTTGGCGTTGTCCTCCAGACAGGCAGAACGGCCCTTGCTGCCGCTGTAATGACGCTGTCGATCTTCTGCACGAGCCCCTTTTGGCCTGTGTTGACGGGTCTTCCTTGGAGAGGCGGATTCGTGTCTGTCTCCGCTTGGCGTCTCGAAGCCGGCTTCGTGATACCTGCGTACCATGTTTCGGCGCCGAAGAGCGCGATCGGCAGTACGCAGGAGACGACGGCTTTTCGCACGGCGGCCGCTGGGAGTCCCCTCTTTGTGTTCGTAAGCTGTCTCAGATGTTGAGCTGCCCTCTTTGCTGCAGCTACTTTTGCGTCGACATGGTGCCGGAAGGACAGTCTCTTGTCGAACCAGACACCCAGCCAGCGTACAGGTTTCGTCGAGGCCTTGACCACCAAATCCCCCGCCCGGACCTCTGGCAGCTCCGCTGGCTGGCCGTGCTTCCTAGTAAAGTGGATGACCTCGCACTTGCTCGGGTCAAAGGAGACCTTGTTCTCCAAGCCCCATCTGAGAATGCCGGCTGCGCTTCGGTTGAGTATTGCGACGTTGCTCTCCAGGGAGGGGCTGATGGCCAGAGTGGCGATGTCGTCCGCGTACCCGAATCGCGCGTTCGGGTCGTCTTCAAGTATCTCTGCGATGTAGAGCAGAAAGGCAATGGGAGATAGTGGTGACCCCTGAGGCAGCCCGCATGACAGCGGGAAGTACTCCGTTGTGCTTTCTTCCAGTCGGACTCTAGCGGTGCGGTTGCAGCAGAAGCTAAAGATCAGTCTGGTCAGGCCATGTGGCCATCCCTGCTGACGCAGTCTAATGACGAGCCGGTTCCGAAGGACGGAGTCGAACGCCCCTTTTACGTCCATAGTCAGAAGTGTCGCCGTGAGTCCTTTTAGGAGGGCCATCTCGATGTCGTGGTGAGGCAGGTCGTCAGATCGACGGCTGACCTGCCTTGTAGAGCCCCGATCTGTTGCGGACTGATGATGCGCTCGACAATCGCCAGGGACGCCATCCTTCTGGCTATCAGTCGCTCTAGTCCCTTGCCCAGGCACGAGAGGAGCGCGATCGGCCGCCAGGACCCGGGCTTGGAGGCATCCCTGCCGGCCTTCTGGATCATGACCACCTCAGCTCTGCGGAAGGGCAGAGGAAAGTGGCCGGCCCGCATACAGGACTGGAATAGCTGCCTGACCGGTTCCGAGATGACATCCCAGCATGCCTGGAGGAGGCGTGTTGTGATGCCGTCCACACCAGGGGTCGTTGTCTTTGTTAAGGTGGCCGTCTTCACTTCTTCTCCGCTAACATTGTCCTGCCAAGTAATCGCTCGCCTCGGGACGACGGGTACGTCAAACGGGTCACCCGGTGCGTCATCTTCCGCACTAAACCTGTCGAGAAGGGCTCCCCGAAGCGCTTGAGCCTTTTCGTTAGTATCCTCGATCGTCTGGTTGTCCACAACCAATGGGGGTGCTCTGGTCAGTAGGCTCGCCTTCCGCCAACCCATGATCTGGTACAGGTCCCGGTCTGAAGCGACTCCATCGATCTTTCCGGCCCAGTATGCTCGCTTAGCCTTCCTCACCGTGCTCAGGAACGCCTTTCGTTTCTCCATTAGATAAAGGTGCGCATCTTGCTCCGTCTCCCAGGCTTGTTGGTTGCGGGCAGCACGGTATGCTCTGTGGGCCTCTGCGCATTCCTCCGTCCACCAAGCCGCGCCTTTACCATGTTTTCCTCTCTTCTTGCCGACCGCCTCAATGGCTCGGGAGAAGAGCTCGACGATGTGACTTGCCTGCCCGTCCAGGTCTTCCGGAGTAGGTTGATCCCCCAGATTGGGCATCGCAGCTAGCCCCCTTCGATCAGGTCTCTCAGCCGAGGCAGCGCCGAGTCGGGCACTGACAGTGGCCGTGGCTGCGGGTGGCCCTCTCCCTGTGACACTGGGCGTTTGAGTAGTGGTATGACGGCCACGATGGCCTCGTGGTCAGCTCCCGGGTGTAGCTGTGGGCTGACCTGCGCGTGCGCAAAAGGGATATTAGAGAAAGCCAGGTCCAGGACATGTCCGCAATCCTGGTTGCCACCCCAACTTCGCTGATAAGAGAGAGATTGTGGCCGTCTGCCCAGCCTGCGATGTCATCTCCCCGGTTCCCGTTCCTCGTCCCGGGCTCCCAAGAGTAGTGATGCGCGTTGAAGTCACCCGCGATCAAAGCTCGCTCCGGGGGTTTGATTCTAGCAGTATCCCTGTTGTGCGGCTGTGGGGGTCGCGGGGTTGTCTGTACACTTGACGATAGTCGTCGTTTTGTCGACCACCAGCCACAGTACGTCTCTCGTGTGGACAGGCCTCTGCTGCTCCACCGTCATCCCTATCCCTTTGCGTGTGTAGGTCAATACTCTTGGTCTGGTTCCTTCGCTGTCCCAGAAGTCGACCGGGACGAAAGAGTCGAAACCCGGGTGCGTGTTCAGTTGCACGTTTCCGTCCTTCCAGCCCGTCCAGGGTTCCTGGACGAGGACCACATCTATCTGAGCCTCCCAGCAGAGCTGCAGGAAAGCCGTGTGCGCCGGGGGATCTTTCCGCTTGCCCTGGCAACGGTGATCCGTGGGTCGCGCTCTCGGCTTACGTCTCCGAGTCGAGTTCAG